ATGATTTGATTTTAGTTTTATTTCGCTAAAATTAAAACAAGTAAAAATTGAATAAAAGAGCAAGTTAAATCTATTCACCATCTTCTAAATTATCTATTCAGATTATATTTCACAACCATTCCGTTGCGCACACTCAACATACAAGGCGGTTGATTTGGTATTACAAATTAACCAAATTAGAAAACAAATTTAGTTTGAAGACTAACTTTTTCAAAATGTTTGGTGGTATTAAGAATATATATATATATATATATATATATATATATATATATATATATATATATATCTTTTGATAGTATAATTTTGACATTGCAAACTCTTTGGTCAAAACTCAAATTTGAAAACTTTGAATTGTGTTTGCACATGGTGTTAAATTTATGTTGTGGACTTTATGCTTATGAAGGGAGAACATTTTATAGAAACGTGTTTTTGGATAAACTATCTAGAACATTATTTTATCTTTCAACAACAAAATTGTTTTTCAACATCACGTAAAGCAAAAGATGCTTCATTAGAATTTAAGCAATGTCAAACAAATTTCTTAAGTGCTTGACATTAAACCTGTATACTATTTACTCTATCGACTGCATTTGATAAAGCAATTAGCCATCACTTAAAATATGGCAATCATGGATGAACTACGTGAAAGGTATTTTTAAATCTTAATCTTGTATACAGTTTGTTTTTTTTTTAAATTTAATTTTACAAATTCGTTTATTAAATATGTTCAAAATAGCTGATTAGTAACTACAAACTTGTATTTGTTTTGGTATCCATGTGATTTGCAATGAGTTTATTTTCACAAAATATATATATAAATATATATATATATATATATATATATATATATATATATAAGTATGTATGTATGTATACAAAAATACATAGATAGTTCCCGTAATATTTTCATAATTGAAACGGTATTTCACATTTTTCAACAATTCTGATTCCGATTTAAATTTTCAAAGAATCTTTGAGAACAGTTCAATTCCGATTTGTTTGAGACTATTTGTAATATTATAATTTTTTTTTTCGTAATATTATCAATTTAACATTCTTACATTAAACTTGTAAAAAGTAAACGATCATATTTCTGTTGACTCATATAGATAAATCTGATAATTCATTTGCTATTAATATAATAAAATAATAATATAAGTTATTTTTTAAAAAAATTATATTTTCAAAAAGGACACTTATTTTGAAAATAAGGGAGTTAAATCTATGTAAGTTTACAAAATTTTATTTTCTTCTTTTTTCGTTTTCTTTTATTTTTCGCAAAACAGCACTGCCCAATTTAAAAATATCCTAATTAAAACTTTTTTTTCGTTTTCTTTTTCGGAAAGTTAATTAAAAACTTTTTCTGTCAGATAAAGAGTTGTTAGGGCATGTCAAGAAAATGAATTGTCACAACAAGATTGGTCACGTTTCTCACGCGCATATAAAGTGTTGTAGGATTGCAAGCCATCGATATTCACCATTTTTAACTTTCCAATCAAGGTAACCACAGCGACTTATGCTCCATTTTGGAAGTTCCTATCTGGTTGGCTTTCCAGAAAGCCACCTAATTTTCCCGAGAAACATACAGCTCGGCCACGTGTTCTAATAATTGTCCATGATTATCCTCCTAGTTTTCTAGAATATACCACTACTACTATAATAGAGCCTCTCACTCACTAACTCTTATATAATTACCAAAACCTCCTCCTACATCGAAACCTCATCAGGGGTGTCTTGGTCAATCAGGTATATCCTACTATATATGTATGTGGTGAGTGTAGAAAGAGTGGACTACTGTAACTTCACCGACGGGAATACCCTCGGCACACGGCACGCAACACACCTCTCTTTCCTATGACCGACACGTGGCCATGTGTATGGGGAATATGACACGTGGTGGATTCAGATGAATTTGGCCACTATCTGTTGTTTGGTACAAGCAAAGAAAGCCGTCTGTTTGTTTGTTGGACCATATCTCCGTTGAATGTGGCCACGTCATACTCTTCCCTGTTTGGCCAAGTTTGGTTGAGAAGTAGATATCCACTACAAGAGAATAGCATATGATCCCTTTACTTTATATCAGAATTTTCAAACATCATCAAATACATAATATTCATGTCATATACTTTAAAAGATAGAAACTATATATATATATTTTTATTATCATAAATACAGTCTCTTCAAATCAAATGACTACGAGAAAAAAAGAAAGGAATCAAAGAAATTTCGTTATCCCTCCAAAAGTAGGGGCGGTGGTATTTGACACCATTCAGACAAACATGGAGTAAATAAGTTTAGATTTGATTTAATTATATTCGAGTTGTAATCGTGTTGATTTGAATTAACACGATAATTTAACGTGTTGTGTTTTTATTTGTCCTATTAATTTATTTATAATCCGTTTAACTAAACATTTAATATTCGTATAAAAATTTATTCAAGTAACTAAATGTGTCATTTTTGTGTCGAAAAAGAAAACGTGTTTTATCGCGTTGAGTCTTGACTTATTTATTAAATGGATTACACATATCGTGTCGTCTTGTCCGTGTTATAATACAAATAATAATTGTATGGTGTTTATGTCGACCATTTAACAATTTACTCATATCTTGACAAACACAACTAGCTTTTCTCACATAAATTGTCATCCCTAATCCAAAAATGGAAAAATTATCAAAGAAAGTATTTCATTTTAAGTGACACTTTCATAATACTAAATATAACATTAACATTTTAAAAAATGATCTTTAAAACATTTGGATACCACCTTGATATTAATGTATTTAAAGTAGATCGATTAAAATATAAAGTTTTTTTTTCATTTTCGCTCTTTTACTTATTCCGAACATGTATTTTATCAATTCTTTTTTTTATAATTTATCCAAACATAAATACAACTATTATTATATTTTATTTTATTTCATAACTAAGATAATCATTTTTTTTTTCCCTTCCCTCTGTCCATTCAAACAAAGCATGTACAAAACTTCATTTAAGATAACAATATAGCCTTGATCATTCAAAGGGTATAGTGCAAATATAGATATGAAACTTCTTCAAAGATTACAATAGTAGCTAGCATATATGCATTTAAATTTACTTTTTTTTAACAATGTTCTCTTTAGTTACTTGGGGTCGCATTATATAAAATACAAGAAAATTTTATTAAAAAAGGAATAAAAAAACAAATTTAATGTTTTTAAATATAGTAATTTATGGTATTGCGGAAAGACATTTGCGTGTGGTATACTTGGAAGTTTAGACTACAAAGAACGCAATGAAAAACACATTACTCATATAACTAATCCTAATTAACTAGACTAACACTTACTGAATTTTTTTATTTTTATTATTTTTATTTTTATAGCTACACATACTTAACTTCATTTGATTTAATTACTTGTTCTATAAACTATACAAGTAATTAATGTTCACGTAACCACGTTAGAGGTTCCCCTTCAAACTAAACTACAAAATTCTTCATCCTCTGCAGTGTGAACGCTACTAATTTATTAGTTCAAGTTCAACCAAATAAATGTCAACGAAATTTAATTTCAATGAATTTTTTTCTATAATTTAATAGTGTGAACATCCAATTTGATCATGTAACCAAATGCTCTCCGAGGCTTGCGCTCAACGGATTATTATTTTAAAGAAATGTAAATTTGGAATTCTTTGTATTTTTTATTTCTAATAAGGTGCAGCGTCAAAGTTTCGCACACTGTGTGAAACAAGTTTAAGAAACTGCTAGTAGCTTAGTGAAGTCATGCCTTACATATTCACTTATGCTATTAGTATTGCTCTTTCTATACACAAGTACAAAGTCATCCTCTACCTACCTCACACACACACACACACACACACACACACACACACACACATTCAAAATTTTAGGTGTAAAACAGAAACTTTGAGTGTTAAGGACCATTTACAAGATTAATCTCAGTGTGGACCATTGAAGGAACTGTTAGTAGCTTAGTGAAATCATGCCTTACATATTCACTTATGCTATTAGTATTGCTCTTTCCATACACAGGTACAAAGTCATCCTCTACCTACCTTATAGATATACGTGTATATATATTCAAAATTTGAGGTGTAAAAACAGAAATTTTGAGTGTTAGGGACCATTTAAAAGATTAATCTCAGTGTGTATATAGTTGGCATATTTATATAGTGCATCCTCATCATTGCCTTGGTCCATACAAACGGGGTTGATTTAGAGTAGATGGACGCACGGTATGGATAATTGTAAGTTGTAACTCACATTAAGAAAGAATATAATAATATCTTATGGCAATAAATTGAAAAGTTATATAGATGTTTTTGGGACCAGGCGATTAGAAAATGTGAAAAAAAATTAAATTTTCAAGTCAAATTGATGAAATAAAGGTGCGACCGAATCAATTGAAAGATCAATCCAAGATATAAAATCTTAAATTCAAGTCCAACTCGTTACGAGCTTTCCAACATTACCCAACTCGTACTCGAATTTTTAAATAAATATTTTGTGCTCAAGTTTGAAATGTTAGGCTGAAAATCTGATTGATCTCATTGGATTACCACATTATAAAAAGTTTAAACAAGTATTCAAGAGTTAATTATCCACATGTTTAAATACAAAAAAATCAAGATTAAAAGAAATTAAAAAAATAAAATTACGACTATTAATATATAAATTCATATTAGGTTTAGGTTATTCAATTCTTAATTTGAACCCAATCCAAATTCAGTTCGGATTGAAACTCTTTAATTGACGTTCAATCCTAATTATAAACATAATAGTCCAATTTGATGAGAATTCAAATTTGTAAAGGCAACGGGCTTTGAAGATCTCAAGCCCAGTTTGTAACGCGCAAACCCTTCGACCCACATTAAATGATTCGGTGGTTTGATGGACTGGACTTCACGACACACGGCCCATATCAAGCATCACGAAAGATCCACAAATCACGATGGATTGGGGAGTTAAAAAATCGCAATGCTGCTCAGCAACACCGAAACACCCAAAATATAAACTCCAACCTTTCTCCATCATCGTTCTTCTTCACACACGCAAATCCTGTATAAGCCTTACAGTGTGAGACCGGTGATTGAGCACAATAATCTGAGTTTTAGAGAGAGAAAGCCGAATCATCCATGGCGACTTCTGTATTTCTCTCTCCTCTCTCTTCTCCAGCCATCGACAATCGCGAACTAGGTTCTGGTATTGGTCTCCCACAGTCCTCTTTCATTCACGGTACGAAGTTCTGTGTCTCCTCTTCCAAGACAAGAACAAACACTGTTAGGAGACTGTGTTATAGGTCTCCGATTTCGGCGAAGTCTCTCGATCACATTCCGAAGCAATTCAGAGAAGAAAACCTAAAAGATGGATGTAAGTTCCGCACCTTTTCTCGTGTTTCAATATTATGCTTGCTGTATTAGTCATTTCTTGCTATTTTGAAATTTCTGTATTGCTTTACTTCTTCGTTGTTGGAATTGATTGTGACGATGTAGCAACCAAATTCATTTCTATAATGCTATAAATAATTCCTAGGGTTTACTTTATTCGTATTGATAAATACGCATATGCAGATGTATATATATATGTATTAATAAGTTATGTTGTGTAGAACAAAAATAGTGTTAATTTCTGAGCAAAGTACGGTGTTGAATAAAGGGCGTTGGCAAAATAGTCCTGGCTGATTGTTGGAGTGCAAGCAGTAAATACTTACATGGCTATATCACCCTTGACAATAAATTATTGAACACAAAAGTTAGATTTCTTATGAGCGAAACAATATGATTGATGGATTATATGGGCATAAACTATATTTAGTCTCAAAATCAGAGAGAGTCACCAATTTTAGGGTTCTGACAATATCTTGGAGGCAAGTGAAGTATGTATTTTGCCTCGGGAAACTTGACACAAAAATGCAGCGGTTATAATATCAAATTTGATGGAAAACTAGCTGCAAGAGTGCCTTATGATATCTGAGAAATTTAGTACTTTGAAGATGCTAATTGTTCAAGGTATAAATTAATAGCCCTGATTGGTAGGAAAGGTATTAATGAGTGGTACTTAGATATTGAAGCATGCTATGAATAAATGATGATGATGCTATAGGTCTTATATAGGGGAGCCACTCCAATAGGATATCTTGGATTTCCGAATGTGAATAGCAGCTTCTCATAATACCACATAGCGAGTCAAGGCTAACTTGTTTATGTTAAAAGCATGGACTATACGTGGCCTACTTGTGCCAACACCTAGGAAAAGTTAAAAACCTTGTCATACCAACTCCAAATATGCCCTCAGCAGGGATGGAGTCTGGGTCGACATAAACACCCGGAGGATCAATCTCCAGCTCTTTGTCAACCTCATCAGGGGTAGAACCGGTCTGATCTTCAGCTGGAACACGATCGGTATAACCCTCTCGGAACCCCTGAGCATATCTGAGAGCCCCAACCCTGGAAAACCGAGTGTGTAGAGCCAACATACCACCATTTACCTTGCTGATGGTACTGAGTAACGCATCACGCTCGTCTAGAGCTCTTCTCTCAAAGGCCATCCGAGCGGATTGCTCATCACTCAAAAGGCGCTGAAGTTCTTCCTTCTCAGCCTTAAGAGATTCTCGCTTGGTATGTCAGACACTCTTCTCAAGTTGCAGAGCGTCCTTTTCGTCCTAAAGGGAGTCTGTCTCCTTTTTCAGAGCGTCCCTCTCTTTCTCAGCTTTGTTAAGCTGACCCTTCAGCTCGGCATTCTGAGAAACTAAGGCATGGTTCTCCTTGTTAGCTGCACCAAGGTTGTCAGAGAGTTTACGAGCCTTGGCGTTTCCCAACTTAACTTGTTTCTGCATGGCCATCATCCCAAATAGGGTCTTCAAAGATATACATGACAACTAATTAAGCCGAGCAGGTGATCAGAAGTAATCAAATGTAAAGACTATGTAAAGATTCATTGACTAAGGGGCAAAGGTTACCTCCATGGCAGATAAGGGGAACCGGCTGAACACTTCTTTCTGGGACGGACCCTTGGCTACTTCAATATCCTTAGGAGTCCACATGCTCCTGTAGTACGCTATAGCGGTCTGACCATCCTTGAACATGGTCTTATCCGGCTTTACGGACGACCCGTCCGTTCGAACAAAGCAGGGGTTCCATGGTGCCGATACAGAGGCATAGGCATTGACAGAGATAGGCCCAGAGAGGGTAGGAGGCCTAGTCAGAGGGTGCACGGACACACTTAGCCCAGAGGGCCTAACCCTCTGTGACAGAGAAACGTCATCAAGGTTGAGAGCACTATCAGGCTGAGGCCTTTTTCCTCTCGCCTTTTCCCGAGCGGTAGCAGTATCAGAGCTGGGAAGGTTGCTGACAGAAGGGGTCACGTTTGGATTGACAGGCGTAGTGTTGGAGACCGGATCGGTAGTCATCACGATCGGATCGGTGGAAGGAGTGGTATCAGAAATAGTGGCAGAAGAAGATACTGAAACTTGAGAAGAAGTTGCCGCAGGGGCAACAACGGTCTTGGGGGCAGTTTTCTTCCTGCCGAAGGAAGGGATCTGGAGTTGACTCATTGTCTTGCCGAGGGCTGAGAGAGCAAGAAGGTTGTCTGAGGTAAGGAGTTTCGAGCAAGAGGGAATGTTGTTCAGAACGTACTTCTTCAAATAGTTATCCTTATCCCTGCAAACACCGTAGCTCAAATCATCACAAGGAATGCTTAAGGAACGGCATAAGAAAGTACAAAAGCGAGGAACGCAAATCTCGCAAGGACAATCACTCTTATGGGTTTTGTATTTTTTATACGAAGAGACAGAGTACTCGCCAAAAGCGCTCGGGATAGGGAAGTCCTTTGCGGTTGGAGAAAACCAGGCTCCCCTAATCCCAATTATGTTTTTCCTCCAACCCTTCTCAGATTTGATCTTATCTTTGCATATGGACCTCTTCTCAATGGGGTAGAAATGGTAGAACGGCTCATCAGTTCGGATTTTGCTAACTTTGTAACAGAGGAGAAGATCTATGAGGTCAAGATCAAGACTTCTGTCACGGTTCAGAAGCAACATAACAGAAAAAACCCTAAGGAAATTTGGGTTTACTTGCAAAGGGGAAAGTTTCAGTTTATTAAAAACGTAACTGAAGAAGGGATGCAGAGGGAACCTAACGAGATTTAATTAAAGGTTGGAAAACAAGACCTCGTCGGGAAGAAGGCCAGCACCAGTCCTGATGTTCACATCTTTAGGGCAAGCCCTAATTTGAATGTCATCCGGAAGGTTGAGTCTCATACGAAGAACACTTAAATCTATAGTCATGATGAAAACGAACAAAGATTCTGAGGAAGAACAACAAATCCCTAAAGGAGGAGAAAGAAGCAAAACTAACCTCGAAAGATTGGACACCGCGAAGAGCACTGCGAGATCACCGGAAAAGGAGGCTTTTGCAAAAGATCGTCGGAGTAGATTCAATTCAAAAGAGACAGGACAAGATTTGAACAACAGTGAAGCAAGATGAAGACGGTAAAGAGAATCGATGGAACATCTATGAGGCTTATAAAGACAAGGTGGGCCCGAAGGCCAAGGAGTCAGGAAAGCGAGGAGTTTTTTGAATCTCGAAGCACCAACTCCTAAATCTGACCGTCCATTTGTCCATGCGATCTTCTCGAGCCATCAAGTCATGATTAGCAGCCTCTAATAATTACCCCCTAATTTATTAGGGAGTAATTATGGGGGCAGTTGAGGATACAATAAGTAATATGGGCCGGTTATAGTCCGCGAATGTGGCATCGGGGTAAACAATTGAAATTCAGCCCATACAGGAGAACCATGGAATGGGCCGAGCTCGGAGGATCCACCGAAGAAGGCCAAGCCCATTGGAAAGAAGGCCCAAAGTTGATAGTCCAGCAGCACCTGTAATTGCCTATAAATAGGCGGTGAAGGAAGTAAAGGAGGGGGAGATTATTGTGAAATGTACTGAAACTCTGTCAAAATTGAGGGATAGATTTTCTTGCATTTACAAGAGTTAAAACCAAGCTCTTGTTGTGGTAGCATAATTTACTTCTTTTTTAATTATTAAAAGTGGCCCTATTCTTTTATACTCTTTGATTCTGCACATTTATTGTGTTTCTATTTTGTTTCGGCTGAGTATACATGATTGAAGGAGTGTGTGGACTCATGTAGAAGTAACACAAAAAGTATGTAGGTATCCAAAATGTGTTTGATAGGGACATGGATCCTTAGCCAAAGTGTCTGTGCTACTTGGAGAGTGACTTGACTTGGCTTGTATTTCTAAATTACAATTAAGGGTATAACTCGCATTGTTTTAGCCTTATTCAATGCCGCCTACGTGCTTAAATTTGTTTAGTTTGGGAAATTGCTAGTCTTTGGACTATTATTCCTTCAATCTTTCTTTTAAAATTCAGACACAATAGAATGTTTACATATCCTTTGCAGAATTTGTGAGTGACTTGAATGGTATGAACCTATATCTCTAAAATTTCAGTGTATAAAAGATGCATAAAACTATTACTTAGTACTTTGGATGGTCCTGTAGAAGACCTATTGAAGTGTATATGTTATATATATGATTGGTGCGACTACTTGACTCTTCAATTTGTTTTTGGAATGGATATCTAAAGCATGCTTTAGTTTTCAATGACTTTATGGTAATGTCTGGAAATTTTGGACTCGCACTAGATGCCCTTGTTGAATTATAAGGCAAGTTTATACTAAATAGTTTGAATATTATTCTCTGGTGAATTACACTTTGGTCAAAATTTTATGTGAAATTTTAGAATTTTTTGGTTAACACTGAATAGGTGGAATGAATAAATAAGAGTTTGCAGTCTATTAAAGTTTTAATATGGCAAAAACCTGACAAAACAGATCTGAACCAGAAAAATTTACTCATAAATTCACAAATTAAACACCTGTTTAAAGCTATTTGAGAATTGGGCTGCAAATGAGCTGAGCTGATTGTTGAGCTTTTCAGGCTTGATCTGTTTAAATTTAGGTGTTGTTCAGAGTTTGGACTCAAGTAGGAGCATCTGCGCATCAGCTGAGACACCAAGCAAGGGAAACAGGGAAGGGAAATCAAACCCTCATACCCAAACATATATCTACAGATCTTCAACATGAAAACTCATCCACGGATAAGAACTAAATATGAGATGAGCACCTTAACACAAGCCAAAAGGGAACAAAATAAAAAGGAAAAATCATTGAGGAGAGCGATAAAAGTTGTGGCACCGGAGAGAGGGTGAAAGAAGATCGATCATCTTAACTCCTTTCTTCCTTTCTCTCTCCTCTTTTTGTCTTTCAACGTTCCATAACAAACTATTTTTCACTTACAAAAAGAGCTAATATATTATGTTATATAACTATCGATTATAGATGGAGATAGTTGTTATAACTTATATTATTGTATTTAAAATTAGTTTTCCTGTCCCAACATATATATTTCCTCAAATATATAATTTTACCGTGTATATTTTTATATTCAGATTATGAGGAGCATGGTTGGACTAATATGCTTTTGTGTCTAAATGAGCCGAGCACAGTCTTTCTGAAACATAGATGTGGTGATAGTCTGTAGTTCATGGCCGCAATGGCTCTGGGATTTTATCTGTTTGGATTGCTCTATTTCTGATTAATATGGTTTTGTTGTTGGCCCTGAAAAAAATAACAATAATGAAGTCTTGCTGAAGCTTGGCTTGTCTAATTGAGCTTAAAAGTTAGGTTCAAGCTTAGCTATTTAAGGTAGATGAATAAATTCAAGAAAGCTTTCGGACAAGCTGAGCCCTAGTGATTAACTTATTTCTTGGTTCATTTGCAGACCTATTTTAAAGTTATATAATCTTTAGGTTCCATTTGGATTGAAGGATTTAAACTAAATGGATTTAGGTTCAATTATGTGATAAATATAGCTTGTGAATTTGAGAGGATTCCAAGCAACAAGGTGTGAGGAGTTATTTGAAATCCACACCGACAAGGATCCAAAATGCAATGAATGTCGCCATCACTTCAGATTTCGGAATCCAATTTAAATAGCCAACCTTTGTAAACTCAAATCGGTTCATTTCAATTTCATCCATTTATCCAAATGAACGCTGAATGTTTTTGTGATTCTAAATCTTCTTTCCGCATTTAGATAGTAATTCCTATATTCCATATCTACCTCGATTTTAGTTAGTGTTGTTTCGTCCCCTTCTACATTTAGAACATTGTTGTGGTGTATTTTATCTATTATAAAATTTTCAAGAAATGAAGCTGCATTGTGAACGAGAACTTGGAAGACACTGAAGTTTCAATATCATGTCTGATTACATCATGAAATTCAATTACTTTTGAATTCAAGTTACATTCAAAATCAAGAATGTCTTGGTTCTTATATCTTACCCATATTCTCTGTTGTAGTGTTGGACAATTTCAAGAATGCCCCTCAATATCTTTATGGCCTTACTCCTTCACAGATGGACATGTTCATGACAGAAGATAATCCTGCCCGTCGACAGTCAGAAAGAGTCACAGAGGTGTCCTCTTTATATATGCTGCTTCATATCTTTTACTGTTAAACGATTGCATCATGAAAATCCTTTTGTTATTGCTTCTTGATTTTCAACAAAATAAAACCTAAATCTTATTGTTAGTCGTTGTATACTTATACCTAGAGTATTTGACAGGAAAGCATCTCATCTGCCAGCAATTATTTGGATCATGGAGGAATGTGGAGTCTATCGGGCACGAATGATAGGGGTCCTTCAAAGTATAGCATGAGTGTGAGCATGTACCGAGGAGGAGCCAGAGGGTATGGAAGACCCAGAACTGCTCCTCCTGATTTGCCATCTTTGCTTTTAGATGCTAGAATTTGCTATCTGGGAATGCCAGTAAGCCACCAGTCCACTCTACTACTCTTGTCATACCTTGCCTAAATAAACCTTCTGCTACTGCGCTGTCCTTGAACTGCACCATCTAATGTCTTACCTGTCTGATTGCTGCAGATTGTACCAGCAGTAACTGAGCTGCTTGTTGCTCAGTTCATGTGGTTGGACTATGATAACCCATCAAAGCCTATATATCTATACATAAATTCATCTGGAACGCAGGTTAATGTTTGATATAATGCTGTTTGTCCTACTGTTTTTCTATTTCACACCACCTATTCATCAAAAGACTCCAAACTCCTCATGGGTTGGTTGAAGTACGTCCTTTTGACGTTTGCTTACCAATATTGACGTGTTTCTGTGATGCATTTGCCTAGAATGAGAAGATGGAGACTGTTGGATCTGAAACTGAGGCGTATGCCATTGCCGACACCATGGCTGTAAGCACATTATAATTCAAACCAAGTAAAATGTTCATAGTAGTTCATGAAGCATGTTAATTTTTTTTCAATTGGATACAAGAGAAGGGGAAGGATGAGATACCTTCATTGTTTAGTCTATATTTCTTAGAATATAAAAGGACATAGTGCAAATGTATTTATAATGTCTTTTATTAGTTTATCTTATTTAATTTATCCATTTAGCCTTCTAATTTGACCTTTGAATTCTGTTTTATGATTTGCCTAAAGTACTGCAAGTCCGATGTCTATACGGTGAACTGTGGCATGGCGTATGGTCAAGCAGCTATGCTTCTATCACTTGGAGCCAAGGGTTACCGTGCTTTACAGCCAAATTCTTCCAGTATGACTCAATTTCTCTGTGAAACATAAGCATGATTTCTGTTTCCTAATATTATTTATAATCACCAGTATAAGATATCAAAACAGTGTTGCTTTCTGCTTCATTATATCTATATGTGGTGCACCAACTCATGATTAGTGGATCACCCATTAAATAGGGAACCGGCAGACTGATCCATTTACAAGTATAATTCTTAATATATTTGTGTATGAGAGGTAGTACTGTGGTGGAAAGCTTCCTTGAAAGTGTCTCCTGGGTCCTAATTTTATCCTTCCGTCTACCATGTCTTTAAAGTTGCTATATGCTTGCCATATTAGGTCTTAGTAGTTTGAATTTGAGTAGTTGTATTTCAAGTCTCCCTACAATTCAGGGTGGGGATTATTTTCCTTCTAAAGGTGGATAGTTGTATTAGTTTATCTATTGTGTTATGCAATAAAAATCTATTTTTTTATAACATAGCTGCAGATATGAAATTATGACTCGTTATGTTAGGTATGACAGATATCTCTGCAAAATTACTCTTGAATTGAAATTTTGAATATTATTCTACTAAATAGAGAAGTAGGGCAGACTTGGGGAGTAGGATATTCTCAAGGTGTTGCAGTGGAAACCTTCGCTTGGATGCTGAGCAAGCAAGCTTCCAATTTAACTGTTGTTAATGTGTCTGTTTTTGCTATTTTCTTCAATTATGTATGTGGCCTTCGCAAACTGTTTAGGTGTTTATAAACGGAGCTATTGGGTTAAGAGTTTAATTTTCATTTTTTGTTCAAAAACCCCCATGAAGCCTCTTATATTATCCAATTGTCTATAATAGGTTGTTTTTTTTTTTTTCCCTGCCCCTTTTTGATTCAGCTTTTATAGTGGCATCCCACCCTCGGGTGTGCGCGCGCGCTCGTATCAGAGTGATAAGAATAGAACCTCTTAATCCCATACTTCCCCTTCTAATGATGGAATAATAATAATGTCTTTTGGAGTTGTATGAAATCCAAAGCTTCGTAGTAGTCTTTTATACCTCTTTTTCACCATATTTATTTGATTTGCAGCAAAATTGTATCTGCCGAAGGTCAACAGATCAAGTGGGGCTGTTATAGATATGTGGATTAAGGTACTCTCTTCTCCCCTTGCCTCCCTCCCCCCTCCACTTTCTAACCGCATTTTCATCAGGCCAAAGAACTAGATGCAAACACCGAGTATTACCTCGAGCTGTTGGCAAAGGGAATTGGAAAGCCAAAGGAAGAACTCGAGAAAGACATCCAGCGCCCCAAGTATTTCCAAGCACAGGAGGCCATTGACTATGGCATTGGAGACAAGATAATTAGCTCAAGGGATTCTGCATTTGAGAAACGGGTAGATTTCTTATTAAATTCTGCCTCGGTATAGTGTTTCATAATCTTCCTCCATGTCCATTCTAATATTAAGTTCGCTGATCAGAATTATGACGAGATGCTTGCCCAATCAAAATCCACAAGGAGAGGACCAGGAGCTGGTCTGCAAGCAGCTCCCTCTGGATTTAGGTAATCATAAAGCCTTTTATGCATCGTGAATATCCCAAAACCACAGGTTTAATGTGATCCTGTCTCGTCCTCTGCGACTTGCACAATGGAGGAGCTATTACATTTGGGGCTTTTGTTGAATACTGTAGTTGTGATACAGATAGAGCTAGCCTCCAATATGTGAGATCCGTTAGTTCTCTTATATGTATGTTGTATACATGGGTAAGATGGGAAAAGGATATCGATCTGGATCTGCTCCTCGTGAAATGTTCATTGTAATGAAACACAACCTTAAGCACCAGTTAGTTTTATGATTTTTCAAAATTATAGCATACAATATATACGACGATTAATGAACTAGAACAGAATGTTTTTCGAGGAAGCCTCAATCTGATACAGGGAAAAACTGAAAAGTACCAGTCCAATGATTTCATGTGAACCAATGGTTTTCCATATATGATTTGACTGCCACGGGAAGCACCACGAACCATCCCATCGTGCCCTTGTGCTACAGAAACGTCCCTTTTAGATTGAAATCCTGGCTTACTGGGGTAAAGATAACACTAATAAAACGACTTATCAAAAAAAAAAAAAAAGATGACAACACTAAAACCGGTGAGACTTCACTGTCATGGCAAAAGTCCAGGCTAGGTTTTGGACCTCAATATTATGGTAATTTACCTCAGACAAAACTACCTGGGGTTGTTCTCATTAAGTGGTCGTAAAATTAATTCTGCAGTTGCAAATGAGTTGCTTGTTTGTTTCGTTGGAAAATATTTTCTATATAAAATCTTTTTCGGTAATATATATATATTTATTTATAACTTGGTGTTTGACCAAGGTCTTGAAAAAAAATTTCTTAGTTATTTTTGTTTAGTTTTAATAAAATATTTTTGTGTATTTGGTTATATGAAATTAGAGTTGATAGAATTTGAAAAAAATAATTAAGAAAATTGAATCAAATTTTTTAAAAAAATTTACAAAATTTTAATTCCAAGAATCTAATTAAATTTTAATTCCAAGAATCTAATTCCATGCTACCGAACATATCCTCAATACATTTACTTAAATTTTGCACAACCAAAAACCTAAAAAGGTCAAATATTTATATATATATATATATATATATATATATTGCATCCAAATATCAGTTTTTTGGCAAGTGCCACTGAGGCTATAACCAGCTTATCAGCATAAGGCCAAATGGACTACGCCTTTTGGGTTGGACCGTCAGCCTAAGCACCATGAAGCACGGAGGACACTAACCCACATCTTTAATATGCATTTTGATGCCATGTTTGTGCAATGAACCCTCTCAAAATATATTAGCAAGCTGATTAGAACCTCCCATCTCCAACCAAATTTATATTTCAAATAATTCCTAAATGGTAAACTCGCCTATATGGTTTAGTCGGCATTGATTTCAACTATTCAAAGTGAACCAATTGGAAGACAATGCATCTGACACAAACACTAGTATAGAATGTCAATTTAAGGAATGCTATCAACTTCAGTCAGTAACTGGATTTGACGAGCCATCCAACACAGAGTATGTACAGACATGGTGACAAAGTCTATCGAGAAGGCCAAAATATGGGAAGAAAATTCCAATCAATGAGCAACGATTAACTAATCCCTTCATACATAATAAGGGGGAATCTAGGATATGAAAATGCCACATATTAAGACTGGCAGCAGATTTAGTTGCAGTTTCCATTTATGTAGTAGGATTGGCGTATGCTTTTGGTTTTGGCTTAACTTCAACTTCATTTACGCTTCTAATGAAAATGGCATCTGGTTCGTGTCTGCAAAATGAACAGGCAACAAGTAGAAGTTAACCACACGCAATAAAACATAACTGGATGCCATAGAGAGAGAGAGATTCTCACCGCTTATCACCCTCCTCAAATGTATAGCTGGACGCAACAGCAAGAAGTCGGCCATCTCTGCTGAATGATAAGGCTGCAATGCTAGTTGGGTATTTCGAGTACTGCTTGTTGAATTTTGGGGAGAAAAAGAATTAGAAAATCGTTACCCACCACGAATGAAATATAATGTCAGAATGATTATTTAATATATTACCTGATACAGCCTCTTTTTGTTGTTCCCATCCCACATGTTCACATAACCATCACAACCACCGGTTGCAAATGTACCATAGCTGCAGTTCAATTTGTTAGTACAGATAACAAATATAAAAGTAGCACAAAAGGTAATTACCATAATAACTGTTCTTATACAGAAACATCAACTCAATACTGTATTATGGTAGTATAAACCAGAAAAAGGAAAAGAAAAAAAAAAAGAAAAGATATATAGTGTAGTTCTAAAATCACCAATAGAGGGAAGACCCTGCATAACTCCAGCATGAAATAAGAGTACAAGAGCATCACTTTATCACAGGGAAACATTTTTGAATTTTGCATCAACAGATCCATGAACTCATCTTTCTAAACATATGATACACTGAGGGATCTCGAACAGGTCACACTCAGAAGAGCACAATGACCAAAATGATCCTTCGTGATTCAACTCTACAAAGCCTTAAACCCAAACTATTTTTTATACGGTAAGGCTACTATTTTGATCATGAAGATCAACCCTTCAATGCAGGATTCTGTCACTAAACAATAAAGTAATGCTTAACCTTATAGTCCCTCCACTAAGAGAGAAATTTTGAGAGAACTTACATAGGATGATATGCAATAGCATTTACAGGATAGACGATGTCCCTTCCGGCTTCCGATTTCCGATGACACTTGAATGCATACCTGCAGAAGCCCAAAACCATCAAGTAGCAAAATAATTGATAAAAAAAAGGTGCACCATAGCGATGAAATATAGGCATGCCTGCATTTTCGTGCTATAGTCCCCTAACAAGAGAGAGATTTCCCTCCTTCACAGTCATCTAGTAATAAATTGCATCTTATCACATCACAGTCAGAAGAGTGCTGCTGTGGTTTCACAGGCAAAAACTTGTGACAAGTCAGGAAACACCACATCTCTTCTATTGAATGACAGGAGTGCAGCATACAAGGATGTGCTATATACATAATTCCTTTTGTTTGAGAGAGAGAAGAAGAGTTCTTACAGAGGGAAGACTTAAAATTTGCATCTTTAATTTAATCAATGCAAACATACATCAACAATATAAAAGAAGCAAAATCTCATTCTATCATGCAGCCTAAGGAAGTATCTCAGAAACTCAGTGCAGCTATCTAGCAAAGTTAAAAAGAAAGAGGAAAAAATAATAATAATAATAATAATAATAGAGAATGTTGAAATGAGAGCTCCGAAAAGCGATAAGAAAAAGTTAAAACAAAAAAGTCACTATGTGTTAAGTCACAGTGCAAAGAAATACATACTTTTTGGATTGACCAGACTCAGAAGGATCAAAGAATTCCATGGCAACCCGACCTTCCACAGAACTAAGAGCATAACCTGCACATAACAGTCTTTATTAAAATCAGAGCAAGAATGCATTACATAAACAAATTTCTTCAGACTACATTAGCTAGATGCTTCATTGCAATGTTACCATACTTGACTATTTTTCCTTTTGATTAATAATCTGAACTGTGGCACCTGTCCCCTCTGTCTCTCCATAAACATTGTGTCACATACGTAGTATTAATGTTCACGTCTTAAGTGAATAAAACTGAAAAGATCTGTGAAAGTTTAAACTTTATTGAGAAGGTTCCAGAATTTATATTTCTAGTATGGGAAAAAAAAAAAAAAAGCCCTACAATTATGGTAGAGAAGTGACACCGTAGTGATTTAGCTGCAAAATTGAATAAATTTTTTTGTCTGGGAGACAAAAAGGGCTTAGCTAATGTCACATGATTCTACCCATGGAAAGATGCTGAGAGTTACCAACAGTTGTAAGGTAGCTTTCCAAACCTTGAGACATTCAGATAGATACCTGTTCCATTGGGATAACAGCGTACGCATCTAGTCTGATATTTCAATGATGATTCCCTCCGCTGCTCGGGTTGAGCCATATTCCTCAAATCATAAACATTTACATGCCTTCCAGCAGTTGCTACTACTAAACGATTGCCAACAAGAGATAGAGAATAGACACGCTCGGGCTGCGCATACGTCCCAACAAGAGTGCGCTCTTGTCCACTTGTGCCTCTAGGGTCCCAACACTTTAGTGTTTTGTCCCAACTACCAGTGATCACTTGCCCTAATATCACAAACAGATGAAATATATGTTATCAAATGAAATCTTTTAGAAATATAACAAACAACATCATCAATGAGATTCCATGCATATGTGACATCAAGTGGTATTACTGACTTAAGTTAACAGTAGTGTTACTATGATAAGATTAATGAAAAATAAGAATATGAGACTATACTTATTCTTGCTCCTCCTTTTTTTTTTTTTTTTCTTCACTATTGAAGTACTTCAAAATTATAAAAGAAACTAATGCTCCCATAACTCTCCAACAACTGACATGAACATGATAAAGTGCTTAGCCGTTCAGCGAAAGCACCAGGTGGTCAAAGTCATCTCATACCATTGTGAACATTAAGTTAATAAGAAAGGTAATAATGCAGCAACCACCAAAACCAACCTGTTGCATATGAGTACTCAATACAGCGCACAGGTGCATCATGCTTCCCCAAAATATCCTCCTTGCCTACGCTGAAAACAAGCCTGAAAATTTAACAGCATCAACTGCTTAAGCTTGATGAAACAATAAAGTTAAATATGTTTATTGACATCACATACACAGTCGGGAAAATATAAACAAAGCAATCACCATCTTCTATAAATCAAAACAATAAGAAAAAAACAGAAGCACAGTCAGACCAGTACATAAGGATCATGTATTTAAAGTTGGAGTGTTCTTAATAAAACAATGAGTCAGAACCCCAGGAAGAATGTAGAGTAGACTGTTTCCCCAAGTATTTTAAGGAACCACTGAAGCTTCCGACAAGCAAGATGTTGGGACATCAAAATAAAAGGCATGCGACGCACATTAGTGAAACTGAGACCATAGATGAGAAGAGACAATAGTGAAATTCGAATATGTAATCATTACGTTTTCAGTCTGTAAAACCACAGTTAGCAGATCAATACAATTTCCCCAACTACATATTGGTTTCCTAGAGTAGAAATTTTAAGCTTATATTCTGGCGAATTCCATGAAAACAAGTTGATAGTAAACCAAGAAGGTCAAACAGAGAGCAAACAACTATTAGCAGAAATTCATACCTTTCTCGTTTAAGTGTTACATATAACGAGAAAGATAAGGTGGTGCGGGACAGTGATGATGCATTCATACAAGTGTTAACCCAATTAATTCAATCTTCAGTTCAAGTCTCTTCCGAAAATTTCTTCCCTTTTTTTTTTGGTTGGTGGGGGGGTTGAAATATTAGAATCTACTGTTTATATATAAGATCCTTGTTAGTTCAACAGGACTGAGATTGACAAATTTTATACAAAACAATAGTCTGTATGTTCTGTTTTTTAGCTATTGATTTTGGGTTCAAAAGTATAGAGAAGTTAATTTGTCCAAGGACAAAACTGTATATTCAAAGCTTTCAACAAGGGCAAAAAGGTAAATTCAACTCTCAAATTATGCAATCACCAAAACTAAGTTTCATATGGATTCATTCATATCATTAGACATATTAAAATTTTCAAGTTGCACGTTTTGATCAATAAAAACCTGTTTTAGAATGGTTTGTTTCTATTATAAAAATTCTAATTGAGCCAAGACAACGGAGTTCAATCAATGATTGCTCGAAGCCCACCAAACGGTTCGATTGATTAAATTAGCTTTCAATCGCTCAAATTTTATGAATGAAGAATTTGCAAATAGGTTTAAAACTCTCGACAACCCCAATCTCTTTCAGCCTCCAGGATCTATAAAAAGACCTAATGCTTTCAGAGAACTAGACCTAGCATCTTCAAGCATACCTAGAGCATGTACCAACATTGTGAGGCAACACGACTTGAAAATCTGATCACGTGAGAGTGGATTTGTTAATAGGCCGAGCATTACTAACTAGCTAATGCTTTCGAGCCCATGGGGCTTCCTTTTCTAAATGAACTTTATGACGAGAATTTTCCATTACTTTTATAGGAATGACTTTAGGCGAGGGCATGCTTCTCGACTCAGACTTTGTTGGTGGAGCTTTCCAGCCTGGCAGCAGCAGGGCTCTCGAGGAGAACGTCTGGCGTGAGTCTAGATCAGATTCAACTAAGGGATTCTAGCTGTCGAGTATGATTACCTAATTGTAAACATTTCTTCATACAATAAATTTGATCGGTCTGGACTAACATTTTTGGTTTTTCCCTTATGGGATTTTCCAAGTTAAAGTTAGTGTTTGTTTGTTGATGTTTTTATGCTTAAAATTATGCACCATGTTTATTTTTACATGCATGAATGTTAGTTAAGCTTTGAAAGTTACTTCAAATTTTAAATTTCTGTTAATAATAGTTCAATAGATCTCAAGACCTATTCATACCTCCTCTAGGAATGTTAGTTAAGTTTTGAAAGTTACTTCAAATTTTAAATTTCTGTTAATAATAGTTCAATAGATCTCAAGACCTATTCATACCTCCTCTAGGTCAAGTTTGGGGCCTTTGCATTCTCTAACATCAGAGCCTTTAAAATCCTAATTAAGGCAAGTATTCTTATCTGATATTTAATTTAAACCCAAAAGAATTTAAAAAAAAAAAGTAAAATTAAAATAGTGAGATCACTTTTAAGCAGGCTAAATTAAGTATATAGACCGGTAGTGATGACAAACACCCTATGAAATGTGTGAACATCACATCCACTCTAGGCAATAATTTTAACAAAATAACATGAAATGAGTAAAAAATAGAAGTCATCAGCTACTGCAAATGAAAACATGAAACTATCTCTTGCAAACAAGTGATCTTCCACACTAAAAGTTGCGTACCTATTATGGAGCATCACATTTTTTGCAAATCCCAAGTTTAAAGACGGCTTAATGCTAATTATGCTACTACAAACTTGCAAATCAAAAATACTTTCTATATGCACAGCTACAATAAATAAACTTGCAGTAAAGAGAATTTTTTTGCACAAAGTTACTGCAATCATAAGCTAATCAAACAGATTCTTCACTCATGCACATGCAGCACAGCAGAAAACTATGACAAGTACTTATTATATCTAATGAATTTGGAATTTTCAAAGAAAGAAACCTAAATGACCACACAATAAGCTATCAAAACAAATTGATCATTATATCCTCATTTTATTAAAAGAATAAAATAAAAAACTGAAGATTTGTGACAGTTCCAGCAAATTCTATTAAGGTTCAATATAAAATGCTTTTCTTTTTGGGTGCTACGACTGGAGGTAAATCAAAAAATATATATATGAAATCCAGAGATTTTTTAAAAGAAAAAGGGAAATAAGGCACAAATTGCTCTTACCTCCGCACAGTATTATCCGCACTGGCACTGAAGCCAGACGAATCGTCATGGAAGCAACAATCGAGGACAGGACCTCCATGCATGAACTCTCCTCTCAAGAGATCGGCACTCGCATCGTACAATCGAACAGTCTGACAAAATCACACCATCATGATGAGTTCAAATTAAGATCTAGAAAAGAAAAGAAGAAAAAAAAAAAAAAAAAGTAAACCTATCGCACTAAACTTAGGTCTTGAGAAATAGGAGCTGAAAATTACTTTGTCCCAAGAGGAAACAAGCAGGTGATCACTGTGATTAGAGAAGCGAAGGTTCGATATGCCGTCGGACGGCGGATTCGAGAGCTCTCGTCCGGCGACCTGTGGCACCGTGGTCATGATCTTGTCGTTTTAGTGCAAGCTAGGGTTTTAGAGATAAAAAGGTTATAGTGGCCCTGGTTCTCACACAATGAATGCGAATAAGAGATAGGGGGAAGATAGGTTTGAAATACAGGAGGAGTTGAATCCAGTGGTTTTTAAAAGAGGCACAGAGGGACGAAGGTGTCCGACTACCTTTTCGTATGCAAATTTTCAAATTCAAATGAGGGGCAATGAAATCTTGTGGACCGTGGTACATATTATACATTTGGTTGTTTATGTAAAGTGAAAATGATGCCTGGATTATCTTTTTCCTATTACGTCAGTGTCCCGATGTTTTGATGGGTTGGTGATCGACATGAATATATGGTGCCCGATCATTATGGATCATTAACTAGTGTGGTGGATATAATTAAATTAGGCATTAATTTTAATTTGATGCGTTCTTAACAAATTAATTAAAAAAATTAATTTACTATTGATCTTTTAAAAAAAATTAGATTTTTTTTCAAAAAAATAGATAAATGAAAAACAATGGCGATCTATCAATTATTAATTTGCGGATTCGATTTTTTTTTTAATCCGCCACCGATTCGTGAGCTGCAGATTCGATTTTTTTTAATTCGCTCCCAATGTATCGGGGACAGATTTAACCATAACTCAATAAATAAAATTTAAATTTATCACTATTAATTTATATATTTAAATGATCATTAACTAATACATCGTTAGAGTCCATTATATGATCATCAACTAATTAAATTAATTAATATGTTATATATATATATATATATATATATATATATATATATATTTCACGGATCTGATCGGATTTTTAACAGTCCTATCCATGATTCCATACGTGAGGTGCGAATTCGATTTTTTTAAATCCGCCACTGATTCGTAAGTGTAGCAATCCAATTTAATTCATTCGGATTGGGTCATATTCGATAATTCACGTATTATTTACTCACCCCTATCATTAACTATATACATAAGTAAAAAATATGATAAAAGTATGCGTATCCAAATCTAGAAAAATATTATATGGTGTCGCACCAATTATCATGTGACACATCAATAAATACGTCAAAAATGTGTAAGTTTTAATTAGATTTTTGCTAACGTGTCACATAGTAATTGGTCGAAATCATATAATAATTTCTTTTTTTTCTTAGTTACCAACTCACATACACATGTCTTTTCTGAGACTTAAACTCCTGACCTCTCTTTGAAAAATAAGAGACTGATACCGTTAAGCCACTGCCCCATTAATAAAATCATATAATCATTTCTCTCACATCCAAATGTCTAACTTGTCTTTTTATCGAATTCTAAATGAAAATTTCACTCGTTCCACCAGAGTACAGGCCTAATTACAAACTATACTTTTAACATTCAAAAAATTAAGTTAACTTCATCCTAACACTTTGTCTTTGCCCCTTCATGCGATAAGCAATGACCCTCTTTTTTTTAATGACTTCAGCCATTTTACCATACTTGCCCTTATTACAGTTTTAAAGGCCTTTCCACCTTTACTTTTGATTTTAAATTAATATTCATCTTAATGATGTGGTCATTAACTAATGAAATGGTGACACATAGTGATATAGCCCAAATAAATATAAAATAATGATACTTACACCGAAGTTATGCACCGATTTGTTAAGCAGAATGATGTAACAGTCTAGCTAACAGAGAAACGTGATTTTTTACTAATGTAATTATTGTTCACCATCCCATCACTAATTTCATAAACTTTTCCGTCGTCCTTAATTTCTCAAACGAATATCGTGTGTTTTTTTTCCTCTTATCCTCTTATTAAACGCGATATGCAATAACTCCAAATGTTTTGACGATTTACAATAAGTTTTTGACGATTTGCAGAGTACCTCTTTTAACCAAATATATATATATATATCAATCTACCTGTATATGTATATGTTACTGCAAATTTTTTTTAAGAGTTCAACACCAATGTCAATCCATTTAATAGAGATTCATTCAGACGACTAGTGCTGATCAAAACAATTCCATCTATATATACATATATATATATATATATATATATATATATATATAAAGAGAGAGAGAGGTACTCAATAATTTCAAATCGTCAAAAAGTTGCAAATCATCAAAAACTCGTTATAGATTGTCAAAACAATTGGAATTGTTACAGATCACGTTGAATCGGAAGAAAAAAAAAAAAAAAAAAAAAAAAAAAAAAGTGAGAAATTGAGGATGATGAGAGAAACTTCGTCTGAAAATTGAAGACGACAGAGAGGTTTCTGAAGTTAGGCATAGGATGGTGAACTGAAAAAGTGAATAATTAGATTAGTAAAAAATCACGTTAAATCACGTTCTCTACCAGCTAGACTGCCATATCATTCTATTCAACAATTTGATGCATGGCCTTCGGTGTAACTATCATTACTCATAAATATATATATTTTTATTTGATAATACATAATAGATTGATAACATTAGGTTAAAAAAAAATTATCTTTTTTATACAAGGCTTAGGATTATATTTAATTTAAAATTTCTGTAATAGTACATTTGTATTCTCTCATTCCCTCCACTATTTTTAAACGAATAAAAATTTAAAAGGAAGAAGAATAAGTTTTAATAGTTATATTTAAAACTTTCGAATTATGGACAAATAAGTTATTTGTGTGTGTTGACCTTAAGGATTTCATCCAAGGACAATCTAGTTGTTTTGATGATAACAAACCATTAATGGTGTTTAAGGACTAATGTTTACATTGAGTGTTATATAGATTTTTCACATTCAAAGAATGACCTCAATGAAGCTATAAAGATCATTTCAAGTATTCCATTATTCAAGATCACATCAATGAAAGAAATGGATACAAAGAAGAGTTGAAGTTGCAAGAAGCCAAATGCAAAGTCCATCCAACGATAGTTTGAACTACAACGAGAAAGAAAGCACCTCAAAGAAAGGATGAAAGTAAGGATACCTCAAAGCCTAAAGATCATGGACAAAGCCTGAAGAAAGGGGTAGATAGCATGGTGAGTGTTTATGATTAAATGTCAAAGTATTTATGAATCTATTTGAAGCTCATCTCTATAGAACCATGCATGTCATTACATCATTTATAAGTTCCTATTACCATTAGCAATAGACTATGCACTTCATATATACAATAGACACATGAAGTTATTGCTAAAGAATGAGTTAGTTCAAGCTTCCTTAAGCTTTGAAAGAACTCATCACTTGTGCTAGAAATGTTAAGACCATGCACATCAATTACATGATTCACTTTAGTCTCTAGAAAGTAAATGCTAAGGCTTAGAACATATTTGCTCGTTTATAAAGCCTTCATTTCAATGACTTGGTAAAGGACATTAGGACCCCAGAATGCACGTCATGAAGAACTGTGTTTTTGGCTAAGTGTGAAAAATGGATTTTTGAAATAATGATTATTTCAAATTAATTTTTCCCGGTAATAACTCTTTATACTTAAACTAGCCTAAATTGATTTTATTATAGTTTTTGACGAAGTCTACATTGGTCTATATAAGGATTCAATTTTACCAAAACTATCGGAAATCCAAATTTGTACTAAAACTGAATTTCTATATTTTGATTTAGTTGGATTTCAATTTTCTAGTATTTTTTATTGAATCCAAATGGGGGTACTTCCTTATTTACATTGTAAACTTAAAGTAAATGGACATATAAATTATATGCCCATTTACTTAAATGTTTTCAATGGAAATAAGCTGTATGCAGATGTCCTGTACTGAAAGTCTTATGCATAAGCTGTCTGTCAAAACTGTTAATACACATGTCGACTGGTTTGATACACATGTCGACTGGTATCTAGGCAGTGGCAAAAATCCAAGCTGAAACTCACACATGTCAACCGATTTGACACACATGTCGACCGGTATCTAGGCAATAGCAAATGTCCAAATGGAGCTCAGTAGATGTCGACTGGTTCGCAAAATACATCAACCGGTTCAAGCCAAGATGTTAACCGGTTTAGCCACATGTCGACCGGTTTGGTCGCAGATCTGCAAATTTCAAACTGCAACGGCTATTTTCTTTTTGACCCTCGTGCATTCCACTCCCAACAGCTATATTGAGCTTGGAAACTCTATAAATAGAGTGGGGAATGTCTTAATAACTAAGAGACATCATTTGAAAGACTTCATATTGCATTAAAGAGAGTTTTTGTTCTCAAATCTTCTCTTCATCTCTCTCATTCACTCTTATCTATCTTGAGAGATTTAATTAAGCACTCAAAGGGCTTTTGCTCTTGCTTTAATCTTCATAGAGTTTTTGTTCTATTATACACTTGAGAGATTATAAGAGTTTACATTCTTCACTTATATCATCTCCTCTCATTCATTTCATTCATAGAGTTTGAGCTTCACTTATATTCATATATACTCTAGTCGAGAGCTAAAGTTTGTACATCAATCTTTGAGAGATATTTCTTGTGAGCTTGCACTTGTATATTTATCTTAAGAGAGAGATTCAATCTTATATTTCAATTACAATCTTTTCTACTAACTTGTAAGGGTTGGTGTTGTTGTGAAACGTGCAAGTTTTAAAAACTTTTCGAAAGATTTTGATTCATAGATCTTGATTCATCACAGAGAGACAAGTTTGATGAAAAAATAAAAATATGATGTATCATTCAATTAATGGATTGAATACTTACATCAAATGTCTGAGTAAACCTTTAAATCTTTCCTATAAAGTGAATGTTCCCACTTATTGTAGATCCCTTAACAAGATGCCTTCTCTTTGAATCTCCATCTTCTTGGTAATTGTTTTGCCTTTAGGAATCACTCATAAACCTCCATGAATGACCTTGGAAAATTAGGCTTGTGGGAGCCTCCATTAGATGAAAATATAAACCTTAATTTTCTAGAGAGAGAAAATATATTCCTTTTTCCTTCTACTAAAAATCACCCCTAAAATATACATAGACCATGTATATTTATAGGCAACATAAAGGTAAAGGAAATGAAACAACTAATCCTTCTCAATCTCTAATTCACATGTCTCAAATCTAATATGATTCCAATATCAAGTTGGGCTATGAGTGAGAATCCTTTGGGCTTATTATTTTATTGGCTACAATGAATTAATAATTGGCCCGATCCATGGATCCAATTCAATCAATTCATAAATTAATTTCTACTACACTAAAAGAAATTAATTGAACTCCAATTAAATAATAAATAACCTCTAAGTCAATATTGCACTTTGACCCCTCTATACATAATTAGTTATCGGATAAATAAAGCCATCAATCCGACTACTTAATTAATATATTTATTTTGGTACTATCGATTATTTCTGGCTCGATCACAATAAAAAATTTGTTTGACAAAAATAATAATTTAAATAAATAAATATATAATAAATCATTTTGTCTAAAAACATACGAAGGTTTTCGAATTTACTTTGTGATCAACCATAATCAATACAAAATACAAGTAGCAATGATGCAAATATTGAAAATATAACCCTCTAACTATTAATTACATAACTACCCAAAGTGTCGGTCTAAGGATCCCGAAGAATCCGCCAAACAAAACAAAGTAATTATTATTTAATAAAAGAGTTTATAATTTTCTCATACTTAAGAGTCAAATGCCATGACGGTGATAGGGAGCAATTGCATACGATGACTCTCGCAATATATCTCAACCGGATCCAGTTCAAGTCTTAATTAATTATGAGTCCATCCATAATTACCGACTATGATTACTATTTATATTTATGTATTGATTGTCATCACATACATATATAAATATCTCTTGTAATCAAGTGGACATTATCAATTCTATAATGAATCGAAACATAATACATTGAATTTACCAATTGTATAAAATATAAATATTTCAGAAACGTCAAGAACTTATGTCACTTTAATCCAAATAGGAATTTGTTATGTCAGGGCATATAAATCCTAACAGGTGTGACCCAAAAGAAGCCTAGGATAAGGATGTTATCCTAGCAAGGAAAAGAAGCAAGGTCTTGCTTTATGTAAAAGTTTGCTCTCCACCCGTAAGGAGAAACTATATTGGATTGGAAAGTCTCAAGAGGGATCTTGAGCCGAGGAGTAGGAGTTTCTGAACCTCGCAAAAATCGCTGTGTTATAGTTTGCAATTTCTCTTCCTTTATCTCTTTTTACAATTGTGCTATAAAATGTTTACTTTCATATCTTGATTTTATATGTTGATTATTACACAATAGGTTATATTGTTTATTATAAATTGTATTTCTATAATTTGCAAAAATTAGCCATTTACTCTATTCACCGCCTCTAAAGTCAATTCTTGGGCAACAGTATGTAAAGGCAAGCCTATGTCGAATGGTGGAAGTAACCAATCAATCAATCATTAGCAACTCAAAAATGAATCCAATTCATTTAAACAAAATTCGAAGTGATCATGAACTTGAGCGTGTTATCAAACTTGATCACAAAAAAAAATTGATTACAAACTCACGCCATATTCACAAACCTCAAAGGATATGTTATTTATTTTATTTTATTTTATTTCAACACCTAAAAATGTATGTTTTTAACTCCTAAAAACATATCCATTCATGACATATTTACAATCCTAACAAATTGGAAAATGTTCTTCAAATTTTAATTACAAAAAATTAGGGAACTTTTATTTTATTCACATGCAACCATCCAATTAATATTGGATGAATAAGTGTGATTTTGTATAAGTTGGACACTTTATTTGGGGAAAAAAACGAAAAAGAAGGAAAAAAAGAAAAGAAAAAACCCGGTACACTTTCGGGCCGACCCGGTTTCAGGTGATCAATCTAAAGAACACATGACTTCCGTCTACAGAACGCAATCACTGCTCCGAAAAGAAACGGATCCTATTCCTATATATATATAGATATAAGGAAAAGGAATGCAAGTACAAAGAGAGAACACAGCAAATCCAGTTAGCAGAATGGGACATTAATGACTGATACATCGCCATTGTTTTTCATTTATCTATTTCTCTTATCTTTCGTTGCTATTTCACCTAAAACCCTAGAAATCACCGCAAATCAACATTCAGATTTCTCTGTATTGCTTCTGAATTTTCAATCTCAGATCGAGTCAATTCCGTAACCCACACCAGTTGATGCGATGGTGGTCTGCAAATGTCGCAAGGTACTTCATTGCCACCTTCTCTTTTTGCATTTGTTTGTTTTTTTTTTTTTTCACATTCACGGACTTATTAGATAGCAATTTGATTTATTCTGTGGCTCAGTTTGTTTTCAGATTGTGTTGTAGTACTTTAACGAGAGGTTTTAGATCGGATCGATCTCGCAATTTGAAATCTGAGCAAAATTTGAAATTCTCGATTTCAATTCACTGTTCGACTGTAGCATCAATGCGTTTGTTGTTTTCTTAGCTACATCCAACACTAAATCAAGTTGATTAGTTAGAAATGGGTGATCCAAGACATGCATATACGAAGTTTTAGATTATAGTCCATCGATTAGCTTGATGAGGTGTTGCTATTGACCATTACGGTAGCAGTTTATAGCTAATTTTTGTGCACCTTGTTTCGCATGATTGATAGTTTGGAATTGGCATTAAGAAGACTTTGCCTTTAATTATCTTCCTCATGTTTCTTGACTTTAAAGACTAATGGATATGGTGGTTTGGGATTTCAGGCAACCAAGTTATACTGTTTCGTGCACAAGGTCCCTGTTTGCGGAGAATGTATATGTTTCCCGGAACACCAAATATGCGTGGTATGATCTTAGAGTTTGTCTATTTGATTCTTGTATGATGTACTGTGTGCTTTTTATTTGAACGTGAGTTTAGCTTGTTGCTTCTCATATTTTTAATTGTAACTGGCTTTTCTTATATATCGGTGCCTTTGCCACCTCAGTTTTGAACACAAATTCTTATTTGTATATGAATCTTCAATTGGCATAGCATGGTTTACTTTAGTGCAGATCCTCTGACTCCTGTCAATGTTTATGTGCAGTATTTGGTCATATTGCATGTTGTAACTTACTTTGGAATTGAGTTTTTGTTGCAGCCTTGTGCTTGTTTTGTCATAATGGGTTTGTTTGGGATCTGATTTGATTTATGAATCTTGGATAATATATTGGTTTGATTTGATTTGATTTGGTGCATCTGGAGAAGTTATTGAGCTTGGAATCATCGGCATATACTGCAGAGTCTTAGATTTAGACAGGCTATGATTTGATATTTTTTCTTGCGGTTTCTGGTAATCACTTGTTTAATCCGTAGAGATTATGAGGTTAATATAAACTCAGTTTATATTTCAAGTGTCTTCTCTTGAGCATTAGGGTTGCTTGATTTATTTTCACTTTAAATTCAGAGGTCATTTAAGCTATTGCCATATAGACATGCAGTGTCATTTGGTAGCACAGCACGACACATTAAACTTACGATTTATTGAAAAATAAGCTGATTTAATTCTCAAGTGAATTTACACATTAGGAAACAAGTGAGGAACACTTTTGGTCACCAAAAATAAATAAATAAATAAATAATGACAAAGCATATTCACACCTTAACTCAAGGAGAAGAGAGTTATCTCTCGATGTTCTCTGTAATGTTTTAGTGTTTGTATTGTGCGTGCATGCTTTCATGGCATAACCTTTGGGCAACCACCTAGTCAAATGGTACAATTGTTGGCCACCAACATGGGCACTGCAAAAGGCAACCTGATTGTGGGCCATGCTTGGTTGCTTGATAAGTTCTCACGGATAGCCTGAAAATTGCAATAAGGGTCAAAAGATGTGAGTTTATAGTAGTGTTGACCTAGTGCTGTGGCGTTTTTCACCGCTTCCATTCAATAGTGCTACTTCTACATAATTACAGAGAATATTCTTTTTTACTGCTCGAAGAATTCATTTCTGTCAAAGCTGATGAAAGTTATCATACTTACTGACAACTAATCAAACTTTTTATTTTTTTTGTATGCATGCTTTTGATGAATTATGTTTATAATATTGTTAATATATTTTTTTGAGAAATTGATATAGATACTAGTAGGAACAAAAAAATTTCTGTTATATTGTTTTTGTGTGAAAAATATCTCCCTTTTTACATTTAGGCTCCGTTTGTTTCGACATACAATAATTTTTTTGGAATATATTTTCCTTTATCAGGTAAAATATTCTTTTATTTTTACTTTTTCGGTGTTTGACAAAGGTCTACGTCGAGGTTGAGTCCATCGGGCTGGGCATGTAAAATAACTTATCGAAAATTGATGGATAAGTTATTTTTGTTAAATTTAATATTTTTTTTCTTCGTAAATATATATATATATATATATATATTTGATAAGTAGTTGGCCGTTTTCTTCGTAAATATTTTACGACAACCAAATACTAGAAAATAAATTTTTTTTTTTACGTCCAAACAAATGGAGCCTTAAGATTCTCACATTGTCGGCATCATCATCATCCTTGTCTTGAACCCAACTGACTCGGGTGGTATTCTTCTCTGGTTCTAATGTATGCTCATCATGAATTTGCATCATATGATTATCTCAACATTGTCTTCTTTTCTGATCCGAAGAGCAAACTTATCTTTAATTAAAGATTTTTAATATTGAGTTGGTTTGGATTTGTCTTGAAAAACTCAATTTCGTTTTGGTTTCATACTCTAACTATTCATATATTTGAAAAACAAGTTGCCTCTATTTTCAAAATTGTAAGACCCCCTCCTTCTGGATTTTTTTCCCTTTATTTGTTGGAGTCTCGTTGCACTAGAAGTTTGTCTTACTAATGTGGTAGGTTCTTAGTATAAGTAGGACTGGCTATGTTGATATTCTTTGTGTGTGCATATTTATCTGTCACATTTTGAATTTTACTTTATCAAGAGATTTCTTTCTGAGTGTGTCTGTTTATGACTGCGTTCGGGTTATATGTACTGATATTGTCCAATTTCATAGGTCCGTACTTACTCAGAATGGGTAATAGATGGAGAGTATGATTGGCCTCCTAAATGCTGCCTTTGTCATGGTGTACTTGGAGAGGGGACTGATTCTTCAACTACTAGATTGGGTTGCTTGCGTATGTAATCCTGCAATGTAGTTAAACTTTCTTACATTCATATTTTTTCTCTGGAAGAAATTATGTTGAAGTCAACTGCATAACTTATATTTCTTTATTGCTCATTTTAGATACTATACATACAAATTGCTTGGTTTCACATGTTAAAAGTTTTCCTCCGCACACTGCGCCAGCTGGATATGTGTGTCCTGCCTGTTCCATTTCGGTGAGATTTATTTCCAGAAGTTACAAATTTATTTTTTTGTTTATGTCTTCTTTTGATTAACATCTATTGCAGGAAGTTGTATTGCTCAACACTGAAATAAATAAATCACATTTTGATCTCTATATATATATATATTATGACCTCTGAATTTGATTGGATTATGTGGTGACTGGGCCTTATGTGATAAAAGAATAACACTAGGTTAAAAGAAAAATTCTATAGAACCGTTATTAGGCCAACTCTGCTTATTGGAACAGAGTGTTGGGCTTTAAAAAAGAAACAAAACAGCGCCTTCATGTAGCAGAATTGAGAATGCTAAGATGGATTATTGGAGTGACTAGAAGAGATAAGGTCACCATGAAAGTGTAAGAGAAAAGTTGGGTGTGGCACTCGTCAACGAGAAAATAAGATAGTAGACTTGGATGGTTTGGACTCATACACCAGAGGCCTATAGAAGAACTGGTGAGAAGAGGAAGCTTAATTTCCATAGAAGGTAAGAGACGAAGAGGGTGACCAATAATATGGGATGAAGTTATTAGAATGACTTTAAAAAGTTAAATATAGTAGGTGATATGGTTGGTAATAGAAAGTAATGGAGACTCCATTCATATGGGAATAAGGCAAGGACGATGATGAACTCAGAAACCTTAAAAGGCTTAAACTCGCCATCTTAGAAGCACACCAACAACGGACAACTGGTTTATAACACTGTAGTGCGGTGAGCTAATCATGAACTCTACAGAAAATATGAAAGCTCACCCCTTGACTGTATGTGATAGACTAACACAGACAACCGGTCAGTTTCCTTATGTCTAACTTGGAAGCCTTTTTCGGCAAGGCTTGTCTAAAGAATGTATTTCGTCTTTAGATGAGAGTTGAGTTTCTGAATGTGAAAGCTCACCTGTTGACAGTTTGTGGCAAACTCTTGATGATTGCTGTGGTATTGTAGTGGGTGTTATGAGGTTTGGTAGAAAGAATGAACAGTTCATTGTCTTGCATGCTTATGCACCTTCTAGAACATTATGCTTTTGGACTTTATGCTGGATTCATTGGCCTTCAATTCTTTCTAACAACTACTTGGAAAATCAGGTTTCTTTAATCTATATGCATCCAAATATGTACTCTTTATGATCATGGTATTGCTTTAGAACTTGTTTTGGCTGTGTCGTTGATAGTGCTTTGTTGCTGCAGATATGGCCTCCAAAAACTGTCAAAGATTCAGGATCCCGTCTTCATTCAAAGCTGAAGGAAGCAATTATGCAGGTAATGCCCATGCTTGGACCTATATTTATTGCAGTTAAGTTGCTACTCTACAGCAATTTGACAATCAGTTTTGGTTATGTTTAGTTTATAACAAATCTTTTTTGCTATTTTTCCATTTTAAAAGTTTTGGTTCTTATATTGTTCCATTATCATTGTGAGATGATGTTGTCTATATACTTGATGGCTGAATGAATACATGAAGGCTTAGGGCCATTCTCATTCTTCAATTTTCCCTCTTTAGTAACAGTACAGCTGAGGTGAATTAGAGGTGCCTACATCTGTTTGAGTTATACTTCCTCTTTGAAGTCTCAAGAATTCAGTATGGAAGGAAGTTATGTGTCTGAGGAGTTATTGTCTAAACTTTGTTAATTAGAAACATGGTACAAGGGGAAGTATCGTGGGTGTGTTGCCAATATTATGTTGTCCAGCCAACATGTTTGTCAGTAGCTGAAAATTTTTAATCTCGTGAGGCACTAAGATAGTTAAAACTGCAGTGAAGTGCCACCTATAGTCACTTCATCTATTAAAGATCAATGGTATACGGTCATTGCATAAAGGTCGCATAAAGATCAATGGTGTTGTTTTATCCTTAGATTCCTACAGCTACTATTGTGAACACATTGAACCACTGATGCAATGAGGAAAGACGAATGGTGTATGGTTCAACTGAGATTATGGTCCTGGATAGACTGGATGATGAAATAGGATTCTTGTAGCTGGCTCCAAATTGTTGACACCAAGGCTCTGTTGTTGAGTTAACTATTTATGTAACAAAATAATCCATAGGATTGAAATGTATGCATGCTCATGTTAAAATGTTCTCTTTTGCATTTATCTTATAACAAAATGATATTATATTATTTTTCAACTAGCAAATATACTCACCCAAACATGCCCCAACTGGGGCTTGAACCCTCAACCTCCTTTTTGGGAAGGAGGACATACCACCCAAACCAAAGCTTCGGTGGTATAACCTATGTTACACGTACTCTTCAAAACTAGTGAATTACCCGTGTCGGACACACGGTACTTGGACATGGGTATGGGATGTCTAACACTCTTGGTTGGACATGCACTTGAAAAACATATCTAGTAATTCAATTTTATTATATTGTTACTTCAAAATGAGTGAAGTGTCTGTATTCAACACTATGTTCAAAATGAGTGAAGTGTCTGTATTCAACACTATGTTGCATGAAAAAAATATTTTACTTTAGATAAAAAATAAAAATATTAAATAAGATGAATATTTAGAAGTGTCCATGTGTATCTGTTTTGGAGATTTGACACGTCCGATGTGTGGATACATATTAGTACCCGACACACATACACCCGAGTCCATGTAACATGGGGTATAACGCAATGAATATCTAAGTTTCCGCCTGTGCTTTTCAATTTTCACGCAGTTCCCTGTTTTATCTTTATCAAAGGAAGCATGCTGGCCGAGAGCTATCTCAGGCCAAGTTGTTTGTACTTAGCTTTTCATTATAATAAGTCCAACATTATATAATGTTGCATTGGTGTTCTTATGTATTGTACATGATAGCTAGAGTCACTTGTCTTTCTAATCTCCTTGTGATGTATGATTTTGGATCTCTATGTTGTTGTTATGCAGACTGGTCTGGAGAAGAACTTGTTGGGAAATCATCCAACTGAATCCCGTGGACCTCCTCCTGCTTTTGCCTCAAATCCACTGATTCATACATCTGTAGCCAAAGATGCTGAAGGATACTTGGCTACAGCTGGAATAGGTTCTACTAAATCTTCAGTCACAGATATTGTGGAGATAGATGGTCCCAGTTCTGCGAGTCCATCCCTATCCAATCATGATTCCAATTTCATGAAAAGCACAAGCCCTTCTGGTGTAAGAAGATCTTGCATTAATCGTTTATTTTGTTTTTCCCTGGACATGCATCTGTATATGGGCATCTATCTGATGTACTTTACTGAATTTGCTGTACTTTACTGAATTTGCTGTCTCGTATAAACTTATCTTCTTAAAACAAAAACGCAGCCTGGGGCTACTACACGAAAGAACGCATTCCAAGTTGACAAGCAAAACTCTGAAATTTCATATTTTGCGGATGATGAAGACGGGAATCAGAAAAAATATACAAAAAGGGGTGAGTAGAATTTGTCTATGTTAATTTTGAATTGTTATTTTCTCGGTTACAAGATTTTCTTGTTGGCAAACTTCTGAATTTATTTTCTTGATGTTACCCCGATTCTTCTACTTATCATAAAAATAAAATTTAAAAATAAAAAAGTTACCCCGATTCCGATCAAAACTGTATTGTAGTCCTCAAGCATTTTACTCAGTACCATACACGCCACCAAACAGTAGTCATTAAGGCATTTCTCAAACTGTTATGAAGAAGATGTTTTTACGTTCATTTGATTTGCATTCTCATTTCATTTTACTTCATGCATGCCATGTTATTTCATGGAACACCTTTATGGAACATTTTGGAATCAATTAGTGAGGCTCTTAACTGCAGGTCCCTTCCGCCATAAGTTTCTTAGGGCATTGCTACCTTTCTTGTCGAGTACATTGCCAATTCTTCCAGTGACTGCACCACCACGAAAAGATGCATCACATGCAGAAGATGTCCCAGAAGGTCGCTCACGGCATCAGAGATCTTCAAGGATGGATCCAAGAAAAATCCTTCTCATCATAGCAATCATGTAATGTTTGCTGATCTCCTTTCCTGATCCCCCTATTGCCTTGTTACCCACGTTCTTTTCCAGATAAGGGAACTAAAATATAAGGTGAAAAAGGTGTGCTAATGAAAAAAGAATTAGAAAAGTTACAAATGAATGTTTTGTGATCAGTGATTGGTCTTGCAGGGATTTGCTTTAGTATATGCACGAAAGTTGCATTATTACCCATACTGTTGTTCATATGGGGAACCAGGCCAAATGTGTTGTAGTGTAAAATTCTCTCATTCAATGACACTGAGGTTACAGAACGGCTGAAAATTCTTTCTGCGGCAATTTTATAAATTTCTTCTTTAAAGAGATAAAGATGAAATCAATTAAAATGAAGATATTTCCTCTGTAGAACTTGGTGCAACTATTGAGTCTATTATCACTTCTATTTTTCTGGCAAATGAAAAGGGTTCATACATTGTGGCCCCCCATAACCAAGGGTGCTGGGAGGGGTTTGACTGGATACAAACCTAAACCTTGGCATTCTTCGCACTAAGTGGCTTTATTTAGGGTTCGGGCCTGAGTTCTCAAGTTTGACAGCCGCCGTATTTTACCAATGCACTAAGCAATGACCCCTATTTCCAGTTAAACAGAAATCTATATCTTAACTAATGCAAATATTCCATTATTACGTGCAGGGCATGCATGGCTACAATGGGTATTCTGTATTACAGACTTGCACAACGTGGTTTTGGTGAGGAGCCTGATGAGGAGCAGCAGTGATCAATCTTGTACAGATTGTGATGGTGGCACCTGTTGTGGTACATGTTTTCCGGACATTCTGGTCCCTTCTTGCTTCTGCTCAGCAGCCACTCCCTTGTGTGAAACTGGGGCTGGTTTATTGCCAGACATACAAGTTGAGACTTTTGCTACAAAGAATTTTCATGTCTCTGAAAACAGAAATGTTACATATGCTTTCTTGCTCGATACCCCCTCTCTGCTGTTGTTTTTCACTTTCGTTTGAAAATGAATGCGGAATATCACGATGCAGGCAAATTTTTTTTGTTAAATCGGGTTACTTTGTAATTATTTATCTCTAGCCAATAAAGTAGCTACAAGTAAAAAGTCGGATGGACCAATTGTAGTCAAAATTTCTAATTCCGTATGTTTTGCATTCTTACTGAGCTGGGGATCTGAGCAGGGCTGATCAGATCAAGGTTTTGGTTACATTTTGGAAGTAAAAATTCTGACCACTTTCACCTTGATAGTTTGAAAAACCAGATTTGAATCATTGAGTTGTACACCTAGAAAACATAAAGCTGCCTCTGGTCTCATCAAGTCAGTGTCATTGTTTCACGACTGTTACATTTTGATGTGTTTTCTTTTCCTCTTTTTTCTTTGATATCTGAATTAAGATTTCATTTGTTGGTATTGACATAGTGTATGAAGTATTCTGGTGTTTCCATTTCTTAAATTGTGGTGATAGAAAGAAAAAATAGGAAGAATAGCACATTTAAAACCAACACAATAGAACCTACCTTGGGTTGATTCTATCGTATGTACATTCGGTTCTTGGTTGAGAATTTGGTTTGTGTTTGAGAAAAAGAAATAGTTGATCATGGTTGGTATAGATTCAACATGAGCACCATTAAGTATGTCAATTCTTGCTCATCGCTATGGTGAAGAATTTGTATCTTAATTAGGGGAAATTCCGTGGAGGTCCTCCCTAGGAGGGAGGGGTAGTCGAATCAAAATCCCGCGGAGGCTGGCTTCAAGGGGAAGGAGCGGGAGTTGAACCAAAGACCTCTATCATCAATGTTTTGCTCTGACACCGTATACACACACACAAACTCAATTCATGAACTATTAACTTCAATGAGGTCATATTCATGTTTTTTTTGGGTAAGTAGTGAGGTCACTACTCTATAATTCATTTCTTCATTAATAATAGCTGTTTGGGTTATAAAATTTAAGTTAAATGGTAACAAATGAATCTAACATTTTTTTTTTTTTGGATGCCGCGGTTCTCCGGCAAGGACAAAGGGGGCTATATCTTCCATAAGTCTTGCAGCATATTGCCTCTGCAAACCAAAGTAGTTGGCCTTTTTTTTTGATGTGATCACTATACACTTTATGAACCCAACAATCACATTTAGTATTTTTGTGTGTCTCATAATGTATATCGTTGGCCAACCTGTCAAAATGGTCACACGAGTATGTCACACATCCTAATAAAGCTGTCTAAAAGGGCCATTGTTACAATATGTGTGTGTTTGTGTCACAAATCACAATATTATAGCTTTTATGGAGGTATATATTTGCAAATATTTAGGGTCAAACTAAAATTTCTTGACCACATCCGGTAGCGCAAAATTTCAAGAAAAATTTAAAGATAATGGATGGAGGAGATCAGTTCTACTACGTACCCCATAATGAAAATTATTTCCTAAAATAACCCCAAATAACCAATGACCTTAATGGCTAATATAATTAGGAAGATACAAACCTCCCCTCATTATCAACATCTTGAATGAATCTGGAAATGCATGTCAATCTCATGCAAGTGATTGTCAGTCACCCTACTGCTGGAAGTGCATCACTTAAAAAAAAACAAAAATCCATCCCATGTTGAGCATACAGAACATCCAAGCAGGACTAAGTAGAAGAGCAGCAGCAAATGCGAATAAACATCATTAAAATTGTATCTGCATAAATTTTCTTGAGTGATATCTTATACATTTCACACATAAATGAGGAGCATTCGGTAATTTCAGTCAAGTTATTCACCACAGCTAAAAAAAACTCTTGATCAATCCAAAACTATGGGAATAGTACAACATAATTGTCAAACAGCATCACACTGTAGGGTTGAAACATGTCAGGGCTATAGTTTGGAATAAGCTATGTTCATCAGTGCAAACAAGAATGTTAATCCTGCTTACATCAAGAAATTAACAATTCATGACAAGTTCGGCCGGAATTTAAATCAGTGGACAATATATATATATTTTTAGTGGATGGAAACAAAAACTCAAGAGAATACAGCCCAATCATTTTTATCTGTCCCAAATACAATCCCTACCAATTCCACATGTTACATTCTAAATAAATATCAGGACAATCTTGGGTTTGCAATATCTTATTGTCCAAAATATTTTACAAAGATATTTTAGTTCTGCCTTCCAAATCTTTGGCTCCACGTATGTAGGACTCCTACCCTCATCCAAATTCTTGGAAAAAAAACAAAGAAGTTCCGTTTTCATGCACGATCTTCATTGACATGATTTGGAACTTCAGCCTGGCTATCCAGAGGCATGTACTGTGCCATTATAGCTCTGATCTCTGAGTCCATGTATGACTGAAATATTGTGAAAAGAAAATTAGAATCCCCAAAGCATGAAATATACAAGACTTCACATTTATATTGCAACTCTTGACCTTATTAAAACATTCAAGAATAATCAGGCTCACTAAGTTCAAGAATAACGACCCATTCAGATATAGATTTTCTTATATGCTTGGATCCACCCTCAACCATGCCCATTTTCTCCTTTTAATGGTGTTTTCCCCTTCGAATGTTCCATTTATAAAATTTTAAGAAATAAAACATAACTTAAATGGATTATAAGAATTTGTGTGGCTAACTCCAAGTAGTTGGAAAAGGGTATTGAAGCTAAGTACATGTGCGCTTTAAGTCAGTGAACTTTGGTCGTGTATTAACTCATGGTCTTTGCTTCCACTAACCAAATCACAACCTATTCGTCTATAAATAAATGATTATGCTTGCTTTTTTAGTAGGGCTCATAACAGGTCAATTTTCAACCGGAGTAAGGTCAAATTAGGAGAGTGAAAGTGATATGTTGGTTCCAATGGGTCAAAACTATAAGACAAATTAAACTGGCATGTGAACTCAATAAGTTTCCTCAATCTACCGTTAGATACCTTCCTTTCTGGAATGTCTGAGTTCGTTTGTTAGTCTCCCTTGGAGCTCTGTTTCTTTTGCTTGTACTCATTGGGGTATGCCCCTCTTATTTCTGTACATTTGTTTCTTTTAATATATAGCTCAATTTTCCAAAAAACAAAAAAGATTTGAATCTGATTGATTATATTATATATAGTGGTGTTATATTATATGTACGTTAAACAATTCAATTAAAATATATTGAGTGATATTATTTCCATTCAGATTCGGATTGAGTTTGGATAATTGAATTCACATTCTCATCCGAACTCAGACGCAATAACTTAAGTTCAATGGGTTTCAAATTAACCACTAATCGTATTAGGATTTGGCCAGATCTACACTATAGCTGATATGTTTCAGTCATACCCTAAGCAGCACGGACACGGCAACACAGCAAATGGTAAAAAATTAAGTTACGGACATGGCGGGAACACTGCAAAGGTCTATATATATATATATATATACGATCCTATATTTTAATAGTAACATTTCTTTTCATCAACCCAACAATGAAAAATTCACAAAACATAAGAAGTAATGATCTATAAAAATAATTACTACCTCTGTCCCAAAAATAGTGTCATGTTTCGGGAACCGTGTCAGTTCAATTTGTGTGAGTCACGATTCCCTAAAAGTGACACTTTTTATGGGACGGAGGGAGTATCATTTAAGGAACTACAAAATTGAATCTACTCCACAACAACACTAATAGTTCTTTTTATTATTTATTATTTATTTTATATATTTTATGTGACGATCACCATATTATAAAAAATGTGCAAAGATATCGTGTCATCATATTTACACTTTAACCCATCTCTCTCTTTAGAACTATCTTAAAACTGCCTAACAATGTGATTTGCATGTCGGACATGCGTCCATGGCGTGTCTATGTTGTGTTTGCGGCATATCCAAAAAAAATAAAATTCCAAACACCTTTTGGCATGTCCAACGCGTGTTTGGCTGCATCCAACGGGTGTTGCTGTCCGACATGAATTCTTTGACCTTTTAGGTGTGTATGTGCTTCCTAGCGGCCTACCTTTAATTTTTTTTATCACTTGCTTATGAGAGATGGCTATTGATTTTTAGTTAAAACATAAATTGAAATTTGAAAACCTTATGTCATCAGGTTTTTATACAGCCTTAGATTGGAATTTTCACTTGAGGATCTGTAATACCCCGATAATTTTAAAAGATTTATTAATTAGGATTAATTATTTTATTTTATTTTTCAATGATTTATTTTATTTTATTGAGTGCTAGATTAATTATCTTATTTTAATTAAGTTATATTTCATGATTATGTATGATGATTGATTGTTTGTGTGGTTGATTATTGATTGAATTATTGGTGTGTTGATTTTATTGGTATTATATGACTTAGTTGTAAATTCTTGTTTGTTTATGTGCTTCATGTAATTAGTTATTTTAATTTCTGTATTTAATTAATTATCTTATTTATTTAAATTAATTGGATTGGGCTTAAGGAAAGTTGGACCAAAAGATGTGGTCTTGGGCTTGTATGAAACCTTATTGGGTTAATTAATGAAGGTCCGTGGTTATTTAATTATTTAAATGATCACTTTTGTATCAATTATATATATATATATATATATATATATAATTATATATAAATATAATTAATTAATAATTGTTATGGAAAGATATATATATAGATATATATTTATTGATATTTATAAGTATATATGATTTAATTAACTAATGAGTTAATTATGGAAGGAATATATATTTATATATATATATGTTTATAGATATAAATTATTTAAAGATTATTATTTTAATTCATAATACTAGTTGGAATAGGATTTGGAATTTAAGGTGTATAAAAATACATATAAGGCTTTAGGGTTAAAGGTTTTACACGTTAGAAAAATAAAACAGACAGAGAGAGGAAGAAGAAGGGCTGACAAGGAGGAGGTCGGATCTGAAAAGGAGGACGTCGGAATTGGAAGAGATAATTAAAGCTTAAAGCGTCGGTTTCGTTTCGAAACCTTCAGGCGAGTTTTCTCTATTTTTCCTCTTAGAACCTATAAGGATTTCATCTTAAGTATTAAGGCTCTAATTAAATTATTAATTTGGATTAATTAAAAGCATCAAGTTAATTTATTTTATTAAATTGTGTTTAGATATGATTATTTAAAAGTATGAATTATTATATATTTTTAATTTTGGATTATTGGATTTTATTTGTATATGTAGATGTTGGATATATATATTAAAATCAATGTATAGGTGGAACTGTGACCTAAGGGGATTAATTTTGGTTTTTATATTTTCTGGAATTTTTCTGTACTTTTCAGAATATTTTTAGAATTTGTTTTGTAATTTTTTTATATTCTGGAATTTATTTTAGAATTATTTTTATTAAATTTTAAATTAATTCTATGCACTCTGTGTGAATCGGCGCATAAATCAGGAGATGGGTGATTCGAGGTATGATCTAGTGTGGTAGAATGCATAGTAAAAGGTTACATCACTGATCTAGGCCATTGGAATAGTTTAAATATAAGGGGAATGATTCGGTGCATTACGGTGTACATAAAAGAGTGCGCATGTGAATCTGGACCATGGATTAAGTTTGGTCAACAGAAGATTTATCTGGTGTGGGTGCATACATGTGAGCTCAAGTGAGCTAATCTGGTGTGGGTGCGTTTGTGTGAGCTCAAGTGAGCTAATTAAGTGTGGGCGCGCTCACAGTAGTGTTTGAGCTTAGCCAATTATTTTGTCTGTTTGTGACATAAAATTAAAACGGTCATAACTTAGTCATTTTAAATCGAAATTGGGTCATTCTTGAGCTCAAATTCAAGGATTTTTCGTCCTCTTTCCAATGGTACCAATTTCATTATCAGATTCTTATCCTAATAAGAGATATTTACGTTTTAGTGAGACGGTGTCGGAAAACTATTTAAACCGGTATGGAGTATTTAAAGGAAACTATTTCTGACATATTTAGTTGCACTAATTTGGGTAAATATAATAAATTAATAATTTGTTATGGAAGGAAGTGTGTATATATATATATATATATATATATATATATATATATGTATATTGATTTTAAATAATCAAGGATTATTAAAGAAGGTGTTAAACACATATATACATTAAATAACATATGTGTAGGTATATATATATATAAATCATTTAAGATGATTAATATTATCATTCTTATTTGGCATATCTTAATAGGCTGGTTGTTAAATTAATGATATGCGTATAATATGCATGTGATGGCTATGTATGATTTAGCGTATTGTTAATTTTAAAGTTAATTCATGGTTAAAGTGTGGGCATGGATGAATTGTCAAATGATTAAATATATTACCTAAATATTTGTATGAATAGAATACATATATGGAAAGCATGGATGAATTGCTAATTAAATGTATGAATAAATATACCTGTGGAGGCATGGTTGAATTGCCAATGTATAAATAAATATACTTATGGAGGCATGGTTGAATTGCCAATATATAAATAAAAATATTTACAATGGCATGGTTGATTTGCCAAAGCATAATTACGTTGTTATGTGTTAGATGATTAAAATATCATCTATGGTTGTTGTATGTATGGATTGGATTAGGGTTAGATATTCTTAAATGAGAATAGTTTAGTACTTACTGGTTAGTGTATTATTTTCCATTAATAAAATAATATTGGGGAAGACGTGGATGATTTGTCAAAACTTGGATTTTGGATATGTGATTTAAACAATTAAAATCATTATCGGGTTGGGATTAAATAGAGTATTTCTTTTATTATAATTTGTTGTTTAAATGATTAGACAACTGACTAGGATTGGATTAAGGTCAAAGGAGTTTTTATAAAATGAAATGGTAGATTGGTTTAGGTATGAATATTATTTTAATAATTATTTAATAGGTATGGAAATTTAATAAACTTATTAATGGATGTGATTAGTATAGTATATATAATTATATATAGACATGTATATCGTGCTTTATTAAAGTTAAAACTTTATTAGGTTTTGGTTTTGATCAGAGATGATCTGCTTATTGGTTTTCAGAGGCCTGGTAGAGTGAACTTGCTCGTAGGGTTTAACCCACGATTTATTTTTTCAGGTTATTAGAGGTTCCAGTCTCGAGGTTGAGGATCCGCAGCTGGGAGGACTTATCCATTCTTTCTATTTATTTACAAGTAGGATATTATTATTGTTACAGTTGAGATTAGTATTTATTTGGTTGGAATTCTACAAAGTAACTTTTGGGTTAAGGGGTCCTTGAGTTACGGGATTCCCGAACTGTAACCATTTGGAAGTTATTAATGGATTTACTATTAATTAGATTTCTTCAGCGTTTTATTTTATTCTTTATTATTCATCTTTGTATTCTGTGCTTGTTAAATACTTAAATTGTTTTGATATCCCTTGATTTTGTGCGCGGACTTGATCAATCCGTGTTCCAAAATTAGGGGGTATCACAGGATCTGAATTGGACAGTAAATTCTATAAATAATTTATCTTTTGGCCAGTAAAATTTGTTCGTTCTACGTTGCATCTAAGCACACCCTCGTAATAATATTTGAGTGTGAAATTGAGTTTGTGAAAGAGGCTTCTAAGTTTAAGACCAGCGCTAGCACTGAAGTTTAAAGTGTCAAACACAATAAATATGGATTACCAATATCAGCCTAGAGAAATGTCATGTAGCAGACTTACCCTCAATCTGTATTTGTAAACAAGATATGCTCCACCAGCAGCCATGGACAAACCTATCAGAATGACCCAGACAGCAGCCCATGCAGATTTCACTTCAGCCGCCTTCTTACCTGCAGATGACCATTCATAATAAATGAAATCAGCAGAACTTAAGCTTCTATATACTTGTAAACAGAGCTACACTGCTTGGGTTGTGGAACTCACTTATGCAGGTATCATGGTCCCTGATATACAGAAGGTCTCCACTACAACTACAGTCATAGCTACCCCAGGTATTCTTGCAGCTGCATTCAGAGCACTGACATGCTTTCTTCTCCTTGCATTCATCAATATCTGTGCAGTTGAGAACGAGACACAAAATAAAAGACATGTCAATCAGGAAGTTACTTAAGTAGTTGGGACATATGATTTGTTAAGCCGAGCTGTATCTCAAATCAGGAACTTATTCACAGGGTGTATAGCTTTTAATACCACTTTCCATGAAAATGAGTTGCAATTGAAAAACTGCAATCTATTTCAACTTAATATCAGAGTTTCATTTGTTCCAAGAACTAACATAAACCTTATCATCACAATCATCAGACCAGCACAATTCTTCCACAATCAAGTTTCTTCAAAGCGAAAACTGCAGATTCACTTAAACTTTGAACATTGGTTATTGTTTGGTCAAGTATTGTTAAATCAAGTTAAAGTTAAAAAAATAGTACAATATCAAATCAGAAAGCCTCCTACTTCAGTAGGCTGTCCAAGTGACATGCCACTGACAGAAATATCTAATGAGTTACAGCATTTGTGCATACATGTTTGCACACAACACAAAGTTATTAGTGAGATGTGTTATCATCTTGATTAGTAGCAGCAATATTAATGAAAATAATAACTATTATTGTTATTACTGCAATATTGAAATTTATTAGTCTAGAAGCACGGATATGGCATGGAAAATGAGTACGACATAATACAGACACAACGATACCACAAGGGAATGACAATAAAACAATAATGTAATGTATTACTGTATATACAAAAATTAGTTTTTGCTCATTTTACTCATATTTGCATGATGAATGTAATCACTAATTTGGAGATTAAAGCTGGATGGATGGATGTTTTTGTTTTCTAAAATTTTATATTACTTTTCTATTCACACATAGTATCTTTTATAATTGCATTAAAACCCTTATTTTTAAAAAAATAATAATAATTGCAATATTATCTTGTCGTGTCCTGAAAGTGTCCCAAGCGCGTCCTTAACGTGTCCCTACCATGTCGATGTTGTGTCTTAGCCGAGTCCAACAAGGTTAAAAATAATAATTTAAACTCCAGGACATCCTAGCTATGTTGAACAAGAGTCTGGCCCATGTCAGTGTCTGACACCACCATGGCACCACCTAGAGGAGTGTCCATGCTTCCTAACTATGAGTGCTAACTTCTATCCTTGATGATAAATTCCATGTGGTAATAATACATCATAACCCATACTATATGTAATAATAATTCAATCACCATCTTCTCCTTTCCTAGATACTTAAATTGTAGAATACATTACTGAGTATTACACAATTTGTTATTTGTTCTATATGGTGCTTCATATTTGTTATTTTCATGTTCTTTTTCTTTTATTATGATTTGAGAATTTGCAATATGTGTCATATTCAACATTCTTATCCTTCATGATTTCTAAATATCAGGATAGAAAACGACCATCATAGCTCTAGAATCTAGATAGATATTCTTTCTCAATATTTAAAACTAGGTCAGTTAAATATAAATTATATTACACAACCATAACGTCAGTAACTAAATACTGGATTCTCCGCTGTTTTCTTTTGTAAGAGAAAATTAAAATTCAAATATTCACCTTCCCTCCAACAGAAACAATATCAATGGTGTTAATATTATGAGTATAGAACTTTTTTTTTTCAATGAAAAGTTTTGCAAGATGTAGAGTCTGTCAACTACTAGAAATCATATACAAAAAGTGTTTTATGGTTTTCTTCAAGGTATTTACCATTAATTGTAAAATATCATTGCTTGGTACAATGGTAAAAGATCTGGCTAACAAGTTCCGAGTACAAGAACAGCCACTTTGTGCAAAATATTGCCAAAGGTTGGAACTAATTAACTATCTCTAGCATTTATATATAAAAGATGGGAGTAGTGACCTAGAGTTTGCTCACTAAACAGAAATTTCCTAGTGGCACCAAAACAAATAGTCAGGTTGATGTTGCTCTTCACTGGGTTGATACATGTACAGAGCTATAACCTAATAGATAAAATGTTTCAAGACACTGCCTATACGTTAGCCCATGCCCATCTGCATGCGTTTGGGTTCAAGTCACAGCATGGTATATCATTGAGGTAAATGCTCGGGCAAGGGGGATGAACAATTGCAATCCACAGACTCCATCTGTGGATTGCCTATTTTCCCAAATCCAAAAGAGAGTTAAAATAAATCAGTCATGCTTGTTCCTTAAGATAGATAGTATGCGGAATCTGCTGTATATAAAATTATGTTACCACAATGTCCAGGTATAAGGTATATTGGTGCTCTCACTGAAGCTCACATTTGAGAAAGAAAATCATCTTTCCTAACATGACCTTAAAATATGACAACCTGATCTTGTAAGCTCTCACCTGTACAACTTTTGACACCATCACCTTTAAACCCTGCAGGACACTTGCATTTACCGTTGTCGACATCCTGTTGACAGCAAAATTGAAAACATCTATATGAATTTATTTATTTGATGAGGAAAATATATATATATCTTGAAATTGTTAAATGATCACCAACCACACAAGCAGAGAATGCGTGTCCATTTCGTGTTTCATGCCAACAACCTCCATTATTGATCTTGCAACGCCCAGGACCATTTGCTGCAAACAGAAAAGATATAAAAATTATAAATAGATGTATAACAAAACAACTAAAGCAAACAGAAAAGATATATAAGTAGATGTATAATGAAAAGACTATAGCCTGTTTGAAACCAAAACCATTTATTTTATTTTTCACAAAAATGGTGTTCTAAAACAATCAGCATGTGAAATGTGTATACTGTATACATATTTTTTATGCACACTTAATAGAAAAAAGGAGTGATTGATTTGTGATGCACCGTGGTCAATATGTGGTCAGGACAAAAAGACTCGTCAATTTATTGTTTTAGCCTTTAGGAGTTCAAGTGATTCTAAATCTAACACTATTTATTACCATATGGAGTGGGATGAACTTCAGGCAATCAGTATTTGTTTTTGAAGTTGTCTGGAGCCTAAAAATAGGCTTTGGTGGTAAAAGAGGAACAGCCCTACAGATAATAATTTATTCTCTCTCTCTCTCTCCTCTTTATTTTCCGTCTCTAAGTCTCTCTTCCATGGAGATTGAAATTCTTCGCTTAACATCTTCCACTTTCTTCTTCTTATCTTGTAAACAAGAGGTTGGAAGTTGCAATGTGCTCCTGTCTTGTTCTATTTCTCCTCTTTCTAACAATTTTTTTTTTTTATAATTAATAATAATTTATTTATCTGGATACATAATTATTACTTTAGCCTTGGACCCAAAATATAAATTTGAGGAGGTCAAGAACCATAGCTCAACATGTGGCCTATCTTATTACCACGGGAGCCACTAAAAGATGAAACAAGTGATTTACCAATCAGATGATTCACATTTCTCAAACACTCAATCTTGAAACCTCTAGCATTTATTTCCAAAATATTGCAATGATCTTAATATCATAAAAGGTCATGTGCTCTGGAATCTTCTGATCACTTTTTACCATGTAGTTTTATAGTCATAGATTCAATAAAACGTTAGCAAACCATGTAAAGAGGGTTCTTATTAAGCATAAAATAGTCAAGCTCAATAACTTTTCCGTTCTTCGTGCACCACTAATAATAATAAATGTATTCAATATCAGTCATTTGGAACCATAAAGCAATGACAAGTAATTCCCCAAGGCAGCAAATAAGTAGAGAACTGGCATAAGTTGCTGACTTTTCAGATTTGTTTTAGACACATTTAAGTGAAAATTGAATCAAGGAAATCAAGCAAAAGTTTAGATGTGATAATGACTGGGCATACATGCTCAAAGAGTTTATTTGGGGACAAATAGAAGGCAAAATAAATACTCAAAGGGATCAAAAAGGAAATTGCATTGCAGAATCCTTTGTATGATTACCAAATGATAGGCGGAAGAGAACTTTCTTCTCTAAAATCAAAATCTTATCAAGGCATTGAAGAGAAAATATGTTAAGAGAGGGTTTAAAAGACAAATGCAACTTAGCAACTACAGCTCATGCAGATACAAGAACTGAAAAACCAAGACGATGAGAGTCAAAATACCAAATATCTAAGGAGAGATCAAATTGTTGAAGAAAGCATACAAAAGCTAACTGATTTTTCTCCTCTATTCTAGCATTACAAGGATTCAAAAAATAATTAATGCAGAAAACCTACTTTCAAGAGGAATTTTCGTTTCTAAGCTCACAGATTTGAACACACCAAAGGATTAAACAACTATTAGCTTGGTGATTGTTTAATAGATTGAACAAAATCATATTCAAAGTCCCATTCATCATCTCAACGCTGCCATAACAAAAATTAAACATGCATTCCCCAAAATGTTTCTGGATAGGTGTAGGCACACGAACCCATTCCATGTGTATAATTAATGTTTTGGATAAGCATTTGTTACGATACTCCCAGTTCAAAGTTCAATCGGAGCATTTCTTGAATAGGTTGGTAAATTATCACACAGCAAAGAAACCAAGGCTATTGTTTTACCTTGGCAGGTGCTATAACCATCTCCCTTAAACTGCACACCATCAACCAGGGGGCATTCACACACTCTCCCACGAAACGTATCCTGAGTATATAAATGCAATTCTTAGCAATGTAAACAACCAGCCACCTGTAAATCTCATCATTTAAGACAAGAACCTTGCAGGCAGTGACGTTCGCTGTTTTATCTTGCCAGCAACCACCATTATTATCCAAGCATTCATTTGTCTCTACATCTGCAATAAGGAAGATTCCCGCTAAAACAACCCATCTTGTGAATAATAAGCACACATCTATAAAAGTTGCAATTTCAACATTCAGTTCCAAACTGGAACAGGAACTTACCACCACTCAAACAAACAGCTGGCTCAGTAGTTTCCTCGAAACCGGCGCAAATGGCTTTCAAAACAGCACCTCTCTCCAACTTTCCTGCAAACACATATTTTAGGAAGAACAGCGTACTTCCTTTTTAATTAAAGATACACAAGTAATAAAATATACCTCGGTACTGTCGATTATTGACAACAAGGGTAGGCAGTATTGTTACATCACCTCGCGATCCTTTCCCAACCTACAGAAAGTACTAGTCAAACAGTTTTACACGTTTAAAATGAGATCATTAATTTCAAAGGATTCCCTGTAGCTGTGAAGTTGCTAAGCCCTTCAAATTATTTCAATAAAAACACATTAAAAAGATGCATGTACTTGAGCATCTTGCTCTTCTTTCAGAACAGGATTGTCAGTATCAGCATTTGAGTCTCCCATACACTTCTCAATCTTTTTAATGTCAAGCCCTGTGCAAAAAGCAACGTGAACATAGATATTCATCAATACTGGTGGTATCCTTAAAATCAAAGGATGCAATGATAAGCTATTCACCTAGAGATCTGATAACATTATCAGCACATTCCTTGTTGTACTTCTTTTCCTTCATGGGACATCTAATTTGGAAATCAGTTACGTAATCCCACCATACCCAGGGCTTTTTGGTCTCATTTGCCACTTTAAACACACATAGCTGTCTTAAGTTTTCAAGAACCACATCTTTCCCTTCATAACCCCTGCTGAAATCCTGTTCAGGATCAGGAGCACAATATCTTCCATGATTAATACATTGGGACTTGCACTGTTTACTTATTGTGAAGGCCTGAGGACAGTACCAAGTTATATAATGGGGTGTAAATTGAGTATAGCCACCTTTATCAAGAATCTGAGCTGCACCCTTAAAATCCTTCACAAACGCCATCAACATGTCACATTTAAACCCACACTCATCATTGCTGTTGGTCCATAACTCATATTCCACACGGTCATCTGGGTGAGGAACAGCTTCTCTCCAATCAAGATTAACATTTACCATCTCCCCGCCACTAATTGCTTTCTTTAATTTTTCACCAAAACTTTTCTCGATTAGTGCAGACGGTATTGTTATGTTCTCAATATACTTTGCAGAAGAAATATCCTCTTCCGGCGTATCCATGGTTATCAATGCTTCCTCAATGTCATCTGCCACAAGCACAGCAGATGCACCGGCATTTTGGGCATTCCAAACCTTCAAAGCAAAAAAGCAATCTGGAGAAGAATAAAGCACAAAACTCATCATCATCATCATACTAGATCGATTAAAATACAACAAACAAAACCGGGTTTATACACTTTTCATTTGAAAGTAAAACAGAGTACAGTCACTTGTAATGAAAAATATCAAACCCAGCATGCACTTTACACATTCACATCCAAAAAGCAAATGCTAGTACTTCACCAGACAATCCATTCCACAGATGGGTTAATAATGTAGACAGGATCAAGTCAAGACTCAAGACCCTGAGAGCCATAAAAAGTGGTCCTTCAATCAACAAATTTAAGACCACAAACGTCAACACAGAGAGCAAAATCACAAAAATCTATCAAAGACTACAAAACGGTATTTCCAAAATTAATATAATAATCCAAATCAAACCTCAAACCCAAAACAGAGTGACAGGGAGCTAAGTTAATTAAAATAAAATAAAATAAAATAAACTCACCTCCACAACCAATCATTAAAAGGAGCACAATATCAGCTAAAATCAATTAGAATTAACAAATGGGTACCTCAAAAAGTAAATTAATCAACCTTATCATTCATCAATAAAACTAGCCAAAAAAAAACTAATTAATCAAAATTACAAAAAAAATAGTACCTCCACGATCGACCACAAGAAAGGTGGGCAAAGCACCGGACTTGGATTTGTACGAAATACCAAATTCATCGAAATTGCGACAACCTTTTCGGTTTTCTTTGGGGTACGCCGCCGTCCCAGCCATGCTACCACCATACTGAGGAATCCCAAAGTTACCAATGGCACTGTCGTGTGTGCCCTTGATGCTATCTGGAGATGTCACCCTCAAGCTGTTCTTTTCCACCACAAACCGAGCCCTCGCTGATGGGTTCAGATTCAGCAAAAGAAACCCTAGAAATAATGTTACTGCTGATCTCGGAAGCCCCATTCTACAGGAATTCTAGAGGGAGAAAGTAAAGAATTTTAGATGCTTGTTGTGATTCAGGAAATTTCCTGAGAATAATTTTTTTTTTAAAATGTAATGAAATCTCTGTACGGTACGGTTTTGGCAGTGATGAGAAGTGATGGCTATGCTATTGTTTTCTTCGTGTTACATGTTTTCATATATATATAATATGTGCGTGCTGTGTGTCTCGTGTCTCTCTCCATATATATATATATATATATATATATAGATACACATACATGTATACGTGTGTGAATCTAATCCGTTGTGTCTTTAACTCTTAAGAACTTATTAAAAGCGTAACTAAAATAGACTCTCTATCAGGTCTTGGGAAACAGTGGCAAGTATCAACGTCTCTAAATCCCAATTGATACATCTAATTATATATAGATTAATATATAATTATATGTATATATATGTGTAGATATATTATATCTTTCAGATTATTGTTGTACCTGTAAGTCCTGTACAATTACCCATACAACCAAATAATAAATTAAAACAAAGGTAAAAGAAAGATGACAAAACTACAATTATTTTAAGTGTTTTTAGCTAAAAAATAATGAATCGCCTCTCTCTCTCTCTCTCTCTCTCTCCCTATTATATTCGATATTATTAGTTGTTGATGTTAGTTATAAATTAATTTTTCTTCTATTAGAATATTTATGCTTATATTATATAGGGCAAAACCTTGACTTGTAACATTTTTAGTAAATCTTCCTCATTTAATTTTTTTTACCAAAAAACCCCCTTGATTTGTGGCCCTTTCCAATATATTTTCCTTATCTATTTTTTTACCAAAGAACCCCCCAACTATCTGGGGTAAAAGAGTTGATATTTGGATCAAAATACCTTTTTATTTAAACCTTAATTTTTTCAAATTTCAAAAATTCATATCTCACAACTCGTGCATCCAAATATTGCAAATAATATATACACGGCACAACCCGTGCATCCAAATATTACAAATAATATATGCACGAAAAGCTTATAAAACAAGGATGCCAGAAATATAAGATTTGTTTAACAAAACTTCATAACCAGAGAGAAATAGACAAGCTAAAAATCTACCGCAACAATTTTATTTTATTTTATTTTTTATAAAATACTCGGGTTATTTGTAAGAAAATTTTCAAAATTATTCATTTTCATATGGAGCATAACATATAAAAAAAATTAGCCCCAATAGAGACCGAATATTCATTTTTATTTATTTTAAAATGGTAAATCTATAAAAAGAACTAAAATACTTTAACACAAAATATGAAATCTCATTAAATTGATCTCTATTGGGGTTAAATTTTTTATATATTCAGCTCCGTATATAAATGAATAATTCTGAAAATTTTCTTGCAAATATCTAGAGTATTTTATTTTTAAAAAATAAAAGAAGATTGTTGGAATAGATTTTTAGATTGTCTATTTCTCTTTAGTTATGAAGGTTGGTTATACAAATCTTATATTTCTATAATCCTTATTTCATAGGCTTTCCGTGCATCTATTATTTACAATTTTTAAATGTACGGTTTGTGATATATAAATTTTTGAAATTTGAGAGAATTAATATTTAAATAAAATGGCATTTTGGTCTAAATATTAACTATTTTACCCCCCTTTGATTAGTTGAGAGGGGTTCTTTGGTAAAAAATTAGATAAGAGAGATTTATTGGAAAAATGTTACAAGTTGAGGGGAGTTCTTTGGTAAAAAAATAGATAAGGGGAGTTTATTGGAAAAGGTTACAAGTCGAGGGGGTTTTCTGTATTTTGCACAATTATATATATAAAAAAATTACTTTTCGAAAAAAAAAAAAAAAAAAAAATTATATATATATATATATATATATATATTTATGCTTATATTGCACTAATTTGGTTGGTGCAGTGCAAAAAGATAGAGGTGTTGTCAAAATGTGGATTTTAGTGAATTAAAATCTTGTAGCTAGCGTGACTTGTTGAAATAATGATAAAGTTGTTAAAAAATAATTAAAATACTAATAATTTAAAAAATGTACTCCGTATTTCATAAACAAATTCATTTGACATCCCTCAGTGTTTTTATTTTATTATTAGTTTTTTATTTATTTATTTTTGAGTCTTGATTTAGAGCTTTATTTTTTATTATTATTATTTTTCTTGATAAGAAGAATTTAACACACCCACTCATTTACCCTTTTTAGGGCTTGAACTAATCGTCATTTACTTTGAATAATTTTAGATGCCATAACTAAGGAATTCTTTAATCGTTAGATTCATTATTATAACCAATCCGGATAAGTAGAGAAAATATTTTTTTGTCTCTCACTATTGCTGGGATGTTATGATCTATTTTTCTAATAAAAGATTGAATTTAAATTCCAATAATAATAAAAGTGTAAAAGTGTTGCACGTTTACTTGAATTACACTTGATATATTTTTCTTGTTAAAATAAATTATGAAAAAAATTCATACTAATTTGATGAAATATTCTATATTAAATTTGCATAAGTTTGCCTTTAATTTTTTAAATTAATTATTTAAATAAAAATCTTAAATAGAAAATTTTGAAATATTTAAGTAATTTCTTAATTTTCATGAATATATTGCATTAAAAAAAGATATTTTTTATTTACGTAATTTATTAATTTTTCATGAATATTGTTTGAAAAAGAAGAAATTTTTTTATACTAAATTTTTTTAAACTGAGTATAATAAGTTTTATTATAATAAGTTAATCATTTTAGAAAATGATAGTTACAAATTTTTTTTTTTTCCATTTTTATAATCAATTGTACTAATTATAAAATTAAGGTAAATGGTATAAATAATATTTAAATAAGATAAAATATAATAAAAAATAATTTAATAAGAAATAACAAATTTAATAACAAAGGGTAAGATAGTCTTTTATGATGAGTTTGTCTTTAATTATAATAAATCAATAATTTAGGGGAATAATATTTTATTTAAAAAAATTAATTATAAAAAGTCAATAATTCAGTGAAGTTTTTTTTTGTCCTAAAATAAAACCCTTCGTAGAAGCCAAAAGATCGATAGATTCTTGAATTTATGGGAGCTTCTTTAAATAGAAGATGATAAGATATATTGCACTTCGCAATTCACGTCATCCACACGTACCAAATTCAAAAAATATTGATACCATGTAATTGACCCCTTCTGTTTTTAGCATTAAAAATAAACATGGATCATCATACTAGAAGACAATAGCCAGACTATCAAAATCAAAAAATAACTGGAAGGTAGGGGAGGATTTGTTGGACCCAAACACTGAATATTATATATATATATATATATATATATAAGCACGTTTGGTTAACAAAGGAGGTACCAAATCCAAGCATGCCACATCAAAACGCAATTTTTGAGCTACATGGACAAAGGTGTCAATATCATTTTCACCATCAGTGCACTTTCTGCCATGGCTTAAATGTTTGTCATGAGATACTTATTATCTTATCTATAATCATAATACTGTTACAAACAGATGGTGAAATTAGATGAAGTCATAAATGCAAGTTTGTTATGCAATGCTTTTTGTATAAATTGGATAATTTTAACTCAAATAAAAGTATTAGAAAGCCTTAATTAATTGCACCATCTGGATATATTTTTTTGCATTTCACTTTGTCAAAATGTGCTATTTTATTTAAGAGTAATGCCCATAATAATAATAATTATTATTATTATTATTATTTTGTAATTTCAAAAATAACATCCAACAAATACTTCTTGTGAGTAATGAATTCCAACAAGTACTTCTTTTAAGTAATGAATAAGAATAGAGTTTCTTTCCTCTTATCGTATTTATTTATCAGCTGATAAGAAAAATCGATTGAATATTTTTTTTTAATCATTTTTCTTTATTTAACTAAGTTCAACTTAACAATTGTGTCCTGACTCTGGTCATAATTTGAAACACATGAGAAATTCCTTCACAAACAAAAAGGGTATGATGCTTAGTAACTTGGGAGCATAATACACCCTATATATAATATGATGTTTTTGGTGATTTAGGGTTTGGTTTTTTTGACAAACAATGATAGTCTTGTGGTTCCCTTTAATCTTTAATTGTGGTCCAACAGACCATACATTGATATTCTTTCCATTAAAGTATTGACCAACAATCACATGGTTAATACATGAAAGGTGCTCTTTAACTTGCCTTTGTTTTCATGTTGGATAGCTTCCTTGCAACAGTATGCAATTATAAACTTTTAAAAAAATTACCAACCAAAGAGAGAGAGAGAGAGACCAAGAATAATTTTCTTAGCCATGAGAAACTGATATCATCGTTTTCCTATTTGTTTTTCAAATAAAACAAGAGAGTAGAAGTTAGTTTTCAGCAGTACTCAAAATCAACATTGTTAATGACATGTTCATCAGATATCGAAAATTTTGCAAAAATGATGTGCATAAAAACTTAAAAACATTACTGATAGCAACCACACACAACAAACAACCTGAAATTCTGCGAATTCGATGACTGAAAAATGTAAAATAGAATTAAATAAATAAATAAAATCTAATGTATATGATGTACACTTTAGAGGCATGTACTAGACCAAGCATCAGCTAGCTCACTAATCATATACTTGCACAAGATATCATTCCATTTTATATAACAAAATCATCAGTAATTGTTTTATATCTACTGAAAGAAAGAAACAGTTAAAGAAACAAACTAAGTACATAAATCCATGGAGAATACAGGATTACGCCGTAAAGAATTAGGAGGAGAAATATTCACAACGATTACCTATTTCTATATGCTCTTAGTTTTGATCGGATCATTGTGTAAGTTTATTGGACTTGTGATGGCTCATCACCTCCGAGTGCTCAACTTTGAACTGTTGCATTAACATTTTCTAAAGCCATGGCTGTCCTCTCCACATTCTTCAACAAGACACTATATATTTTGTTCTTCACCCTTTCACAAGCTCCTATTCCGGTGTCCTCTGTCGTGGAACTTTCTTTGGATCCGTTCTCTTTACAGACAACCACATCTAACCAATCATTCACTCTCTTGATCTGATACATCATCCCAGCTATTTGGCAATCCGATTCTATGGAACTGGTTTTACAGTCAACCTCATCTAAAAACTTATCAATATAGCAAAGAAACCATCTCTGGCATTCATCCTGCAAGGAATTAGATAGGTCAGCAGCTGCGCACAAAGCACTTCCTCTCGCCCAATCCGGCTGGTCATCCTTGTCGGCTGCCAATCCATTTGGGATCTCTACATTCTTCACCTGCTTCTGCAAGAGAGATGCACTCTTTGATTTAGGGGCCCAATTTTTTATGCTTGATTTCTTCACTGTGTTGGTAGCATCTCTAGTTGTAGTTACAGGTTTGGGAGAGGACGAGCACGGGGAAAGATCAGATTCAATGGCTGATTTGATCCATGAAGTTGCATTTTTCTTTCTTTCCAGTGCCAGATTCAACGCTTCCTTGACTGAACCTGCACTGTTAGAATCGGTATCTGATGTTTTCGGTGGACTGATTTTTGTCAATGACTGCACTATTAGTCTGCTGTGAGCCAAGTCATCTTGAAGATCAAAAAATTTATCAACTAATATATGTGAATCACCCCCTTTCGTTAACTGGAACTCTGAGTATGTGCTGGACAAAACAGAGGAAGCCGTGAGTTAGCAACTCTAGGTGATAACCTGAATCACTCACAATCTCTACCTATCAGACTCTTTATGTCTCAAAGAATAAAACAAAAGGGACACATTCAATTGGAGTGATGCACAAAGAAAAATATGCTACATATAAAATAAGCCATCCTATTGTGCTTGCACAATCCGACATAGAAGTCAGCTGGAAGCTCATTAGTGTGATAATTATGCATTGGCAATGGTGGAAACTGGATGAGAATACAATTAAACTAAAACTGAAAAGAGGGCCAAGTACAAAGGAAAAAATGAATTGAGTTACATTCATTTGGTAATTAGGGAAAAATAATTTCTGAAACACCTATATTCAGTCTTCATTGAGGTGTGCACGTTCGTTTCTTGAATCTGAGCCAAAATTGCATTCCTTTCCAGGTTTCTAAAAGGTAGTCCTAAAATTTTTAATTGATGGTGGCTCTTGCATTGCAACAACAATGAAAAAGGCTCCAGACATCAAGTTTGGATAACATAACTTCCAATAATATGCCAGATCAGATACACACAACAATTGCCACTTCTATATGTTGACACTAGCAATTCTTCAGCAAATTTGGCAGGTATATCCTTTTCGTGCTCTTTATTTAATGCACGGCCCATGTCCTGGATTATCTATACAGGTCCTCTGGACATGGTTTCAAAGACTTACCATCTCAATTTCACTAAACCTATAATGTCACCCGAATTCTTTAAGCTACCAAAAGGTAAAATTACTTTAGTATCTCATAAAGGACGTGTCGATTTGTATCTTCCCTTAAGCTTGATAATGTTTTCTCTCTGCATTCAATTTAAACCTCTTGTCTGTTATCCAATTGACAAAGTCACAAAAATACATTAAGTCTACAAAAATAGATAGAATCAAAGAAAAATGAAAGTAACGATTTGAAGTTTAAGACAGTGAACAAAAAGTGGTCTATGTGTGTAATGAGCATTTGTGTAAAAATTGATGGACTAAAATGAGAAGTATACATATGAACAAATTACAAGCCGATCAAGTGTTCCAGATCATGTCCTTTAAGACCCTACGTGTGAACTTATAGAGAGAACAGATTTCGTTATGTTAAGTCCATTATTTTCTGGGGAAAAAAAAAAATCCTGTACGTATCATTTTCTGAAATCTTTATCCACAAGCTCCTATTTTATCTAAAGAACTAGATCATAAAAAAGATTAAGTTAGTTGAAAACCGAAAAACCAATAACAAAAAGATAAGATTCTAATCAGAAACCATCCAGAACCACAAATAGCCACACCTTAAGCATTTGGCCAGTCTCTCAGCAGCACAAGCCTCTTGCAGAGCCTCAACTGCAGTAAGCAGAGCAACATTTCTATGCCTTATCACCTCCTGCAGATCATCCAAGATGGAAATAATGATTAGTTTCTTGACATATAAAATAGCCCAAGCTGCCAAGCACCATAAAGATGAATTTACTCTATGGTTGGACCTTATTACCTTTCCAAGCTTCACGAGGCTTGAGGGGAGAGATTCCCATGAGATTTTAATTTCTTCTCCTTTTCTATCATTGACTGAGCTGCACATCACTTCCTCACCATTTTTTCTTGGAACAGGGATCTTGCTCCTGTTGGAATTTTTAACCGATTTCACACTTGGACCACAAACTCTCTTCCTTCTTGTGGAATTCGAATTTTCATCAGAGCTATCGGACCTCACAGGATGAACAGGAGAAATCTGTCTATATGGAAAGAATACAAATGCAATTCACTAAGGTAAGGAATTCACACTAGTACACATGAACTAAATAAAAGCAAATTCACCTCAAAATTCACCACAAACTAATTTTATCCCATCTAGCTTCATGTTATATATTTCACAAATTAATCGGTAATAGTTATTGGCCCAAATCAGAATTTGTCCATATTTCTTAATATTCAATCTTTGGGCAATCCAAATCCAAAATTATTAATTATTTTTATCAAAGTTGACTATATTTCCCGATTATCTGCGCAAAAGTTTAGCTTAATTAACAAATGTATCCAACTCAGAATTTCATCCACATTATTGTTTCTGGATTTCACAAAACATTTCAAATCTGCAGTTGGACATATTCTATTAAGTTTTAGGCCTATTTAATTTCAGGTGCTGGTCCAATTCCAGATTCGTCTAACTTCAACTATGATTGAATTTGCCATGAAAATGATAACATGATGAAAAAAAGGAGTCATTGAGAAACTCACACAAGCACTACGGCTACGAGTCACTGGTCTTATCTCATGCTTGACAACCGAAGAATCGAAAATTCCCTTCACCCCCAAAATCTCCATCTCACTCCAGCTTCTTCTCTTTGATGTCTGTAGAAACGAGGCAGACGCCTTTGGACTATCAGAATCACTGTCATTGTCAGCAGAAGCTGATTTACTTCTTCGTAGAACCCCCAAACCACCCAAAATTCTCTTCTCAATATCACAACTTTTACTGATGCAATTGAAGACCCTTCTTTTCTCACTGGGCCGAGCTTTGGATGCACTCAGAGACCGGTTCTTTACCGGAGTTTTTTTCTCCCCAACATCCCCCTTCCCTGTTATGGACTCAGAATCAGAGAACCCACAAATCTTTTTCTCAGAAACAACAGTCTTTTCCATTATGGACTCTTCATTGGACTCCTCAAGAAACTTCACCAAATTAGCAGCCAGAACTATATCTTCCGGAGTTCCATCACACGGATGTCTACCGGGGACAGGCCTTACGCCTCTGAGAATCGGAACCGGCAGTGCCTCCTCCAACTTCTGTACATATATGAACTGCCCAAGTTGTAATTGGTTACTCAAAATCATCTCATCCTGTTCTTGAGGCAAAGAGACATAAATGGCGTGAGTCGAATCGGAGACCTTCAAGTAAAACCCTTTGTTAGGCCAAAGATCACCTTCTTCCAGAACAGGGATTATGCTTCTTATCTGCAACAAAACTCGTTTACGATCATCCGCTAGGGTTTCATCCACCGTCATGTCTTCAAGAAGCTTAACGAGAACTCCAGATTTCAAAACAGTCATTGTTGCAAGAAAAGCCAAGAGAAGACACCTGACGTCTTGTAATTGAAAGATTATACAAAACAATAGTGTGTCGAGTGGTTTTATTTGAAACATTCGATCAAAACCCTAGAAAGAAAGATTGGGTTGGATAAGCAAAAACACGAAATGGGTAATGGAAAATCTATAAATAGGGTAGTGAAAATCGAAGAAAGATCGATGTTGTGTCCAAATTTAGGGTTTTACAGACTGTGAGACAGCTAAGTCGTCACAGAGCAATTGAAATTGGGGGATAAAGTGTCGGAAGATTTTTCAGATGACGAAATGGGGAAAGAGAGCGAGAGAGACGCAGTGGATCGGAATGAGTGGTTGTAAATCAGTTTGGTGGCGAGGAATTACACCTGCGCTGGCTATTTATGTTTTGAGTTAGGGTTTTGAAACCGACCATATCGCCATTGAAGGCGGGAAATGGAAGGCAGTTAAAACCGTTAGAGCTGGCTCCATCTCACTGAGTACTATTCTCTTGGGCATAGACCATGGTCATGACATACCCGACATAATTGGCATCTTTGTATCAAAGATCAAAGAGTAGCGTCACAAAGGGCAAAGCAGAATTGGCAGGGTTTTCAAAACCAAGCCTTTAAGGTCTTGCTTTTTTGAGGTTTCGTTTTTATTACTTAAATGATTAACACGTATTTGGTCTTTTGTTTCAAGATGAAAAAGTAGTCAACATTTCTTTTTTTTTTGATTTATTTATTTATTTTTTCACAAACTCACTTTGCCTCGCGACTTCAACTCTCAATTTAAAAGAAAAGAAATTTTATTTAAACATTTTAGGGGTTTGGGTAATTTAGAAAAGAAGACTTTAAGCAAAATTAATTCTTCATAATGACACAATTTTTTTAGTAAGAATTTTTGCAGAACGCAGAATTTTTTTGACTTCTTAAGAAAATTTTTAGGAATTTACAATATTGTCCTTCTCTCTTGTAAGTTTCATGCATTCCAAAAACATGAAATTGTAATTTCACTTTTAGAGATGAAAAAATAATTTTTTTTAGCTGACTCACACATCCCACTTTAACCCTTTGGGTAAACTCTTAAATTTTCAAATTTAGAAGGTGACTGAAATATCATGAGGCTATTGCTCTTGTTAAAAAATAATATTTTTATTAAAGCAAAAAAATTGCAAAATTACAAAATAAAGTTTGTTTTAGGACCACAATTAATATAATCTGATTTATTTATCTTCCATTTCAGCTATTGTTGCATGTGTCTAGTTCTGTTAGAAGCAAACATATTACTTTTCTAGAGATAGAGTTTTTTTTTTTTTCTTTCTTTCTTTTAAATCTATAAATGTCAAGGAATTAAGAAAACTTTACAGAGAAAATAACAAACAAAACGATTAATAAAATAATCAAAACGGTTCAACAACACAGTGACACTAACCAAAGATGTTGCCCAACTTAGAACTACATATTATGGGAATGTCTATAGTCCAAAAGTATCATTAAAAGAGATAATGGTGCAATTCAATTTGTTCACTAATCAGAAGCAAAACTAATCACACTCATTTGATTCATCATTCATCAATCATCCTCTAGATTAATGGGGAAAGAGGCTGAGAGGGAGAGCTATAATGGCGACCTTGCACGATCAATGTTTTTTTTTTCAAGACGATTCATTCACCGGAGGTATTACGATTAAATATCCCGATAAATATTAAAATCACTTAATTTGTATGGTATATAGTTAGATTCTATCTAATTTACTCGGTTTATAATTGACATTGAATACTAAATAAATATGAAGCTGCGTAAATGAAAGAATGAAAGACTTCAAAGTTATATATGTACATACATGGACACACGCATATAAGAAAAACAGAGAACACATGCTAAAAGCTACAAAATGGAAAAGAAAAACAGAAAAGCGCTAGAGGAAGGGTTTGAACCTTCGGCCTTGTGGTTAACAGCCACACGCTCTAACCAGCTGAGCTACTCCAGCTCGGCGCTTCACAAAATAAATAATTAAATAATAATATTATATATAATTAAGTAACCTATTTGCTCATTAATTACTTATTCTATTTTCCGTCTTGATTCACATGTGTACATTAGTACATATATGTGTGTGTGTGTGTGTGTATAAATATATATGTGTGTGTATATGTGTGTGTGTGTGGGTGTGTGTGTGTATAAATAATTAGGTTACTTTTTATTATGATATTTATTACTTATCAAACCTTCTTTTGTCTTTAAACTGTGAATTTTATTTTTATTTTTTTCCAAAAAACCTCCCACAGCGAGTAAGTAAAATTTAATTCCACAATTTTATTTGACTAAAACTCAATTCCATAATTTTACATTCAATTAAAACTTACAATATTAAATATTCACATTTAAAGCGTGTGTGTGTGTATATACATATATATATATAATGTAATATAATATAGGGAATTTCTTTTTTAAAAAAAAACTAGGTTTGATGCTATAATTACAAATATGGCATTTATGAAAAAAGAATTAAGTAGAAGAGCTACTAAACAAAGCAAATTACAAATACGACCACTTGCACAATTATGGTCCAAAATACCCTTAAGTCCTTTAAATATTTCCATCCTTCTCCTCTTTATATCATACACGCGGTTACAAGTGGGATTTGTCCTACATCGAATCTGGATGGAAAGTGAAAGTTATTTAAATGGGTGGGTATAAAACACTATTCAACAGTTTGAACTTTTGGGTAAATGGTCAAGCGCCCATCTGTTACGATTGGTATCAGAGCCAGACCCAGTTCTTGATCCGGTATCACGCTAAACGCCTAGCTCAGAAGGCGTCTGGGTGAGCCACCTGGGTAAGCAGGGTGACCCGACCGCAATGAGGGCGTTGCGCGAGTTTGGGTGGGGAAGGATGTTATAAGTAGGACTTGTTCCACATTCGATTTACATCGGATTTGGATAGGAAGTGAAATAGGTTTAAATGAGTGGGTATGCATAGCACTACCCAACAGTTTGAATTTTTAGGTAAATGAGGAAGCGCCCACCTGTTACACACACCCATATATGTTTAGACAACCACCGTTGGCGGCTGCGCCACCGCCACCACTCTCAGGTACAATGCAGCCATTGTGTTCGACATCAATGGCTTGGAAAATCCTATAAAGCTGTAGCTCCTTATCATCCAAATACCTCCTAAACTTCTGGTTATCGACCCGGCCATCTAGCATCACTAACCCTCCTTGGCATACTTATACTTCGCCGGAATTTGCAGCGCCGAGAAACCACCTCAATCTGAGCATAGTCCAAGTATCCAACACTGGCAGTGTCAAAAAATTTGAAGAGACTCTGAATTCTGGTGTCCCTTTCTTCCTTAGGGTATGTTTGGTATGGATGATTTAAGGGGATAGGGAGAGAAAAGAAAAGAAATGATAGGATATGAGTGTGTTTGGATGGATTAAATGAAGAGAAAAGAGTGGATAGGGAGAGATAGGGAGGGATAACTATCCCTCCTTATCTCTTATTTGCTTTCTCTCCAATTTTGAGAAGATATGGAGAGAAAGCATAGTGATTTTAGTGGTATTTTAATAATACAAAAATTAGCCTCCATAAATCAATATATAGATTTATTATTCCATTCAAGTCCCATGTTTGTTTTTTTTTTTTTTTTTTTTGGAATTACATGTTATGTTTGTATTTGATCCACACTCACCGGTAGTAGTTTTTCACTTTCTCTTTCCCGGACTCCAATTGAAGAATAAAATCTGAGATTCATATTTTTTTTTTTTTTTTTTTTTTTTTTTTTTTTTTTTTGCAATTTAATTTATTTAATCACAAAAGAAAGAAAGAACAAAGGGTACCTACAACAGGCAAGCCAAGAAAAAAAAACTACAACAAACATGTTCCCAAAAAAACAAATTAGCAAAGCATTTGTTCAAACTTATTTTGCATTTCACAGGAAATATCCAGTAAATGGTTTCTAAATAAGCCATCCAAAGAAAACCAATCTAAAGAACAAATTTGTTGAAAATATGAATAAAAAAAAAGGAAATAAAAGAATAATTAAGTTCGGGTTTCTCAAGAATAATGTGTGAAGTGATTATGAAAGGGTAAAAACGTAATTTGTCCACTATCCTTTCTTTTCTTTTCTCCCTTGTCTATCCAAACATACCCTTAATTTCTTGCAATAGCGAGAGAACATGGTCCATCAACACCGGACCCACCTTCTTCACTGAATGAGTTACTCAAAATTAAATTGGACGGAATTAATTTTAAATTTTGAAATAAATTTTTAAAATTTCAACTTTAAGAGTCAATTCCATTCTTCCAAACGCAACATTAATAAATAAATATATATTATTCGCCTCAAATGTGGATTGATTTTTAAGTGACTTTTGTTGTTATTCATAAGTGACAATGGATCTTTATTGGATAATATTTTTCTTGCCAAGAAAAATAAAAAAGAATTAGAGTACCACCAAAAGAAATAATAAAAAAAAGAAGAGAATTTTTGTATCATTATGACGTATTGGTGTGTTAGTTTTCAACTCTCCATGTATTGCCAATTGGGCTTTTGCACGTAAAAGCCAGCCTTGGATTTGGATGACGCAGTCAACGATGGATGGATGGATGGATTGCGAGTTGGGACAAGTCATTTATGGGAGAACCGAAATCAAATTTGTATTCCAATGTCATTATTAAATTTTCCTCCTCCAGTTTGAATTATTCTGACATACACCTATTACTTTTCACCAAATTTTAGTTGATTTAATTAAATTTTTTCTTCACTTTTTTCTTTTTTCTTTTTTCAAATGATGATTTTGCCTTAATCATGACAAATGACCTTTATAATCCTCCCACATATTTAAATCAATTAGCACCCCCAAAAAACCAAAAAGTGACTTATCTGTTTGTATTTTTATTATTATTATTTTTTTTTAACACCCGCATGCCAACGTGTGTAAACAATGACGGACCCAAAATATTGCACGAGAGAAAGCGGGCAGTAATTTTATAAATAAAAAAAGTTTAATTGGGGCAACTGCCTTGCTGAGCCCTTAATGTGTGTTTCGGTGTGTGTGGAATTAGGGTCCCTCACCTTATTTTTAAAAAGAAAAAATTATACCAGTAGATGATAAGTGGTGTTGAAATATAAAATTCTAAAGTACCAACATATATCATATTACTGGCCTCCCAGCAGTTGGATGTGATGATGTGGCCCACCTAATAAATAATTCAAACGGTTGGAAGTCTAGGAGAGTCGAGGGTACTCGAGATATCTCCAAGTATTCTACACAATAATTCTTGCACGCATTATCTAGGGAAGTTTTTACATTAATAGGGTCCAAGGACAGAACGATCATTACCCATGTCTAAGCCACTCGCCAACTTTCCTATGACCCATTCCTAGTATATATAAATGTGATGTACAATACAAAAACACAGACGAGATTAAAAGCAACCATATAGTAGGGGGACTAAAAAACAGGCTAGAAGCAACAAGCAAAGCATGGAAGGGTTGATCCCATTTCTCCTCCACACCCTCAAGAAACAGAGATCTCACAACAGCTACCGGAGCCTCTCCGACAGCTCCAACCGTAGCTACCACATGTTGATGGGACCGGACTCGTTGGATGGCTCGTCCCATCGTCGAACCAGATCAGAGTTTGTGCCACTCACAGTTGAATTCTCCCAGCAGCAGCAGCAGCCTGGTTTGGAATTCTCCCACTCACGCAGCATCAACGGAGCTTCTGTGGTCACTAATTCGGCCACGAATGGACGGAGCCAAATTGGTGCCTCTACTAATACTTACCGAGCCACAAAGAAGACTAATACTAATCTTCAACATGAATGATAGATTTAGCTCAAGAGTTCAAAAGTCTTTGAATGAATTTGTTTTAATGGATTGGATGTTGTTGCATCCAATTGATTCAAGTGCACCTATTTTTTGTTTTCTTGATTTGTTTGCAATGGTTCTGTCAATAACACAAATGTTCTGAATGAATTAATGGAATTTGTTGAATTGTAATTAAAGTTTTAACTATGAGATGTTCTTTGGCAAGTTTGTGTGATGATGAAGATTGAAGTGTGAGTATAAGAATTGGAATTTGAGTTTTGTTCTTCTATATAAAATAAACTGCAAATTATATTTTTTAGTTTATTTTTTTGGGTATAAGTAAACACAAACACATTCATAATATTGTTCATAGTTGAACTTTAACGCTCAACCTTATATTATGGTTGGTGTTGTATAAACAGAATGAACGAATAGTATCTACTTTTGTGAAAATATATAATAGAAAGAATGGTATTTATGAAAAAGTATACATATTTTGGAGTACTTACACGGGATATTCTCTATCAATGAACAGTTATGAAATTCTCAATTTCTCTTGATAATTCAAGATAAATGAAAATTTTTCAATAAAAAGTACGATTTATTAATGTGGATATTACATGATAAATACCCGTATTGTATGTTTTTTGGTATTTAAAAAAGTATGATGAGTTAGGCTAGTGAGAGTTGTTAAAAAAAAAAAAAAAAAAAAAGGTTAGGCTAGTGAGTGGTAATCAAATTTTGCAAGTATTTGACTGGTTCAACTAATCAAATAGTCCACATATCAAATGGTGGGAGTGGGCAACAGGTGTAAATGAGTGTGGGCACTCTCATTCAAGTGGAGACTTTGATGGACACCAACATCTATCCATTTGACAACAACAGGAGACGGTCATATATATAATATATGCATATATAGAGGATGTCATATGCTGCTATGCATAGAGAATTACTAATATTTCAAGAGTTTTAATGTGATTCATGAAATCATAATCAATTTAAGGACTCTCTTTCTATATATATATATATATATATATGGTGTGTTTGGCTGGGCTTTTTGTAGTCTCAAAACGGGCTTCTAAGTCCAGAAAGTCATTTGCTGATAATAAAGAACGTTAGGTAAACTTTTTGAAAACAGACTTTTAAAAAGTTTCAGTAGTTTAGAAGCTCGATCGATCAAAACCAATAAAACATGCTTCCTGATCGACTTTCCGCAAGTTACACACTTTTTTTAAGTAATAAATATAAAATTCCTATATTGTCCATAATTTAACCTATTTCTTTTTCTATTTCTGATTGCAAACTTTTTTCTTTCTCTTTCTGTATCATCTCCTACATTCGTTCTCCACTCAAAAATAAAAAAATGAATTTTAAAATGTTGGGCAAAATTTCACATATCTTTACTAAAAAAAATATTTTTGAAAAACGATTCAACAAAGGAAAAATAATGACATCGAAGAGTTGCAGGAAAAATTACCATCGACTCCCATTTAACTTCAAAGCCTAAAGAGTTCCACGGTTTATGAACTCTCATCTAAAATTCAATCATATGTAGAATTCTAAATAACTTTAAAAAAAAAAAAATTATATATATATATATATAATTTTTTTTTTTTAAAGGTTACCGTTCCACTGTTAAAGTAATTTATTTGTTGCCATCTCTCTCTTTCATTTTATTTTTCTTTCCTTTTCTTTTTTCACAATCTCTTTCAACTTTTATTAAGGAAAAAAAAAATTCTATCATGTAAATTGGGTAAATTTGTATACCTTTATCATCACTGTGTCAATTAATCGTTGATGCATCATAGACAATTTCACTCCATCACTTATTTTTTTATTTTTTTATTTTTTTTTCCTTCCCCTATTTGTACATCTCAAGTCAACTTTATACTATTATTCATGAATTATTAAGGGTATAATTGTCAAGTTGAATTATGTTGATAATTAAAAGAACTTTAAAAAATTCATCTACCAAACAACTTTTTTGTTTTAAAATCCTTTCATCAAATGTATTCATGGTGATTGTTTCTTCATCCAAGGGACCAAGACAATGTGTTGGCTTGTTAAATCTGGTTAGGGTTTTTTTCTATGTTCAGTTTAGTCCCATATCGTTTTGGAAAGAGTAGTGTGAAAGGCAAGATAGATTATAAAAGATGTGGGCTATTACAAAATTAATCATACCTTTCTCGACCTTTTGGCTAAGATTATCTGTTCTTATCGGTTTAATATTTGATACGTGGGCCATTGGCCCACACAGTGTTAAAACTAGGATTTTTTTGTGTATAAAAGACAATTAGAAAAAGAAATAAAAGAATCCATTGAAAAAAAAAAAAGAAAAAAAAAATAATCATAATTCATTATGAGAATGTTATTAAATACTCCATATATATATATATATATATATATATACATGGATCAATGCAGAATTCTAACCAACAAATTATAAATTTAATTTTTAAAGGTGAGTAAATTATTTACCCACCCCTAAAAGCAAATGTATATTACACTCAAAGTCAATACGACATTTGGTATTAAATTTTTTTTTATTTATTATAAAGCAACTGTATAACATATTAAGTAACATAATATCAATATACTTACTAGCAAACGACGGTAACCTAAAAGTATATCTTAAAATATGTTGTAACAATCAAGTATACACCATTGTTTATGGATAGGGTGTCCATCCAATTGTCCGTTTTGTCGCAACCTTACAATTCTTCGCAGATATCTGATGTCCAAGGAGACAAGACAACATTCATAGTAAATAACAAACAGTAATGTTTATATTATCCTTTATTCGACAATCCCTTTAATAGTATTTACATTTGCCCAATAATTTTCCAAAATTTCCACTTTTTCTCTGCTTGACACAGTTTCTATTCGTTGGTAGTCCTATTACTCAATGTTACTGGAATTGCAGTTCGATGATCCATAAAGTGCCACAATGTCCTCATTCATTTGCTACTAACCAGAATAGGTGATCAAATCAGAACCAGTTCTAAATTAACAAATACAAGAGCACATCCATATTCCATACATGATAAACACAAGTCTAAGATGGAATGGACTCGGTAAGAGTAAATGACCAAATTGGGTCTTTATGATTAATATCATTCTCAGCTGTGAGCCATCAAAAAAAATTACTCTATTGAAATTTTGAGACAAATGGAGTAGTTTGCATTACATATATACATATATATATATAAACACAATTTTTAAGTATATGCATGAACATAAATTTCTATAGGGTATAACGATGGTAAGTGTCAACTTACTTAAACTTGAAGATTATTCGGGCAATTCCAAAAGTCAAAAGCAAGTTACGGGGCTCAATAGATGATATCATGAAAGCCATGAATATGAAAAACAGTCAAGAAAAGTGCTTTAGCAAAGTCCCACATCGGTTAAGAGAGAAAAGTGGGGAGAGAGTTGGTTATAAAAAGAGAGGCCGGTGAATGGACAAATCATACCTTTCTCGACCTTTTGGCTAAGATCAAGTGTAGTATCTGTTCTTATCAGTTTAATATCTGATACGTGAGCCAATGGCTCACACGGTATTAAATTAATTTTTTGAGGGGGAAAGAGGCCACCACAGTAGCTAGCTATTGGGCCTCTTGCGGGTGGCCTTAGCGTTGCACTATAGCCTAGGCCCGGCCCACCCCACCAAATCTTAGTTTAAAATTTATGTTTGTTCATAATAATCATAGCCCGAACAAAAAAAACTAGTTCATGGCAACTTTATTTAACAAGAAATTGCATTTTCAAAATTTGAGAATTCAAGCAAAAGAACAGAAATTTAAGAATCAATGACTGGCAACCACTCACCATATTTACCAAGAATCTCTACAAAAAGCTTCCATCTCAATTTGCTTGAACATGGCATCACCCAAAAATATGCTTGCAAAGTCAACCATACAAGCGCCTTGTAGCCCAAGCAGTAGGGTTGCTCGCCGTTGTCCTTGGAAGCCTGACTTCTAGCCTTCACACACCCCCTCCCCATTATTAAAAAAAAAAATAAAGTACAACCATACAAAAAAAAAAAAAACTATCACTGGACTCCAATAGAACATGAGAGTTAACTTCTTATTAGACTCTCTCATTGGGGATAAAAGGATTCCTCCTTGAACTACCAGGAGTAAATAAAAATTCCTTTATTACAATCTTTAGTATTGTGCATGCAAAGCTTAAAAATATAAGTAATCTGATTTGCACAAACACACAACTAAACAGGTGATTATATATATACATCCTATAACCAGCCAAGAAGCTAGAGCAGCAAAAATTAATTTTTTGTATGGTCGCTCAAGCACTGAAGTCAGTTCACAAAATTGCAGCCAAAACGCATGCATTCTACATAATTTACAATATAATGTTTGCTAAAATGAAACTAACTTCGAGATCTAAACCTTGTACACCATTTAATCAGAAGCTCTTCGACATTGGCATCCATTCGAGTTCCAATGCCTCCCCTTGTGCACCATTTAATAAAATGCAATCCATGTCCATTTGGGTACATTCAGGCTGTTGGAAGAGAAGACACCGCCGCGAATCATCGACAAGTTCGGGTGGTGCTATTGGGATGCATTTTATCTAACGGTGGAGCCAGTTGGTGTGTGGCATGGTGTGAAGAAATTTGCTGACGATGGGTTCCCTCCTAGATTCCTAATCATTGATGATGGATGGCAGAGCATAAATATGGACCGTGAGTCTCCCTTAGAGGACTCTAAGGACTTAGCAGGACTTGGGTCTCAAATGCTTTGCAGGGTCCACAGGTTCAAGGAAAATGACAAGTTTGCAAAGTACCAAGCAGGGACAATGTTGAGAGCTGACGCGCCGAGTTTCGATCAAGTGAGGCATGACAAGATGTTTAAAGAGACGGATGCTATTGCTGTTAAGAAGAAAGAGTTAAAGGACGCCGGAGGGGACATCTCGAGCTTTCCCGAGTCGTCGGTTATTGAGTACTTGAAGGAAGAAGAGGGTGTGGAGAGAGGGGGTTTGAAGGCACTGGTTGATGATTTGAAGGCTAAGTTTTCAAGTTTGGATGATGTTTATGTGTGGCATGCATTGTGTGGGGGTTGGGGAGGGGTTAGGCCAGGGACGACTGGTTTGGATGCTAAGGTGAACAAAGCAAAGTTGGCAGATGGATTGGAGAAGTGCATGTTTGATTTGGCAGTTGATATGATAATAAAAGGTGGGATTGGTCTTGTTGATCCAAGTCAAGCTGCTGAGCTGGATGAAGCACTTAAAAAAAAAAACTACTTTTGATGCTATAATTACAAATTACATTCACGGAAAAAGAATTAACAAGTAGAAGAGTTACTAAACAAAACTAATTACAAATACGAACTTGCACAATTATGGTCCAAAATACCCGTACTCCCTTTAAATATTTCCATCCTTCTCCTATCTCTATCATACTCGTGGTTACAAGTGGGACTTGTCCCACATCGGATCTAAACGGGAAGTGAAAATTGTTTAAATGGGTGGATATGTAGCATTACTCAACAGTTTGAGTTTTTAAATAAATGGCCAAACGTCCACCCGTTATTAGTATTAAAGCCAGACCCAGTGCTGCGCTAAGCGCCTTACTACCCCTACTCGAAAGACCTACCGGTAGACAGGGTAGCCCGACCGCAATGAAGGTTAAATGAGTAGGTATGCATAGCATTAGCCAACAGTACACTCCCATACGTAATTAGACAACCACACTCAATGAGTTAAAAAAAAAAAAAACAAAAAATGAAGGAAAGGAAAGAGTATCATAACTACGTATTGGTGGTGTTAGTTTTCAACCCTCCATGTATTGCCAATTGGGCTTTTGCGTGTAAAAGCCAGCCTTGGATTTGGATGAAGCAGTCAACGATGGATGTATTGCGAGTTGGGACAAGTCATTTATGGAGAACCGATGGATGGATTGCGAGTTGGGACAAGTCATTTATGGAGAACCGAAATCAAATTTGTATTCCAATGTCATTATCTTATTAAATTTTACACTAAAAGCTTCCTCCAGTTTGAATTTTTCTCACATACACCTACCGCTTTTCACCAAATTTTAGTTGATTTACTTCAATTTTTTCTTCACTTTTTTCTTTTTTCAAATGGTGATTTTGCCTTCTATTTTTAAAATTATAGGAATTCAATCATGACAATGACGTTTATATTCCTCCCACATATCTAAATCAATTAGCACCCCCAAAAAACCAAAAAGTGACTTTTTTTTTTTTTATATATAAAAAAAATAACACACGCATACGGACGTACGTAAACAATGACAAACCCAAAATATTGCACGAGAGAAAACGGGCAATAATTTTATATATAAAAAAAATTCAATTAGGTCTTTCGGTGCGTGTGGAATTAGGATCTCTCACCTTCTATTTTTTTAAAAAAAAATTATACCAGTAGATGATAAGTGGTGTTGGAATATAAAATTATAGGATGCCAACAGATATCGTATCCTTGGGCCTCCTAACTGTCGGATGTGATGATGGAGTCCACCTAATAAATAATTTAACGATTGGGAGTCTTGGGGGAACTATAACTCGAGGTATTCTGCACAATAATTCTTGAAGGCATCATCTAGGGAAGTTTTTACATTAATATAGTCCAAGGACAGAATGGTCATTACACATGTCTAAGCCACTCGCCAGCTTTCCTTTGACCATTCCTAGTATATATAAATGTGATGTACAATACAAAAACATAGACGAGAGATTAAAAGCAACCATATGGTAGGGAAAAAAAATTAAAAGAGAGCTACGCTAGCAGCAACCAGCAAAGCATGGAAGGGTTGATCCCATTTCTCCTCCACACCCTCAAGAAACAGAAACCTCACAACAGCTATCGGTGCCTCTCCGACAGCTCCAACCGTAGCTACCACATGTTGATAGGACTGGACTCGTTGGATGGCTCATCCCATCGTCGAACCAGATCAGAGTTTGTGCCACTCACAGTTGAATTCTTCCACAAGCAGCAGCGGCAGCAGCAGCCTGGTTTGGAATTCTCCCACTCACGCAGCATCAACGGAGGTTCTGTGCTCACTAATTCGGCCACGAATGGACGGAGCCAAATTGGTGCCACTACTAATACTTACCAAGCCACAAAGAAGGCTAATACTAATCTTCAACATTAATGATAGATTTAGCTCAAAAGTTCAAAAGGTCTTTGAATGAATTTGTTTTAATGGATTGGATGTTGTTGCAGTCAATTGATTCAAGAGTACCTATTTTTTGTTTTCTTGATTTGTTTGCAATGGCTCTGTCAATAATACAAATGTTCTGAATGAATTGGAATTTGTTGAATTGTAAAGTTTTAACTATGAGATGTTCTTTGGCAAGTTTGTGTGATGATGATAAAGATTGAAGTATGAGTTAAGAATTGGAATTTGAGTTTTGTTCTTCTATATAAAATAAACTGGCAAATTATACTTTTTACTTTATTTTTTTAGATACAAGTAAACACGCACACATTTACAATTATGAATTCGAACGCTCCACCTTGTATTGTGGTTGGTGTTGTATAAACAAAATAAAAGGTTAGTATCTACTTTTGTAAAAATAATAAAAAGAGCGGTATTTATGAAAAAGTATTCATATTTTGGAGTATTTACACGTGATACTCTCTATCAATGAACACTTATAAAAAATCTCAATTTCTTTTAATAATTCAAGATAAATGAAAATTTTCCAATAAAAAGCACGACGATTTATTAGTATGGATATTACATGATAAATATCCGTATTGTATACTTTTTTGTGTTTAGAAAAGTACGATGAGTTAGGCTAGTGAGTAGTAATAAAAATTCGCAAGTATTTGACTGGTTCAAGAAATCAAAGTCCCCATAGTAAACGGTGGGAGTGGGCAACAGTTGTAAATGAGTGGGCACTCATTCATGTGGAGACTTTGATGGACACCAACATCTATCCATTTGACAACAACAGGAGATGTTGCATATATAGAGAATTAGTCATATGCTGCTCTCTGTCTATATATATTATATAACATGTATTCGTGGTGATGGTTTCTTCATCGAAGACAAGGTGTGGCTTGTTAAATCTGGTTAGGGTTTTTTTTTATGTTTAGTTTAGTTCCACGTCGTTTTGGAGAGAGTAGTGTGAAAGATAAGATAGATTATAAAAAATGTGGACTATTACAAAATAAATCATATCTTTCTCGGCCTTTTGACAAAAATCAAGTGTAGTATTTATTCTTATCATTTTAATATTTGATACGTAAGCTAATGACTTGCACGGCATTAAATTAATTTTTTAGGGGCAAAGGTTGCCACAGTAGCTTGCTATTGGGCTTCTCGCGGGTCGCCCTGGCATTGCACTATAGCCTAGGCTAGGCCCACCCCATCAAATCTCAATTAAAATTTTGTTAGGAGAAAAGGTTGTACTGGGCCTCTCGCGGGTCTGGCATTGCACTATAGCCTAGGCTAGGCCCACCGCATCAAATCTCAATTAAAATTTTATATAGTCATGGATCATAATCCATAATGAGAATGTTATTTATAAGTATATACACATATGGATGAATGCCAAATTCTAAGAATTCTAACCAATTAAGAGTGCGATTATTAATTTTTTTAAAACCGTGAGTAAATTATTTACCGACCCCTAAAAGCAAAATGGATATTATACTCAAAGTCAATACGACCTTTGGTATTAATTTTTTTATATTATAAAGCAACTGTATAATATATTAAGTAACATAATAAGTAACATAATATCCATATACTGAGATGTCTGATGTCCAATAAAATGGAAGGAGACAAGACGACATTCATAGTAAATAACAAACAGTATGTTTATATTAACCTTTATACGACAATCCCTTTAATAGTATTTACATTTGCCCAATAATTTTCCAAAATTTCCCCTTTTTCTCTGCTTGACACAGTTTCTATTCGTTGGTAGTCCTACTACTCAATGTTACTGGAATTGCAGTTCCATGATCCATAAAGTGCCACAATGTCCTCTCATTCATTTGCTCTTACAATCTCCAATTTACTGCTTTAAAAGTGCAACTATTACCAACCAGAATCAGTTCTAAATTAACAAATGCAACAGAAACTCCCATATTCCATACATAACTCATGTAAATTGCAGCAAAACAATCATTACCATGATAAACATAAAATTGTGGAGCAATAAGACAATTAACTATTAATGAGACCGATTTACTGTAGTGATAAAACATAACTCATGTAAATTGCAGCAAAACAATCTCCAATTTACTGCTAAAAAGTGCAATTGCTACTAACCAGAATAGGTGATCAAACCAGAACCAGTTCTAAATTAACAAATACAAGAGGGACATCCATGTTCCATACATGAGAAACACAACTCAAAGATGCAATGGACTTAGTAAGAGTAAGGTATCAAATTGGGTCTTTATTGTTGACATCATTCTCAGCTGTGAGCGGTCAAAAATAATTACTCTATTGAAATTTAGAGACAGATGGAGTAGTTTGCATTACATATATATATATATAAAAACACAATTTTTTAGTATATGTATGAACATAAATTTCAATAGGGTATGACGATAGTAATTGCTAACTTAAACTTAGAAGATTATTCAGGCAATTCCAATAGTCAGAAACAAGTTAAAGGGCTTAATAGGTGATATCATGAAAGCCATGGCCATGAAAAACAGCCAAGAGAAGTGCTTTAGCAAAGTCCCACATCGGTTAAAAGAGAAAAGTGGAGAGAGAGTTGGTTATAAAAAGAGATGCAGGTGAATGGACAAATCATACCTTTCTCGGCCTTTTGGCTAAGATCAAGTGTAGTATCTGTTCTTATCAGTTTAATATCTGATACGTGTGGCCGCCACAGTAGCTTTGCTATTGGGCCTCTCGCAGGTCGCCTTGGCGTTCCACTATAGCCTAGGCCCGGCCCACCCCACCAAATCTTAGTTTAAAATTTCTGTCCACGGCCTTTATTCATAATAATCATAGCCCGAACTAACGAAAAAAAAAAAAAAACTGATTTACAATTCTGCCATTTCTATCTTTTATTTCAATTGTTGAAATAATAAGAATGATTATCTTGGTAACATTAAGCTTCTTTTTTTTTTTTTTTTTAACAAGAAATTGCATTTTCAAAATTTGAGAATTCAAGCAAAAGAACAGAAATTTAAGAATCAATGACTGGCAACCACTCACCATATTTACCAAGAATCTCTGCAAAAGCTTCCATCTCAATTTGCTTGGGAGCCTGACTTCGAGCCTTCACACACCCACTCCCCATTATGAAAAAAAAAAAAAAAAGTACAACCATACAAAAAAAAAAAAAAACTATTACTGGACTCCAATAGAACATGAGAGTAAACTTCTTATTAGACTCTCTCATTGGGGATAAAAGGATTGCTCCTTGAACTACCAGGAGTAAATAAAAATTCCTTTATTACAATCTTTAGTATTGTGCATGCAAAGCTTAAAAATACAAGTAATCTGATTTGTCTTGCACAAACACACAACTAAACAGGTGATTATATGTATACATCCTATAACCAGCCAAGAAGCTAGAGCAGCAAAAATTAATTTTTGTATGGTCGCTCAGCACTGAAGTCAGTTCACAAAATGGCAGCCAAAAGGCATGGATTCTACATAATTTACAATATAATGTTTGCTAAAATGAAACTAACTTCGAGATCTAAACCTTGTACACCATTTAATCAGAAGCTCTTCGACATTGGCATCCATTCGAGTTCCAATGCCTCCCCACACCAACATGTGGGCAAGGTCTCCCATGGATGAACCAGTCACTTCGTGCACCGTCTTGAATCCAATTCTTGTGTAGAACCTAACAAGCTGGAACATTGAAGAATACAAACTCAGGATCAATTAGAGAACTAACCATTATTCCTTGTATTTGATTCTTCCAAGTAATATGAACAAGAAACAAATTGTCAAAAGAAATGTATTGCCTCAGCCTTTTATTTTCCTTTCACATTCATTACGGACAGCTTATCAAACATCTTCGCTAGCAAAAAGCGTATAAAAGAACAGATCGGCATTTGATCCCCTATTATTCCACAAGTATCTAAGCCATTATAGCCTTGTTTCAACTCTTTTAAGTGCTTCATCCCCAATTCACCACAAGATATTTCTGTATTTGAGAAGTTTAAATTCTCTCTTCTTTTTTTTCCATTTAAATCATTGCATAATCACTTCCAGCTCTTAATTTTCTCATGGGTTGTCTACTCTCTGTTAATTTGTACACTTATACTCATCCATATCATAAAATTGATTCTTTTTTCTTGAAGTGTAAATGCATGTATATTATATAAACATATTATGCCCTACACTTGGATGTTATTACCTGGTTCTTTACAGCCAAATTTAGGCAAAAGTGCACTAAACACCCCTTAACTATTTTGAATTGTTGCAAAATGCGCCCCTCAACTATCAATTGTTGCATTTAAGTCATTCAACTTTCAAAAGTGCTCACATTGCACCACTAAAGCTGACTACCATCAGGTTTGACCATTTAAGTAAGACGCGTGCAGTTACATTAAAAATCTTTTTAGTGACCTGAATAACCTTCATAAGCAAAGAAATTTGAAATTTTTCTTCTTATGGAGAGTATTTAAGTCATTAAAAAAGTTTTTTTGAGGTCAAATGCAGTGCACGCATCTCACTTAATGGTCAAACTTGAAGACAGCCAACCTTAGGGGCGCAAATAGCAAATTGAGCACTTTTGAAAGATTGAGGGCTTAATTGCAACAATTTGATAGTTCAAAGGTGTATATTGCAACAAGTCAATAGTTAATTAAGTTGCACCAACATCAATTAAGTTGTCATATCTTTTCTATTATTTCAAAACGTGTTCCCCAAGGTGAGCATCTATTTCAAATTCTCAAGTCAACCCTTTAGTTTAACTATTTCTTTTTAAATCTATTGGATCTGTTTTTTTTTTTCTTTTCAACTAAAGCTGCTGAACTTGAGGACCACGCTTATAGTAAGCTTATTTAGGTTCTCAATGTGAGCTCAAACCATATCTCTATTTGCATATTGTGTCAGCACACACATGGCTCTAAAGGGGAAGAAGGGAAAGCAATTGCCACGCATGAAAGAAGCCGTCACTGCACAGCCATGGCCAGTTCTTCCCTTGCAACTCATCAACTTAATTGCAAGGCAATGGAATCTTAAGCAAAGCATGAGCTTTGGTGGTGTCACCAAATCTTGAAGATCTGCACCAAAGCAATGCAGCCCAGTTGGGAAGTCACCGTTGCTTCAGCTCTCTGGCACCAATGAAGGTGATTCTGATGAATGCCGCCACAAGACTCATTCTCACATCCTCAGCATCTCATTTCGTCTAGGGGACTATTGGTGGTATGGAAGAAGGTCATACCATTACCCTTTTCACCAATTTGTGGGTTGCTCCCAGGGTGTATGAGTGGCTAGAGGTGCTGAGAAATCCCAATACTACCTTTGGGACCTTAAAGATACTTCATCGATTCTTCCTCCTTGGGATACCAATGTGCCATTTAAATATGCTGCTCTATCTGCACCACCTTTTCAGTACAATACCAGTACTTATATTGTGATGGTGGTAACAGGCCTTTCTCATCCAGCTTTCGTGTTTAATAGACGCGGATCTGTAGGTAAACTTACATGGATAAAACAAGATTGTGCCCTCCTTGAACCACGTGCTCCGAACAAACAACTCATGCTATTTACTAATATTGTTGCGTTTGAGGAAAGTTTTATGCGTTGAGTTTGCAGGGAACACTTGCGGTTATAGAAGACATTGATTCTCATCCTAGAATCACTGCTTTAAGTAGAAGCAGAGCCATTCCTTCTAAATCTTCAAGGCATTTCAGAGAATATTTAGTTGAATCCAATGGAGAGATCTTATTGATTTTCCTTATCTCTAAAAATTCGATTAATATTGTGGATGATGTTGAGGTTTTTGGCCTTGATTTTGCTAAACTATCATGGGCTAAGATGGAAAGTCTTGGGGATAGAACATTTTTTGTCAGTGCTGAGTGCTGTATGTTTGTCACTGCAAGCAAAGGGGGTGTAGGAGCAACTGTATCTATTTTACTCATCACACAGTTGATGGTTGGTGGTTGTATGACATGGAAAGAGGAAGCATCTCACCTGGCCGGAGCAACTCTGATTGTATGACAAAATCCCCAGTAGGGGATAAACCAATGGAGGAGCAATAAATGTATGTCGAATTTTGTTTCCCCCTTATGTTTGTCAAATTAAGGATACTTTGAGCAATATTATGTGTTTGCTTCCTCCTGTTTTATCACTTTGCTCAAATAATCTCAAAATTTTCAAAAGAAACTCAGGATCAATTAGAGAGCTAACCATTATTCCTTATATTTGATTCATCAAATAATATGAACAAGAAACAACTTTTCAAAAGAAATGTATTGCCTCAGCCTTTTATTTTCTTTCCACATTCATTTAGGACAGCTTATCAGACATCTTCACTAGCAAAAAATCGAATAAAAGAACAAATGGACATTTGGCCCAAATGATCTCTCCTCCCCTCTCACATAGGAGGTTGAGGGTTCAAATTTCATTGCAACACCACCTTTCTAATAAAAAATAATAACATAATAAAAAACATAAAAAATTGGACCAAATACCTCCCGGAAGGAAACAATGTTAGTTAGAGGAGAAAAGTAGACCAAAGAGAACTTCTGGAAAAAGGAAAAGAAAAGGAAGGATAACAATTACTCTTCAATTAGAAAAAGATGGTGGAGAGCAAATAAAAAGGAACAAAAATAATAATAAAAAGGTTTATCACAATTCACATGAGTTGAATGGGTAAATGGAAGCTCATTTGTTACCAAAAAAGGAAATAAAAGACCAATCATTTTCATCATCATTCTTGCCTTATTCCCATATGCATGGGATTGGCCACATGAATTTTCTGTCTCCCTTCATCTCTATTGTCCACCATCCTACCTACGATGTTCAACTTTTTAAAGTCATTTCTAATAATGTCATCCTATCCATCTCTTACCTTCTACGAAAATTAAACTTCTTCTAACCAGCACAATAAGGGGTTTCCGGTGTTTATGCCCTATCCACTTAAGTCCACTCTCTTATTTTCTCATTGTTGGGTGCCACACCTAATTTTTCTCTAAGGTTTTACTTATGACCCCATCCCTTCTGGCCAATCACTCCATTCTCATTACCTATCCTTTTAGTTTTTGAAAAAATACTGTTCAAAGGGTTAGCAATCTTTTATTTATTTATTTTAACGAAGAATCAACCCACCCAAAACTTTGGACTCTTGGACAGTCTGCAATTTCTGAATGCACGCTCCAAACACCTTTGGTGAGTCTCGAACCAGATACCTAAAGAATATCCCCAAACCTTACCAGTTGAGCTAGCCTATGTGGGCTAAGGGTTGCAATCTTTCTCCTCTTATTTTCAACCAAAACTGAATAAGTGATGAGCTCTCCCACTTTCTCCTTTTCATTCCTTCAACCCACAGCACTCTTCCTACTCTAAGTTCAAATTTTCACACTAACAATAGCGAATAATGTCATGTAGATGTGAAAGTCTTGACAAAATGAAGTGAGACAAAAAATAGGGTTATTTAACAGAAAAGATAATGAAGAAATCAAGTACCTTAGAGTGATAAAGATCAGTGTCATTGATGGCGAGCAATTCAGCTGTTTTACACCCACAATCATACCCATATCGGATTGCAACAGCTCCAATGAACACACCAATGCCAAATATTGATTTTTCCATGCCCAAAGTCTCTCTGCGCAATCTAATGGAGTCCAAGTGAAGAACTCTACCTCCCAACCACACCCTTATCAGTCCCTCTGCTCTCCCAAGCTCTCCTTGGGTTTCCAAGCTTTTTGCAGTGATTCTGAAAAAGGGTCCTATTGTTTGCAGCTGAAGATGAAGGTTTTGGGCTTTGGACGCATCCATGATATCAGACATGGTTGGGAAGGTTGATTCTGTGTTTATCTGACTCTTCTCATCAGGGTGGTTGATTTTGTAGAGAGAAAATACATGGGATTTTGGTGTGCTTGGTTTGGGAGAAAATGAGTGGATTGGTGGAATTTGAGAGTAGTGGGTGCGAGAAAATGAAGTGATTTGGGCTTGGGTTATTCTTGTTGTTCCTGCTAGATTTGAGAAGTGGATTTTGGGAAGTGTAGGAATGTGTTTTAGTTCCATATCTTCTTCTCTGCCAAGGGTTTGTGATATGTCCTAAATTAAAGACATTTGATACAAAGTTTATTTGATTCTGGGGCTGACATTTGATACAAAGTTTATTTGATTATGGGGCTGAAATTGATGTCGTGGCTTGCGTTACTGTGTGTGTGAGGGAGAGATGAGGAAGGGGCGGTTTACCCATATTGAGATACTTCAAGGAATGGAACAATTTGATCTTCTACCTACGGGGTCCATTAGCAGCCGCCTAAGCTTTTGATTGCAGTGTGTGTCACGTGACTGAGAAGCGACGATCGCACCTGCTTATTATTGTTATTCTCATTTGAATAGACTCTCTAAAATTAGGCTTTTTGAATTTATCACATCAGTAATTTTTTAATAACCACATAAGCATTTCTCATAATCATGTCATCATTTTAGCGTCTCTAAATTTTAGTTATCGCATGCACTTTAATGGTGCATTTTCGCTTTCCAAAAATTTTAATATTTTTAAAATTTAAAATAAAATTTATTTTTTAACCTTTTCCTAACAGCTATATTACTAACGGCTATATTTATAACGACTATATTTTTCAATTTGTCAGGGAAATCAAATAATTAAAAAATAGCCGTTAAGGCATTGTTTGGGTCAACCAAACAGTATCTAAAACGGTTATAATGTCAACAGGAACATTGAAAATTTTGAAACGAAAAAAAATCACTGTTTTCTAATTTTTTAGGCAAAAGTGCAAAATACCTCTCATGAGGTTTACTCCATCGAGCAAAATACCCCCTGAAGTAAAAAAGTGAGCAACTTAGTCATAGTAGTTCTGAAATTGAGCACTTTGCCCCCCTCCAGGCGTCAGAATCCTCTTTCCGGTGATATGTATAAGTGCAATTACATATATACCCTCTATAATTATCATTTTAGAAAAAATCAAAAAACATGAAAATGCAAAGTGTCGTATATACCCCTTAGTAGTTTTAAAGGCATGTTTGACTAAGCGTTGGTTAGTTACATTAGTTTAGGGTTAGAGATTAAGTTTTCACCCCATTTTTTTAACAAATATAACCTTATTAAACCATGCCACCTCATTAAAATCAGGTATATTAATGTAATTTCCAATAAAACCCCAAACCCACATTCTCTCTCCATCGTACTGTCTCTCTCTCAACCGGTATTCTCACGAAACTCCATTATATATCATTATTAGATCACCGCCACCATCGTCGTCAACCATGGCGCCTTAAATTAGTCGCCGTGAATCACGCGGTTGGCAAACACATAAATTTATACTCATAGCTAAGAAAAATCAGAGAATCAAAAAGTTCAATAAGAAAGTCTGTTTGGTTAAAGAGAAAATGCAGGGAAAGAAATGAAATTAAAATTTGGCTTTGATTTTTCCCTTTTTTTAGGAGTCAAGACCTAGGAAATAAAGAGCTCGACTCAGTTGAAGATGTCATTCTCAGAAACCTAAACAACAAGTATAATTGACACAGAAAATGTTATAATTTCTCCCCCTCCCTCCATTTTCTCAACAACCAAACAAAGACCCCACAAATTTTGACAATAAGAGGAGCAGATTGTCTATTATCTTTTATTTTCCTTCATGTTTCAAGCAACTAACTAGGGATTTATATAATTGGGAACAGAGATTCACATAAAAAAAAAAAAAAAAATTAAAAAAAAATCCAAATTTCAATGACCAGAAAAAATATGAGAGGACACTGACTTAGGGTTTTGGCGAGCGATCTTCCAGAAAACAGCATAAGACCACTGGTTATTAGATGACCGTGCAGGGCAACAAATAGATATAGATATAGATATAGAGAGAAAGTTCAATGCCGGAGATCATAAATTTCCCTACAACTCGGATTTTCCGGCCTAACTTCCACGGCACAATCCTCGTCCCACCTGTTTCGTCCTCAATCCCCTACTCTTCCTTTCCGGATCCAAGTTCCATGCAATCATCCTCCTACAACTCATTCTAGAGAGAGAAGAAAAACAGGTCCAGTAGAGAGAGAAAGTGGAACACACTTTGAGGCCTAAACTATACCACAAGCTTTGAGCTCGTAGTTGGCGAAGATTTTCTCCATTTTAGCACAGAAATTGAATCAAATATTACAAAAACAGAGATGTATATGTGTGTATATATAGCTGTATGACTACGTTCATGTATAAAGTTCGGATGCAAAAGCTTTTTTTTATAGGGGAGGGGTATAATCATCATATTGAAGGGTAATTTTGGAATTAGCTAAAAAGTCTGAGTCACGTGCATCACTATATCACCAAAAAGAGGATTCCGACGTCTGGAGGGGGTATTTTGTTCGATGGATTAAACCTCAGGGGGGTATTTTGCACTTTTGCCAAATTTTAAAAACTTTTTTTTGCCCAAAAAAGCCTTTAAGGCACTGTTTGTGTAACGGCTCTTTGGTTCAATTATTTTGAGGAAAAAAAAAAAAAAAAAAAAAGACCAAAGTAAGCAAAAAATCTGAATTTTAACTTTTATTTCAGCCAAACATGCCCTTAGGAATAGTGTTCTGGGCTCGTAAAGTGTTCTGGCCTAAATTTAAAAAATAAAAGAAAACAAAAATGGGCCCACAAAAAGTGAACCCCATCGCCAACCCAATCTTGCTTTCTGGCGACCTGCGTCAAAAGCCTAAACTTGGGGCCCACTTTTCCCATATTTCATTGGAACATTGCATCTTCAAAAATTGGGCCACTTTCACCAAAAAGAGCACTGATGGAGTTGCCCTTACAAGTAAATTATATGAAAATTACCATATCTCAATTCTCAGATGTAGTGAAAAAAATTGCGCGGTAACTAGTATTATTATTTTTTTTTTAGTTAAAGGCGGTAACTAGTATTAGCTTCCACTTTATTACAGGTTATACAAACACACCTCAAAATCGGGTTTTTATTCAATGGCTAAAATTGGGCTAGACACATTGTATAATATGAGTCATATCTTAAATTTGGTCTTAGTTGCACTCACTAATCTGATATAGTATAATTCTTCCATCTTGCTTGTATAATCTCATCATCGGAATTTTTGAGAAATTGGTTGATTTTCTGAAGTTCAAGTATTGTGCTAATGCTCTTGCAGGACTTTTCTGAACTTTATTGTGCTAATGTTCTTGTAAGACTTAATGTTGAATTTTGTTGATTTGCAGAAAATCTTCGAGCACAATAGCGTGAGCCATTTTGGCTTTTACCCATTTTGCTGTGATTTGCTGTTGAGTATAGAGGTCCCCATAAGTAGAGATTGAATTCTTATGATGAACATGTTTATATTACACACACATATATACTGAGAGAGAGAGAGGTGGGTGGTAGGGGTGGAAGGTGATGGAAGAGTAGCAGTTTGGCCCTTTATTAAATGATGGAGAGATAAAAAAAAACCATAGAGATCAAGTTGATCAACCTCACATGACCTGTTTTCTCCAAATAAATAAATAAAACCACCCATCACATTGTGTTTCTCACTTCAACCTCAACAAACTTAGCTACCACCCATGCACGCACATGAGAAAATAGTCATTGAAAACAAGAGCTTTATTACAAGTGTTTAAATTACGATACAACAATTTGAATACTGTACATCAGGTTAAGATTACAATAAAATACACTGAACAAACTAATTTTTGCTATTATATGTACAAGTTGAGCAGAAGCATGCGATGCTAGAAATTCTGATTACTTTTTGCAAAGAACACATCAATTGGAAGATGGTTACCATCAGATGACTTGTGCTTCTTTCGTCTACTTCCACTTGCAATGTGGTGTTTTTGGGTAAACCTGACAAGGTCAGTTTTTGTTAGAACAAATGATGATGAAGATATAAATAACAAGAATGAAATATAATCAGTATATCAGTCCAGGATTCCAGAGTGATTTTAAAACCAATTGGTTAAAGACCCCTGGTTAGTTTGCACAATTTTACTCTGTTTCAGGCCGAGTTGAACAGTTCCACTAAAGATACGGTTGTCTGTTCTACAAATACAAAAACTAACCCTCCGTTCGCTTCTCATAGTGTTGGACGGAACAAATTCATTCTGTAATGGAATCAGTGCAAATTTTGAGGCTATCAATGGCTAAGATAATGAAAAGGGTGAATTAAGATTATGAATATTGACATGATAAGAAGAGACTCATTTCGGTTACAATTGAATGCAACTTTTTCACTAAAATGCCATGAACCAGCTAAGAAATTTGATTTTCTTAATCCCTGGAATCAATGCACCATTTTATGAAGACAAATTGCAATATTTATCAAAAATATAGATTGTCAATGCATGGGAATTAACCAATGCTCCTGTTAAATTAAGAATAACAAACTCGTTGTAAATCTTACATTTATGTCAAATAAAAAATATGATAATAGTTTACATATTATATTATGAAAACAAACAGTAGGAATTGATTTTTTTATTTATTTGCGGGAGCGGGGTATAGAGTAGGAAAAATAGTAAACAACCAGCAGCATTCCTTCTGGCTTTTTATTGTAGTAGAACTATCTCTCAAATTCCCACATCATAAGGACATTCAATTTTAATAAAGTGTGAATCTAAAAGAAAATTTGGTCTTTTATGGACCATCTTGTAGCAGCAGAAAGATTTATTTATTTTTCCATTTCAAGTTAACAAACCCCGCATTTTTCTAAAAAAATAAAAAATCAGTATGTTAATAAAGACGTCTGATTAGATGCAACCCATCATAAAAGAACCAACAGTCTTTAGTACAAGCTAGCAGAGCAGACAGGACCAGAGAAAAAAGAAAAAACTATGTAACCTATCAGGCATACGACAGGAAACTATATGGTACCTCTGCTTCAATGCAAGATTGCTTGGACTGTTGCTCGATTCCTCCTCCTGCAGCCTCTGGGCAAAATGAAAATCGGAATGTTCTTGCCTCTCCTCAACAAAACTGGGAGGCAGTTCAATCCCACATAGTGAACACTTGTAGTCATTCACCCATAGAAATGGCTCTTTCTGATTTAGTGAAGACGCTGCTGCTTCATCAGAAAGGTTGGTCCTCTTCTTCACTTGATCTTGGCTAATTCCCTCAGACTGTACAGATAAAGAAAAATAATGGGTCACCAATTGTACTGCATTGGGGGCATTAACCTGGGCATGTAGCAACATTTATAACATGCTAATGTAAGAAAGTAACAAACCAAGGCAGAAACTAATGCTGCGTTTGGATTGTATAAGTTTCGAGAGAGAAGAAAAGAGGGGAAAGTGGAAATAGAGAGAAAAACATGTTAAAATAGAAAATCTTCAACACAAAAACCCAGGTAGAATTTGTTTTCTTTTTAAAAGTAAAAGTTGAGCTAAATTGCAAATAAGTTTAAGATGGAGATATGTGATAACAATTGATAAGAGTGCCATCCTGAAAATGCTATCCAATACATTAAAAAATCATCAAGCATCAAAATTAAAAGAAACTATGTTCTGCACTAATTTAAATGGTTGTTTTTTATTGGCAGCAGTCAAAATAATGAACCACAAACCAACCTTCCTACATACCTTGTCCTTACATTGGTTGCTCAGAGGTCCATAACTTTTCTCCATGTCACAACTATCGCAGCCTAGCAAGCAGTTACCGTGATTAAAACTTGAAATTTGATTGCTGTCCAGTGAATCTCTAAAATCACCATGACATGCCTCCTGAAGGTCAGAAGAAAGACCATTTTCTGTGTCCATCATAAAGTGGTTGTCACTAATATCTGAGCCCAAGGAAACGTGATCACTCATATTTCTTCCAGAAGTATCTCCTGATATAAAGAACTTGGATAGAGTTTTCTGTGTAGGATCAGATGGAGAACCATCCTTGTCTTCATTAAATTGAGACATCCGCAATCCTGACAGAAAATAACATATTTGTTCATCAGACATCCTTGTATTTGAGAGGTGTGTTGAGACCTACAATCCACAGAAACGAGGTAGAGGAGGACAGAGGAAAATATAAATGCTCTATCATAATACCTACCACAAAACTGCACATACTACAAAGCCACACGTTTTGAGCATCAAAGAACAGAAAAGTTTTGCAATACTGTTTAGTACTCATCCAATATGGAAAACTAAAAGAAAGTCAAAGAGGATGCACTTATGGATGAGAAAGTTTTGCTGAAAAGGCAAACATAACTTCTGGTCTGATCAGCACAAAAAAAGAAAAAGAAAAAAAGTCGTGGAGCAAGATATTGTAAGAGATAAAGACATAGACCTCCACAGAGAAGAGGATCAATAATAATAATAACAGTAGTAGTAGTAGTAGTAGTAGTAGTAGTAGTAGTAGTAACAGTCGTAGTAGTAGTAGTAGTAGTAGCAGCAGCAGCAGCAGCTGCAGCAGTAGTAGTAGTAGTAGTAGTAGCAGTCGTAATGGACAGAATCATTCAATAATTCTCTCCAAAACGTGCTCCCCAAGAGGAGACCCTTTCCACACTATATACTTTCAGACTCCACCATTTTATCCTTATATAAACCTACGGAAAAAAAAAAAATTCTTGTTGGACAAAAACCAAATTTTTTGCTAAGAGAAAACCACAAAACAGAATTTCCATAAATTAAGATATATATATATATATATATATATATATATATATATATAGACATATTGGTTAGGTAAAAAATTAAGATATTGAATAAAACAGAAGACTACATTAATGACAACTAAGAAAATGGAAACAAATTAAGAACATTAAATCAACTACCGAGATACGTGTAGGAAGGACAGTTGAGAAAAGAAGGCGGCAGACAACCTTTTTTGGGGGGGAGGAAAAAAAAAGGTGTGAAAAATAAAGAGTCATTATTTGAATAAAGATTGCTACATCCTGCTTCCGAGGATAAGCAAGTAACATTCCAGTCGGCACTATAATGTAAATTTTTCCACAATAATAAATATGAACCAAGTATTGTGTCCCTACCAATTAGTCTTAAGCATACTGGAAGTTCAGCCTTTAGCAACTTAGATGCATACTTCAAGATATCCTTGCTTGAGCATACATATTTTTCCAAAGTCACAGCTCGAGTTCGGACCTGGAGATTGCAAACCAATAAACATGACAGCACAATGATCTGGTAAGTGATAATCACCAAAAGGATGGGAAGAAATTGAAGAAAGAGAGATAATAAAGAGTCTGTTACAACAATTACCAGGGAAAAAAGTATTACAGGCGGAAACTTGATACGAAAAAAAAAAATTACAAGATCTAGGAATTAGCCAGAATCACTAGTTAGCATTTTAGAAATGCCATGGTGTGTAGGAGTGCACAAAAAACCGGTTACACGGGTAAACCGGACCAAACTGGTCTGGTATTTTATGGTTTGGTCCAGTTCCGGTTTCAAAAACAAGGAACCGTTACTTAACGGTTCGGTTCTAGGTTTGGGATCCTCCAGGACCAAATTGAACCGTTAATTAATTATATATATATAAATATATAATACACAAAAGATATAATAGAATCCCTAAATCCTAGCCCAGTAATATATTTTATATATAACATATAATAAAATATTTCTATTTTAGATGAGCCAGCCACGTACATATGTTGAATTAGTTGGAGAACAATATAGAATCTAAATATAAGAAATTCATATTACTTATCAAAAAAATATATAAGAAATTCATATTATCAAACAGGATAAACCGGTGGAACCGAACTGAACCAGTCCCTCATAGTTCAGTTTTGTTCAGTTCTGATGGTTCCTTCGGTCCGGTTTGGTCCTGATTCACGCCAGAACTGGTCCAAACAGGACTGTTTGCACCCCTAATGGAGTGCATTCATGAAAAGAGCAGACGCAAAGGCTACTCTAAGAAAGCATCAGAAGGTACCTCAAAAGATGCAGTTTTCAGTTTTAGTGTCAATGTTCGCCCAAAAAGGCCTTCTTTTTCCATGTCAGCGGAAAGCATTTCAGCAAGATCCACTGAAAAATTAAAAAATTTGGCATGGCTTAATTGTTGAAGGATTGTTCAAATAATCTTACTCGTGAAAGCAAAAGACTGGCCTTATTTCCAGATGTAAAATGTGCTTCTTTTGGAACAAATAAATTACTTCTACAAACATTTCAAGAACACCACAAGTCTCAGCAAATAATTAACTTTTATTTGAAATTCCAAGTTTACCTGCAAAGCACTAAATAGTTGCAGAAATGTAGCCAAATCAGTTCACAAAAAGATGGAATGAACTATTACTACATTTTCTCACTTATTGTCCAGTCAAACCCATGCATAAACTCTTAAATGTCATATCCATTAAAGGTAAAGATGGATTTGAAGGATAAACAACATACAACTTGCAAAATAACAATCCTAAGATCAGTTTCCTTTACATTGCAAGTAACAACATCATAGTGATCACAAAATATTGGTTTTAAGTAAATTGAGAAAATTACAAAATGTAAGGATATAATCAAGAAGTAATGCACCAAACTAACATAATTTTGGATTCATGGGCATGAGATTTATCTTAGCCATTTCATGAAAGCAATAGGCATTTCAGGCTCAGCGTACAAATCAAAGAGTTGAAAAGGTGAGTCCTCAAGTTCAAGGAGCATTCACATGACTTGATCCTCTTCCTTTGCCTGTTCTCCATATGGACCATATAATAAATATGAGCAAGGAGAAATTATGGCTAAACCCTGAAAGAATGAGTCATTACATAAATTTTCCGAAGATAAGAATTAATTACAAAGGGATACGAACTTACTTGCATAATTTTCAAATTACTGATTCAGTCTTAAATAATCACGAGAACCAAAATTGACATGATAACCCATTGGAATAACAATGACCAGTAGTTGAGTTATTAAACGAATAACTAAAAAATAGATGTTTCAGTTAAAATGGTGATGAAAAAACACAACCATTAAGAAAACAAGAAGTGGTAGACGAACCTCAAGACAATTTAAATTCTAATATGAAGCTTGTTCACACAAAACTTGGAAATAAGGGAGTCGAGTGTGTTTTTCTCAGAAGGAAAAAGGAATTACAGAGGTTGGTGGTCATTTCACGCTGATGAAAATAAGGAAGAGGAAACAACCCATAACAAATTACTCTTGCGGCAAGGAAACATGTTGTCCATAGAGTTTTTATAAGGCTTCCTTTCACTAAACTTGATTATTTTCTAATGGCATTTGAATTATCCTAATAAGTCACCATTATACAACAGAAGGGCATATTTAGCAACAATATACAGAAGTGAAATCCCTAGTATAGCAATACGTTAGTAATATTCTTCAATTTTTTATTTCCTTAGTTCAATATGACAGTCAATAGAGTTCCATTCCATGGAAAATTCCAAAAAAACAATAGGAAATTCCACATGTATCAACAGAAATGAAAAGGAGCTGCTAATTAGCATAGTGGACATTTAATGAGGATGGACATAAAAGCAAAATCAGGTCAGATATATGAGCAAGAGCAACAGCTTCATGTCATAACATATCCTAACTGAATGTCTCTTGTAAATAAAAGGAAAACCTGAGATACCTAATTTCTGATATAGCAATATCTCATCCTCAGTGGCTGAAAATGTTCTCTCACTGCTTATACTTTTCCGCAACTTAACTTGAGGAGTATCTGTCCTCCCAAGTCCCAGACCCACAGAGAGAAAAAAATCTGCAATAAAATGGTATGATGGTTAATAACTTAGTGTAATTTTACAGATATAAGAACCACAAATACTAAAAGCAAAGAAGAATCAGCATTACCAAAATAACAAAATAAAGAAGAATGAGAAGTAACATAAAAAATGCAAGTCAGTCTAAAACGGTATGATGGTTAATAACTTAGTGTAATTTTACAGATATAAGCACCACAAATACTAAAAGCAAAGAAGAATCACCATTACCAAAATAACGAAAAAAAGAAGAATGAGAAGTAACATAAAAAACGAAAGTCAGTCTAGTTAAAGTTAAGTGTTCAAAAAATTATTTTCTGTCATTTGAAGAAAATATTAATGAGTTAGTCATTTGACCTATGCACATTCAAAATACCAAAAGGCTTATTTAGTCAGATAATAATTTTACACACATTTTAAATAGAAAAGACAGAAAAAACTAATTACATAAGAATCTAAGAATTGCATGAGAATACTTCAAGCAGTTTTTCAAAAAAAATGTTAATTATAAAAAATTCAGATATATAGTAGGAAACAAATTCAAAATCTTTGACTTGAACCGTGACTCTTACAGTCTTACGATATTGTGTTTTGCAGGAGTACCATTTTTGTACGAGAACAATTTCTTTCTTTTTCACTGCCTCTACTATTACCATTATCTAATACACACAGAAAAATACTACGAAAGAGAGAATATTTTGGAGAAGTTCTCATATATGGCGAAACTTTTCCTCTCTAGATATTCTCATAATGTACCTGAATAATTTTGCTTCTACTTCCAACCATAATTAGAATAATCAGCTATCTTCTTTTTTTGCCAGTTGGTCACACACACCCCCTCCAAGGAATTGTTTGCACCTAGTAGGAATCGATCCTGAGACCTAATACTTCGAGAGGCGCCAGGGGCCAAGTCTTTTCCATCTAGGCCAATCCCGTGGGGTTAATTACCAGCTATCTTCTCCATAAGGTAATATAACAAAATAAACCAACCTAAGAAATTTCTGCACTAGTAGACGATTGTAGCTAATCTTGACATTAGAAAGGCACAAAGTTAAGCTACCAGCTTTCATCAAAGCTACAACCAGAAAATGACGAGCTTACAACTCTCCCATAGTCCAACTTTTTTTTTTGATAAATAAAAAATTTTATAAAAAAAACACTCCGAGGGGGAGCGGAACCCAAGAACAATACAAAAAGCCACTCAATCCTTCAAAGAGGCCAAAAAATCAACAATTTCCTCCAAAGATCTATGATCTCTCCCTAAAACCCAACAAAAAAGAGTGGAAATAATCGAGAATTTAAGCACCGAAATCGACATCGCCTTTCCTTCAAAATATCTCCTATTCCTTTCAAGCCAAATGCACCACCATACACAAAGCGGTGTAGCCCTCCACACATCCTGACTGTGAGTCCCCACAGGGCAACCTCTCCAAGCCTCAATCAACCCTCTCCCATAGTCCAACTTGCCATTGAGTTTGCTTGGGTGGCATGCATTTAAAGAGTGTACTTAATTGTCATGACTCAACTGATACAGTTCAATTTCTCATCTATTTAGGCTTTCTCCCTCCTCACTAATCCTTTGACATGATTCAGAACAGGTTGACTGGAAGCGACTTGTGGTAGAATTGATGAAATAACCTGCTTCTCCCAAACTTCATTATTCTTGCTGATTTTCATCTTCAACATGATTTGTTTACAATTGCTCAGAAAGCTCCAAAAAAAAAAATTTCAAGTCTATAAATAGTCTCAAATTATACGAAAGTGGTGCAAGATATATTAAGTTAATGACATCAACTCTTAAAGTAAAGACTTAGCGCAAATGAAGCTAGAGTTCATGTTCATCAACTTTAAAGATCGACACTTGGTGAAAATAAAGCTGATATCCACACCCACCAACTATTACTAGGTGCTATAGGAAAAACTCGGGTGGGCAAGTGTGAGAGACAATTTCAAGTATTAGGCAAATATTTTAGTGTAAATGAAGTATAGATAAGGCTTGCACCTACTCCATCCCTCACAACCTCAGGATTAACTGGACCAAAACCAGGTAATGGCCTCCTAGGCCTCTATCCAGTTAACCTCTCAGGACCCTGAACTAACAGGAGCAACAATGCGTAAGAGCCAAAACAAATTTAATGCACTCTTCTATAAAGAAAATCATAGCACAAACTCCATTCATAATCCCATCAATTACCCATTGATCCATTACGCATAAAACCACCGAAGTGCTTTGTTTTGATAACTATTATTGACATCATAGTACCTCAAAGATTACAAACTCACTTCTTAATGAGAAAGGTTACTGCAGCCCAGCTCCCACTCAGAGAGAGAGAGAGAGAGAGAAGGATTGATGATGGGAAGTGAGAAACTGAATAATAGCAGATTTGATATCTAGAAAGGGGTTTTCAATAGTACAGAATGCAAATAATTTCAATAGCAGATTTGAAGTTCTCACTATTCCAAAATCATATGACAATCCTTAGGTGCACACCTCTCATATTACAATTTATGGAAAAAAAAAAAAAAAAAAAACAGAAGCAGTGATCAGCATGCCAACCTGATGAAGAACGAGAAAACAGTGCACAGAGGAAACTACTCTTTTGCAGCATCTCCTCACATGTTGTGACTCCAAAAACATCCTTTAACACGTGTTCAGTGACCTTACCAATGCCCCCAATCTGTAGATAGAAATACCCAATATGTTTCTCAATCAGAACACGAAGCTAAGGACCTCCAACAATATTAAATGTGTCAATTTTGAGCTACAGTTCTTTCAAAACAAACAATGCAAACTTGTCAAAACAAATCTACAGATAACTGAAATACCTTCCTTATAGGAAGTGAGGATATAAATGTCATGACAGCCATCCGGTCATTTGGTAAAACAAACTGGCCATTTGGCTTGTTTATATCTGAGCAAACCTGGTAAAAAGAAAAAAGATATAAAGGACGATCAAGTTAGAACTCCCTAAGAAAAAACTCAACTCAACAAAGCCTTTTTTTTCTCAAGTCTCAACCACTAGGGTCAACTACATTAACTCCGTCAAAAACAAATTTTCTCAAGGAATATCTAGATCATTTCAGTTCTATATTACTCATGGATCTTGCTGAGAACAGAGGAAGAAACAGTAATTATAGATGCTTTAAATTCAATACAAACAAGTTAAGTTGAATAAGCTCATAATCATAGAAATTTCAGAACAAAACATTTCGGAAAACTTTCTAAATATCCAACCTGAACCGAGCACTATTGTGGATGCTGGTACAACCAAATGTTCATCCAATTTAATTAGTTCTGAACATAATAGCAAACCATCTCACTTGCTTCTCCCTTGTCTTTTAACCTATTGAGTTTGTGCTTCTTTTCTACGGTAAAATGCGAAAAACTCATTGAATTATTCTGCATTTGCAATTGAACTTCAAAAGCCCCCTAACCTATAAAAAACTTGTGAGTAAATCCTTTTCCATCATTCAACTTCATGAAACCATATAACTATCCTAAAAAAATGAGAACAAAAAATTTAAGTTCAAAAATGTTTTTGAAATAAAAAAAGGTATCCAAAATTTAGGTCCCAAAAATGGATCTCTCTGCATGGTTTTGTATGGGAGTAATTTGGTTCTGAGAAAAGGGCACATAACCCATTTCTGTCACTTTCTAATGGAAGAATAACAACATGGGGCAATTTGCAGGGTTTTACAATAGTACAGGGGGGTTATTGCCAAATTAATAACCTAGGGGGTTATTTGCAAATGTGGAGAAGCTGAAGGGAGATTTTTGCATTTTACCCAATTTTCTATGCCATAATTAATAATTAATTCAGTCAACCTAGCCACTAATCCACCTCAACATCATTAGCATTGTTTTGAATAAGTAACATAATCTTAAATTACTCATAAATATACTTTTTCACAATTACCCCATAAACTGCCCCACAAATCCATTCGGGTCATGTTTGTCGACTCAAAAGAAATTCCCATTTAACATAAACCACAGGGCACCGTTTATAGCATAACATTCTCTACCAACTTCACTTTTATCAACAAAAAGTAAATCCTCCTAGTGTATTGTCAAACATCGATTCTTTGGTGTTCACATTGCCAACATCTCCACTAACAATTTCCCTCAAGTACCGAGAATAAATATATACACTTCATACACAAAATTCTGATTTTTTTGGCTAAATGGCATGAAAAAAGAAGTGGCTGAAACAGAATATTCGTGAAATGCAAAAAAAATAATTTTCATGAACAAAACGATGCACATAAGTGTCCATGCAAGCTGCATATCTGTGGTCCATGTGATAAATTGATGCGGAGAACGTCTAAAAACATAAGAACAAATTCAACAAAAATCCTAAAGCACCTTAGCAAGTAAGCGGTTTGGCCCCACTCCAGCACTACATGTTAGACCAGTCTCCTCATAGACACTTGTTCTGAGTTCTTCAGCAATCTTCACAAAGGGTAACAAAATATGAAGGGCGTTAAAGCAAAGGAGTATCCAGTTTAATGACAATAAAGTGATGGATGTGTTGTAGAAATGCCACTCCAAGAGAGAAAAAAGGAAGTGAGTGTGGGGTAATTCCTTTAGTTTATGTTCTTACCTCTCCACCGGTAATGCCCCTTTCTTTGCAGACCTTTGTTATATCAAGGTATGCTTCATCCAAACTAGCCGCCATGAAGTTGGGATCATATTTTTGGAAAACTAATTAGAAAGAGCATGTCCAAGTGAAGTTTATTAGCAAAAGATAACTGCTGGTTCAGTCCAGAAAATACATTAAAGCACGATATCAACCTTTTCTAGTTAAATCACTGTAATGAGTATACTTCTTGAAATCTACGGGGACAAAAATCAACTCTCGGCATAATTTACGTGCAATGAAACCAGGCATTGCAGCACGAACCCCAAATTTCCGTGCCTACAGAGTAGACAAATCATGTTCTTAGTAGAAGTATTGAGTTAAAAACTAAAATAAAAAAATAAATAAAAGGTTGTTTCTCTTAATGGAAATTTGAAAGCAAATCTTGCGTCAAAGAGAAGCAAAAAGAACATAAAGGAACATCAGGACAAGCCAACCAAAACCATCCACAATGAAACTTCCAGTTAGCAATTCAAACCTCATAATTAGCAGTGGATATCATAGACATGCCACCCACAGCCATTGGTTTGCCCTTCAACGAAGGATTGCTTAATGTTTCAACAGCTGCATAGAAAGCATCCATATCTACGTGTAGCCAAATCCTTGACAAATCACGAGTAACTTCTAGCTCTAAAATTCTCTTATCAGCAACCTATAATGAAAAAAAATATAATAAAAAAAAATTAGAAGGGCACAACCACAGTAATTTTTCACCTCATGAAGTGCTTTTTAAACATTTTCCTTGCTTATTTTGTAATGGCATAGAGAAAATTCATAAATTACTAAGTACACCCATTTTATGACCTGATGCACCAGGCTTGGGCAAGGAAATGAGATCAGTCAAGTCCATCGATCCAATGATGCTGAGTCATGGTCCTCATGGAGTGCATTCTGCAGAGTGTACGAAGACTATAGTTTCCTATTAAAGTTTTTAAAAACAATTACATATTCAATTTCTTATTTTGATGTTTCTTCATCTTTGAAAAATCATTTTAACTTTTAAGACACTTTTAGGTCCAGTGACAACATACTCCAATAATGAACCCAGATGATGCACTAGTTACACGCACCATAGATATTTTTCACTGATTACTTTACACCAATTGGATAGCTAACCAAGACTTGGTTTCCTTATGTCCATAAAAGAAATATTTCTTAATTACCAAAAAAAGGGTTTAACTGCCAGTCAAAATGTTGCCAAATAAAGAGTCACTGGTTACAGTTGCAACTTTGTATGTATCAACTCGTTAGTTTACGTAATTTATGAACATAAGCAGAGGCATCAGGAAAATAACAAAGAGAGAAAAACAAGAAAATATATAAATTGTTGGAAATTTGAGATGTTTTTAAGACTTCTTTATTGCATAAGTTTTATATTGGGCCTATTTAATTTGGCGGTTACAAGCCCTTGGCTTTGCCTATATAAGTTGAGTTCTATTCTTGTTTTGTTACTTCACTTTTATCTCTTTTGTTCTTCCACTACTTTCACATTTTTACATGTTTTATGGACGCCGAGATGAAGACTTGATACAGAGTCTTTCCAATTGGAGTCTTCGTGGCCCGTCAATTGGAGTAATTTTCTATTTTCATCACAATGTGTAAAATAACTTTTACTTGTTCAAAGTTGTTTAAAGTGTAAAATCCTAAAATCATATAAAATATCCCTAACATAAATTGTGTTAGGGTCATAAAGTTATATCAAGTGATTGGAAAAGCAAGACAAAAAAGAACTCCAGTTTTCAATATTAGATTTTCTGTCAATTACATGACAAAGCACATTAATACCATGGCAAGATGAAGTAGAAAGTATATGTTTTCCTCTAAGAGTACCTCCTGATAATGAGATATATCTGCTGCCGTGAGCTTTGCACACCGAGCATGCATGTTTTCTATTTTCTGCTTTATGAAAACCTCCTTGCGTTTCTCATTCTCAAAATATTTTGATCCTTTGCTCATCTCATAGACTACTCTCTGCACTCTTTCCTTATCAACTCCATCCATCCCTACGATGTCGCAAGAAAAAATATCTCACATTTTAAGATACATGTAAAGTGAAGAAAAAAAAATTATTATGACAAAATCAAAATACCTACACAAGACTAGAAGTAGACTCCAACTAAAGCAATTAAGAATATAATCCCATTACAAGTGTATAAATATATTTACAAAATCCACTTCCAATTTACATTCTTCAAAATAAGCAACCCTAGTCATACGACTTAGAATCACACATAAAACGTAGTTTTGTCCCAAAAATCTCTTCTGAACAAAATCATAAATTTAAAACAACCAAACCAAATATATATATATATATATATATATATATATATATTGGAAGAAGAAGCTAATGTTCACTTCTCATGGACTTTCTTGCATTTCATCTAACATTTGTTTCAAAATTATGTTTCTCCTTAGTTCAAGATCATAAACAAACAACTACAAGTTTCAATCAAAGACGTTGTCACATCGGGTAACCGATTAAAAGGCAATTCAATTTGATATAACGATAGCACGATCAATCGCAACTGAAACGCGTGTGCAATAAGCAACAAGAATCGGGAAATGATCGAGCATATTCAAAAATTCCACAGTATTGTGCGTTTTCTAGTTGTAGATTGCCCAAATAAAAAACCCTAAAATTTATCAGTCCGAATAGATATGATTTATATACCTGCTTTGGCGTTTGTGAAAGCGGTGTGGTAAGACTGCCATGGCCGAGAGGTGTCGCCGCCTGATGTCTCACTCTTCGCCATCCCCTCTTTAGCTTGCTCCAGAAGGAAGACACAGAAATTGAATATCATCGTAGTATATATAAAGAGGACTGCAAAGACCGCCAAAATGGAGAGTAACGGAGAAAATTAAATAAACAAATATAAAATCCCACTTTAGTTTTTTTTTTTTTTTTTAAATAAAAATAAAAAAATAAAAAATAAAAAAGAAAAAGAAAAAGCAAAAGTGTGAAAAAAATCCCCCCTGAACCGTTTTAAAATTTCACTAAACTCAATATAAAATCCCACTTTAGTTTTTGAAAAAAAAAAAAAAAAGAGAGAAAGCAAAAGTGTGAAAAAAATCCCCCCTGAACTGTTTTAAAATTTCACTAAACTCCCATGTAATATCTTTCCTACAACACCATTAGTTTAAAAAATAAAATAAAAAAATGATAAACTCACTAAACCAAAAAAAAGTGATGTAGGATATAATTTTTGCCAAATTTGCATTGACTATCAACTCAAAAGGTTCATTATTCTATATCAACACGTCTTGGAGTAAAAAAAAGCCTCTTCAATGGGCTCTTATTTGAGAAAATTTGAGATTCTCAAATTTCTTCTCATATATGACAGCTGCCAAATTTTTTTGGCAAGTCTTTCATTTCCCAAAACGGTACCGTTTCTCACCAGTCATCACCCACTCGCATCTCTATATGTATATTATATATATAATATATATATATATATAAAATATGCATATATATTATATATAATATATATAAATTTTTGAAAAAAAAAATTATATAAAAAAATTAATTCACAAATAGTGATAAAAAAATTATAAAAATTTGCTTTTTTTTCCGTCTTTTTTTGATCAGATATTTTAGATTTGTAATTCTTTTTAATTTGGTTTAATTTTAGTTTCCTTCTAATGTCTACAATTTGACTAAAATGTGCCTAATATTAATATTACTGATGCAAATATGAATAGTGGGAATGGTAGTTGAAAAATAATAGTAATTGTGTTAAAAAATAGCATTTTGCGTGAAATGTATCATTGGAGCATAATTGTTAAAATGTAGTATTTTGGCACTGTAACACTTGTCAAATTCCTGTCAAAATATAGATTTGACATGCAAAAATAGATTTTAACATTGAAAATACTCTAACATTCAAACTTAAGAAAGACGCTTCATATTGGTGGGAAATGCAAGGAGAGCAAACTTGCAATCGTGATAGGAGACGAAACAATTGTTGACGGCTAGATTTGTAACATTAAATTATGAGCAATGGTTGTATTATGCAAGAAAGAGAGTTGGTCTGCCAAGGAATTTTACAATAAATTTAGTGATTTCAAATAAAACCAAAATAATATTATTGAAGCAACGAGTGATTTTATTGCGATTGATGATCAAACTTCAATATCTGCCGCTTGTTTTGTGAATGCTAGAAAGGTTAGAAATCAGATTCAATCAAATGAATACTTAAAATCTCATACGAAATGGAATAATTCACCCGATTGTTTTATATACAGTGGCCCTGCATTATGTGCTCTTGGTGGGCTTTATGAGTCAGTCATGCAGGATTTCAAACGAAACTTTACTTGATGAAAATTTTCTATTGTACCAAAATCTATTGGGGGTTGTCTTCAATGTAATACCCTAATATTTTAAAGGTATTATTTATTGGGATTAATAATTTTATTTTTATTTAAAATAATTTTTGTGATTTATTTAAGATTAATCGCTTTTATTTTTATTTTTAAATGATTTGTTTTAGTTAATAGAGTGTTATGATTTAATGGTCTTGTTTGTATTAATTTATATTTCATGATTATGTATGATGATTGATTGTTTGTGTGTGTAATTATTGATTTAATTGTTTATTAACGTGTTAATTTTATTAGTATGGTGTAAATTCTTGTTTGTTTATGTGTTTCATGTAATTAGTTATTTTAATATAAATGTTTATTTAATTATTTTATTTATTTAGATTAATTAGTTTGGGCTTAAGGAAAGTTGGACCAAATGATATGGTCTTAGGCTGGAATGAAACCTTATTAGGTTAATTAATAAAGTCCCATGGTTATTTTATGATTTAAATGATCAGTTTTGGTATAATTATAAATATATATATTTAATTATATATAAAAATATAATTAATTAATAAGTTTTACGGAAGGATATATATATTAATATAATTAATTAATAAGTTTCACGGAAGGATATATATATTTATGGATATATATATATATATATATATATATGATTTAATTAACCAATGATTAATTATGGGAGATATATATATGTATTTGTAATAAAATATGTGTTTATATATCTTATATTATTTAAAGAGTATTATTTTTAGTATTTTATTATTTTATTTGGTAGTCCTACTAGGAATAGGATTTAGGTTTTAATGTGTATAAATATACACATAAGGTTTAGGGTTAAAGAGTTTACACGTTAGAAAAATAAAAAAGACAGGGAGAGAAAAAGAAGATGAAGTTAACAAGGAGTAAGCTGGATCTAAGAAAGAGGATACCGGAATTGAAGGAGACAATCCAAGATTGAAGCGTCGGTTTCGTTTGGTTTCGTTTCGAAACCTTCAGGCAAGTTCTTTTCTAATTCTCCTCTTAGGACCCATAAGTTTATCACCTTGAGTATCAATATTCAGATTAAATTTATTTGTTTAAAAATCATTGTTAGATTGGATTAATTAAAAACATAAATTATTATAATTGATCTTTTGAAATTTTGGACTTTAAATTGATATATATTAGGTGTTGTATATATATTTTAAAATCAATGTATAGGTGGATTTGTGAACCAAAAGAATTAATTAGAGTTTCTATATTTTTTGGAATTTATCTGGAATTTTTTATAATTTTTCTAGATTTTTAGAATATTTTTAGAATGGGTTTGGTATTTTTTTGGAATATTCTGAGATTTATTTTAGAATTATTTTTATAATAAAGTATATGCACAGTATGTATTTGCGCATCACATAGGTGAGGATTAGGTAAGTTACGGTGTGCAGCACTTTGGTGCACCACAAGGCAGGACCATTTGCTGATCCTGATGACCAACAAACGATCTAGTGCGGTCAGGTGTATGGGAAGAGTTTACACTCAATGATTTGGGTCGTTGGAATGGGTTGATGGGTGTAGGAAAATCCAATATGGGTGTGTTCAAAAGCGCATGGATTTTGGACCATTGGATGAGGTGTAACGAATAAGATGGATCCAGTGTGGCGAGCTCACCGAAGCAGAATGGATCCAACCAACCAGAAGATGCCACCACACTCCGCGAGTAAAGAAAGCGCGCGGGAGCGCATGCAGGCGCGTGGACGCGCCTGCTAATGAACGGAAGCGCGTGGATGCACGTGCAGCGGGTCTAGGCACGTGTGGCAGCGTGTGAGGGAGTGTTTGGAGTCTCGGAAAGCTCCTGTGGGGTTCGGTGAATTCCCAGGGTTGATATTTTAGCCGTTAGGGTTGAAAGCAACCATTTAAAGGGGTATTCTTGGTGTTCTGAGAGCCATAGAGTACTACTACGGTATTAGTAGCATTTAATTAACGTATACATAATTAATTAATATTTTTTGTGATGGAAGGAAAGGTGGATATATATGTGTGTGTGTGTGGGGGGGGGGGGGGGTATTTAACTTGTGATTAATACGGAACGAAGTATACATATATTGGTTTATTTAACTTGTGATTAGTATGGAATGAAGTATACATATATATACATACATACATATATATATATATATATATATATATATATATACGGAAGGTATTATACATATATATCTTGTATAATATATTGGTATATGTATATATCACTTAAGATGATTAAATTATTAGTCTTATTTGGTATATATGGTAGGCTGTTATTAAATTAATTATATGCATATGATATGCATGAAATGTCTAGGTATGTGTTGTTTTATTCATAAGTTAATTTGCCTATGTATGAATTGTTTAGTTGGTAAATTAACTTCTAAAGTTTGGTACATGGTTGAATTGGATGCATGGATAAGTTGTCAAAGGCGTAAATATATTGCCTAAGTATATGGATGAATAAAATATAAATAGTAAGCATGGATGAGTTGCTTAGATAAAAGTATAAATAAATATACTTTCAGGAGGCATGGTTGAATTGCCAAGGTATAAATAAATATATTTTCAGAAGACATAGTTGAATTGCAAATATATAAATAAATATATTTATAATGGCATGGCTGATTTGCCAAAGTGTAATTATAATGTTGTGTTAAATGATTAAAATATATCATCTATGGTTATTGTTTATAAGTTGAATTATGATTAGATATTTTTAAATTAGAATAGTCTAGTACGTACATGTTAGTGTATTATTTTAGACATATTAATAAAATAATACTGGTGGTGACATAGATGATTTGTCAAAGCCTAGATATGGATTATGTGATTTAAATACTTAAAGTCATTATTGGTTTTGGAATTAAATATAATGTTCTTTTAATTATAATTTATTGTTTAAATTATTAAATTGTTGTCTAGGATGGAATTAAGGTTGGAGGAGTTTCTTTAAAAAGAAATTGTTGATTGGTCTATGTATGATTATTAATTAATCATTGGTGAATAGTTTTGACAATTTAATAAACCTATTAATAGATAGGATTATGGTATTATATATAAGTGTTTATATATATTTGTATCGTTGTATATTAAAATTAAAACTTTATTAGGAATGGTTTTGATTAGAGATGATCTACTTATTGGTTTTCAGAGGTTTGGTAGAGAGAACTTGCTCGTAGGGTTTAATCCACGATTTATTTTTCAGGTTATTAGAAATTCTAGTTTCGAGGTTGAGGATCCGCAGCTGGGAGACTGTCATTCATCTATTCATCTTATTTACTTTTAAGTAGTATTGTTTTTATTGAATAATGGATTTTGGTTAAGGAATCTTTGAGTTACGGGATTCCTGAGTTGTAACCATTGGAGAATTATTAATGAAAATTATTATTTATTAGTTTTTCTTCCGCGATTTATTTATTCTTTATTATTCATCTTTGTATTCTGTGCTTATTTAAATACTTAAATTATTTTGGTATTCCCTGATTTTGTGACCGGAATTGATCAATTCGTGTTCCGAAATTAGGGGGTATCACAGTCTTCGAATAGATGGATTGAAGTTTTGAATGGTATAAAATTTTATTCATATTATATATGATAAACGATTTTAGGTGTATTAGATAAAGTAAAATATACGGTAGGTAAGGGAGGGGGAATCGAACTCAAAATCATAGGATGGGGAGCACTCCAAGTGTTTGGCCCTTTTTGTTCGGGTAACACCGTCGCACCTTCTCTAAATTTTCTTTTAACTTTGTGAATGCAAAGTTATTCCTTATTCATTCATGAATGTTCATAGCTTCTCCATCTT